AGTCTAACCATAAAACAATCCTCAAGGAAAGCATAGTTAAAGACTCTTATCTGGGGAACAATCAAAATCTATATATATCTGGGAACTGTTGGAACAGTGCGATACTACCTTCGAACTTTGCCCATTTAATTTTGAGATACAGTCGACAGCGTTATATTCATTTCAGGTACAGGACGTGATTTAATATTTGTATATATTGCAAAATGATCATCACAATAAGTCAGTCCCTTTCTCTGTCAAATCAATAGTGAGAAAATTTTTATGTGATGAGAAGTTTTAATATCTATTCTCTTGGCAACTCTCAATATACAATATAGTATTACTAACTATAGTCACCATGTTGCCCATTATGTTCCCAGGAGTTATTTATTTTATAATTGGAAGTTGTACTTTTTGAACCCTGGCATCCATTTCCCTACTCTTCCACCCTGGCCTATATATGTATGTCATATATATCTATACCTATATGTATATCTATCTATATCTATATCTATATCTATATCTATATCTATATCTATATCTATATATCTATATCATCTATATCTCTATCATCTCTCTCTCTCTATGAGTTTGGTGTGTGTGTGTGTCTGTGTGATGTGATGTGAATCCCACTGTTACCAGAAAGGGACCTGCCTGGATCGGGTCTGCCTCAGGCCAGCCTGTAGTTCCTGGATTCTTGACCTCAAGCAGGAACAATTTCACAATCCAAGTGCAGGTGATTTTGAGAGCGTGTGTTTCAAAGCTGGGGACGGTGACACAGGAACGGCTAAGGATAGAAGCAACAGGAGAGAGCCCAGGCAGGGCTGCTTGGTGTAGGCAGCGCCAGAGGGCCAGGCAGTAGCCAGGCTGGTGCAGAGGGTGGGCAGGGGCTGGCTCTCCATGGGCAGCGTGGAACGTGGGGCCCAGGAACCTGAGGAGCCTTTACTGCCAATGGGAAGCTGTGCAGAACCTGAGGGTTGCCCGGAGTGACCCAGGTGTCAGTCTAGGAGTGTGCCTGTGTTCCGCGTGAAGGTAACCCTCCCACTGAGCCCAGTTGCTGAGGAGTTGAGGTGATGGTCACCCGGTCATCTCTGAACTGAGGGGGACAGCCAGTCCATGTCGGACAGTTCACAAGCTCTGCATGATGGGAAACGGGGTTGGGAGCCTTCGAGGCCTGGGGAGCCCACCCTGAGGCTCTCCCCTGCTCTTCTATCCTCTCTCTGTCTCATTTTTTCTTTCTCTCAATCTCTTTCTGCCCCATCCCTCCCTCCCTCTCTCCTCTCTTCCTCCCTCTCTCCTCTCTCATTCCCCCTCTCTCTCCCCTCCTTTTTCCTCTCTCTCTGCTGAGCTCTGGTGCTGGCTCATCTCAGGGTCCAGTCTTTTAAATCTCTGGGGTCCACTTATTTCTCTCCTGCCTTCTGCCCATTCTGCTGGTCCCACTTTGAAAAGCCTGCATCTACCCTGGGCATCACAGGGCCCCTACAGAGCAGCCACAGATGGCTGGCTGAGGCAGGGGACAAGCTGGAGCCCTCCCTGCCCTCGGGTTCCCTCAAATCCCTCCCCGCCTCCTCCCCCGCCAGCCAGGACACTGGGCCCTCGCCTATAACAGTTCTACTTGGATTGCAAAGGCTCTTCCAGGCAGAAGCCTTTCCTTTGACACTAATGCACTTATTCCTCACAGGGGGCTCACCTTGCTCCTTCCCAGCACTGGTTTTGAATGCGACCAGCGGTTTCTCCATGTCAGCCTTGCCTGGCCCAGCATGCGCTCCCCGGGACCCCACCAAGGATGCCCCCTGTTGCCCAGCAGCAGTCCACACCCAGGGCAAGCCGGTTTGTCCTGGGACCTGGGAGCACTCCCTCCACAGAGGCTTGGCCCCCACTAGGCTGCCCCGGGGCTTGCCGACCCAGGATGAACATACCTCGCCCTCTCCTGGAAGCACTAGGGAACAGTGGCCCCTTGCATGGTGAAATGTTCACCCACATTCAGGTGGAGAGGAGACGGTGAGGGAGGGCTGTGTGGGCTGCGGGGGCACCACGGAGTGAGCGGAGTCTCCTGCGGATCCTCGGGGGCTCAGGCTCTGCAGGTGCACAGCCTGAGGAGAGGCGGGTAAGTCAGGCTGGGTCGCAGTCCCGGCTTTCCCCACCTCGAGTGGGGCAGCTAGTAATGCCTCTTTCCTCCCCCCGGAGCTGGCAGGATTTTTCTCTGGACAACTTCAGTTTTGTCATCTTTGCCTCCAGCAATGTTTCAGGCTTCATTTGGTCTTGGAACTGCTTGTTCATCTTTCTGGCAGTCCAGGGTATCCATAGTGCCCTCCTCCAACACCATATTTTATTTTATTATTTTTTTTCCTTTATTGATTTTAGAGAGGAGGAAGTGAGAGGGAGAGAAATAGAAACATCAATGAGAGGGAACACTGATTGGCCGCCTCCTGCATGCCCCCCACTGGGGATTGGGCCCACAACCTGGGCATGTACCCTGACTGGGAATCGAACCAGCGACCTCCTGGTGCATGAGTCGACGCTCAACCACTGAGCCACACCGGCTGGACTCCAACACCCTATTTTAAATAAACCGACTTCTTTCCTATCAGCCTCCTTCATTGTCCAAACTTCACATTCATACAGCGATTAGGAACACGGGGGTGGGCTGAGCTTGGCCTTGGTCTCTAATGACACATCTGTGCTCTTGGTGTCTGTCCTCCTCCTTCCGCTGCTGCCCTTCCGAGTCTCCCCCTTCTGGGGATTTCTTGGCTGCTGTCTCCACTTGCAGGTGAGCACAGTCTGGCTCACGTTATATTCCTCTTAGTGCCATATAGACTGAAATGTGAAAACAACACTTAGCTCCTAGAAGATAATTCATAACTTTGGGTCAGGGAAGGATTTTTTTTTATTGATTTTTAGAGAGGGAAGAAGAGAGAAACATCGATATGAGATACATCAACTGGTTGTCCTACTTTGGGCACATCACGAGAAGGCAGGGTCCTTTGGAAAAGACAAAAATACTGGGAAACACAAGGCAGCAGGGAAAGAGGAAGACCGAACACGAGGTGGATCGACTCCATAAAAGACTCCACTCGCCTGAGCCCACCGGAGCTGAGCAGGGCTGTGAGGACATCACTCATCCACAGGGAGTCGGGCCCAACTCAATGGCACACCAAATACACATATGTATGTAATTATGTAATGTAAACATCCCTAGTGGCCACATTTTATTAAAAGTGAAAAAAAGTGAAATCAATTTTAATTATTTAACCCAGTAGATACAAAATGTTATCTCAACATAAAACCAACCTAAAAATCACTAGTGAGCCCTGGCCAGTTTACCTCAGCAGTTAGAGCATCAGCCCTCAAACTGAAGGGTCACGGGTTAGATTCCAGTCAAGGGCACATACCTGGGTTGCAGGTTCAATCCCTTGGCCCTGGTCAGGGTCATGCAGGAGGCAACCAATCAACGTCGCTCTCTCTCTCTCTCTCTCTCTCTCTCTCTCTCTCTCTCTTTCTCTCTCTCTTCCCCCCTCCCTCTTCCACTCTATCTAAAAATCAATGGAAAAATCTCCTCGGGTACGTAACAACAAAAAATTACTAGTGAGATATTTTACATTCTTTTTTTCATGCTAAGTCTTCAAATTATGGTGTATATTTTATGCTTATAGCACATTTCACTTTGGGCTATTTTCATCAGAAATGATCAATATTTAGACGTCATAAAATCTGTAGAAGAGGGAGGCCGTGTTCGCATGGGCTCTAAGGTTTCCTCTGGGCAGAGACCTACTGGCTCTGGAAACTCGGGGCTCGGGTCTGGCCCAGTTGTTCTCTTCCGAGCGCACGTGGGCTGTCACTACATCTGTTTGCCATCCCAGTTCTCAACAAGCAGCGCAGGGATGCGCACTGAAAGTACATTTGTGCAATAAATCAATCAAAACCAACAGAATTCAGAAGTGTCTCCTTTCTCTTTAGAGTTCGATAACCTCACCACTCTAAAGAGAAGGAAACTTTTGGGAAAGGGTGGCGTCTCCCCTTCTTCTCAGAGACCGAGATGAAAAACTGCAGACAGACAGCCTCTCACCTGCTCTCACGCCAAACTCACACCCCAAAACCCAAAATTGTGCCCCAACCTGCTCTGTCCACTCAGTCCTCCCCAGGACTGCTGCTCAGTGGTACCAAAGGCAGCGGGGCCGTTCGAGCTCCTGGGTCGTGTCTGATCGCTGTGTGCCTGGGGTCACTTTCAGCTTGACCAGGACCTTTCTCCAGCCAGATAAAGCCTCCCCAGGGTCAAGAAAGAGTGGAACGGGTCCTGCTCTGACCGGACACCTGCATGACGAATCGGAACAGGTGCCCCCTTCTGAGCAGTCCAAGGTCTCCGTGGACCGGTCTGGCCTCACTGCCCACCCCAAACCCCAGGCCCAAAGCCCCTCCTCCGCTCCTGAGTTCTTGCCTCTGCTCCCCTCCCTCTGTCCTCCAGCTCCTGAGCCCCAGCCCCTCCTGCAAGGCCAGGGTGTTAGTCTCTGCCCGGAGCATCCAACAGTCTCTTGTCTGCCTCAGCTGCCTTGTTAAGCAGCCTTCCTTGCAAAGTACATTGTAGTGTGTAACAAACTGAAGGCAGGAAAGTAAAAATGTCCACTTCTCAAGGAATAAAATGTTCTCATAGAAGGCGGGGAAAAAGACAGGGACGACAAAGGTGGTATTACAGACATCTCAATACATTTTTTTTTTCTTAAGAAAATATCAGGAGCCCTGACCGGTTTGGCTCAGCAGTTAGAGCTTCGACCTGTGGTCCAGAGAGACCCGGGTTCAGTTCCCACTAAGGGCACGTACCTCGGTTGCGGTTTGTCCCCGGCCCTGATTGGTCGTGCAGGTGGCAACCACTCGATGTGTCCCTTTCACGTCGATGTTTCTCTCTCTCTCTTCCTCTCTTTCCTCCCACTCTATCTGAACAAAAAAAATGGAAAAAAAGTCCTTTGGTGAGGATAAAAAAAAAAAAAAGAAAACATCAGGAGGAAATAACTACTAATATTGCTTACAAAACAGCCACCGCAGCTGGACCTGTTGCAGGAGACACATTACTCTGGAGCCTCCTCTGCTGGGACCACTTCCATCAGCATCTGAAAGTGTATGGTGAGAGGCCCTGTGGGGAGAGTCAGAGGGCGCAGTCAGGACACCAGGTAAGTTAGCTCTGCGTGCTGTCAGTGAGCAGTGCTGTTGTCACCCGTGCTGTTGTCACCCGTGCTGTGTCCCGTTAGGCCGGCGCTCAGGGGACGCAGTGGTTGGAGCTCGTCAGAACCATCCTGGCAACCACAGTGGTTCTTTGGGCACAAATTATTTCCCATAAAGCATTAGGAACCTGCTAAATGTTTTATTGTCACCAATTTATAGGAAAAATATAAATGACTCAATTATACGTATGTGTTGACCACTAACCTAGAGTTGAATATTTAGTCTGAAGTCATGAAGACTTCACCTTGTTTAAAACGCAACTGTTCACTTTTTTTCACCTGCTCAATTCCAACTTCTTACCGGTTTTTGTAGGGAGGAGCTTGGCTAAATATGAAATAAGACGTATTTGGGGGAGTAGGTAGAAGAGGGTAAAGGGGGGATACATGGGGATGGAAGGAGGCAGTTTGGGGTGGTGAACACCCAATATCCAGATGGTGTATTGTAGAATTGTACACCTGAAACCTGTATAGTTTTCGAGTTAACCAATGTCACCCCAATAAAGTCAATAAAAAAATAAAGGAACGGTGGGGGAAAAGACATATCTTGTACCTTAGGTTCTACATCATCTTGGCTAGACTGTCAGTGTGATGAGATCCAAGTTTATTTTCAGAGGCAGGGGATAAAGCAGCTGCTGTTCTTAGGGTAATAAACCGTCTTTCCTTTCTAGGGCGCTGTCAGCTTAGGGTTAGATTGAAGCAAAGAGGTTGGGGTGGGCTGAGCTGTTTCAGGAAAGGAAAAAAGTCCTTGGTGGAAATAATAAAGCTCTATTTAGTTTCTGGTTTCGCTTTGTTAATCAACATGAAACACATGCTCTCTTGCTTATGACACCTGTGTCAGGTAAGCAGTGACCTGACTGCACGGGTGAGAAAATGGGGCTGAGAGAGGACCTGGACCTGGCAGCACTGGGGAGAGGCCCCCAGCCAGTCCCTGCTGGCTCAGTCTAAACAAGGTCTCAGGGCAGCCTCCCCTTCCCACTGGGTTGCGCTCTTTCCTACCCTGTACGTCTGCCTAGGTTGCCTGCGCCTAGGCACCACGTAGGAGTGCCTGAGGGAGGGTGTACGTCCCTGTTCAGACCAGCTGAAGGAGAAAGGAAGAGGCAGATTTTTAATCACAGTTATTCAATAAGAGTAAGTGGCTGTTGTATATGGCTGCAGAGGATTCCTGCTTTCTAGGAGCTTGTGGTGCAGGAAGAGGGAGAGCAGGAGACGGGCCTGGGGAGGTCGTGCGGGGCCCGGGAGGCTTTCTAGATGGAGCTCCCTGCAGTGGGTGTGCCATGCAGGGGACACTGTGGATCCACACAGGTGGCCTGCAGAGTCCTCCATGTACTTCGGAGCCACTGCTGACTTTTCAAAGTGGAAGTGGCTGTCTAGCTAAACCTTTAAACAGCTGTCTCTCAGCTCGATGAGGAGCCAGGACTGCAGAGTGGAAAGCAAGCTGCAGCCTTGGCATCGATGGCTCGGGCCCTTGTCTCAACTCTTGCTTTTGGGGCATCTTTGGGCTGCTGCTGACCCTCCCAGATGCTGTCTGTGTATCCGGCAAAAGAGAGGAGTTCTCCGGAGATGATGCCCAACAGTGGGGACAGACGAACACTACTGAACTGTGTACTTAAAAATGATTACAGTGGTCAAGTTTATGTAAACAAGATGGTGCTTTCCCTGCCTATGTGTTACAGTAATTGATGAAACAAAGGAGGAGGCCCCAGGTGGGCCCTCAGCTGTGACACTGAGGGGCAGGGGTCTCCTGAGATCCCGGACAGCCTGTCAGAGCCCGGACAGGCGTGGCTGCCGGATGCCGAGCCTGTCGGCTTCACCTCCCTCTGTGGACACTTACTTGAGATTTTCTGCGCCCATCGGAACTTGTAGTGGACCAAAAGGAAGTAAAAGATAATGCCGCTGAGTATAAATATCACGCAGTAGAGATACTCCCATGCGGGCTGGCTGATGATTGGGGCCAAAACCAAAAACACAGATATAAGGGTCACCACGATGGGGATGAGGATGGGCACCTGTAGGCAAAGCGACAGGTGTCATAACTTGGCCGTGTGCGTTCACTTTCTCTTGGAAATCGTTTATGCAAAACCAAAACATTGATACAGAAAGAATAATTAAAGAACTCCATGCCCCCTCTCCTCCAATTTCAATATTATTTAAGTAATTTTGCCAATTTTTCCCCATCTACCTTTTTTTTTTCTGTTTCCCTAGAATACAAAGAAAATGGCAGACTTCGTATCATTTTACCTACAACATATTCAGTATACATCTCTAACCGGTGAGGACTTTGTTTTTAACATGTTTACTCCCTTCTGTTTTTATCTGGTCGTGGATTTGTGTCAGGAATTTAACCTATGCAATGTGGTTGTTTTTTAATTGATTTGATTTTAGAGAGGAAAGGGGAGAGAGACAGAGAGAAACTTCGATGAAAAAGAATATTGATTGGCCGCCTCCTGCATGCCCCCCACTGGGAATCAGGCCCACAACCTGGGCATGTGCCCTGCCTAGGAATTGAACCGGTGACCTCTTGGTGCATGGGTCAACGCTCAACCACTGAGCCACACCGGCAGGGCCCTATACAATGTTTTTATTTTTTTTAATTTATTTTTTTAATCTTTATTGTTGAAAGTATTATAAATGTTCCTCATTTTTCCCCCATCGACCCCCTCCTTTCCACTCCCGCCCCCTTCCCGCCTTTTCCCACACTGTTTTCTGTGTTCATTGGTTATGCATATAAGTTCTTTGGTTTATTTCTTCCTATCCTCCAACCCCCTTGTCTTTGAGGTTTGTCAGCCTAGCTACCAATTTGTACTTCTTAATCCCTTCACCTCTTTCACCCATTCCCCCAAACCCCCTCCCATCTGACAACCAACAAAATGTTCTCTGTATCTAGGAGAATGTTTCTGTTCTGCCTGTTCATTTTGTTTGTAGATTCCATTGTTGATAGATATGTATTCATTGCCATTTTGCTTGTTCATATAGTTTATCTTTTTCTTCAAAAAGACCCTTCAACATTTCATATAATAATGGTTTGGTGGTGATGAACTCCTTTTACTTTTTCTTGTCTGGGAAGCTCTTTATATGGCCATCGATTCTAAATGACAGCTTTGAGGATAGAGTAATCTTGGTTGTAGGTTCTTGCTTTTTATCACTCTGAATATTTCTTGCCACTCCCTTCTGGCCTGCAAAGTTTCTTTTGAGAAATTAGCTGACAGTCTTATGGGAACTCCCTTGTAGGTAACTAACTGCTTTTCTCTTGCTGCCTTTAAGATTCTCTCTTTGTCTTGAACCTTTTGCATTTTGATGATGATGTGTCTTGGTGTGGGCCTCTTGGGGTTCATCTTGTTTGGGACTCTCTGTGCTTCCTGGACTTGTATGTCTGTTCCCTTCACCAAGTTAGGGAAGTTTTCTGCCATAATTGTTTCAAATAGTTTTTTGATTTCTTGTTCTCTCTCTTCTCCTTCGGGCACCCCCAAGATGCGAATGTTGGCACGCTTAAAGTTGTCCCAGAGGCTCCTTACGCTATCCTCATTTTTTTGAATTCTTTTTTCTTTTTGTTATTCTGATTGGGTGTTTTGTGCTTCCTGATATTCCAAATCGATGTTTTGCTTCTTGGCTTTACCTACTCTACTATTGAATCTGTGTAAATTTTTCTTTATTTCAGTTAGTGCCTCCTTCATTTCTGACTGGTCCTTTTTTATGCTCTTGAGGCCCTCACTAAGTTCACTTAGGTTCTCACTAAGTTCATTGAGCATCCTTATAAACAGTATTTTGAACTCAGCATCTGTTAGGTTACTTATCTCCATTTCACTTAGTTCTTTTCCTGGAGATTTTTTCTGTTCTTTTATTTGGGACATGTTTCTTTGTCTCCTCATTTTGGCTGCCTCCCTGTGTTTGTTTCTGTGTATTACTTAATGAGAGGTATGGGGCTCGCTGAGACCAGATGCTGCTTGTTTGAAAGAATTTAGGAAAACCTGAAGCAGGATCCAAGACAGGTCAATCCTATGGTTAAACAACTGGCAACAGCCTGGGTGGGCTGAAAGTTGATTGGGGCAGGGCCTCAGGGAATCAACAGGGCAGGGCAACCCGTATGAGCCAGGTTGCTGCCACAGCAGGGAAGGGCTCACCAAAGGAACAAAGGCCTCTGACAGCAGTTTGTCCCGGTGAAAGCCCCTCTCCAGCCCTCGCTCCAATGTCAAACAGCTCAGTTTTTCCATGTAGGTCTCTGGCGCCCCTGGAGCTGCTTCCCCTAGGAGCTTAGAGGGAGTGCGTCCAATAAGTACATATGTGGGCCCTTTAAGAGGAGCTGCCTGGGGCCCCAGCCGCCTCAGCCTCCCTGAGCCTCAGTTCCCGCTGGTTTTTCCCAGGCAGAAGTTATAGGGCCTTTTCTTCCTGGCACTGGAACCCTGGGCGGGGTGCCTGGTGTAGGATGGTGACCCCTCAGTCCTCAGGGAGGACCTTCGCAGCCGAGGTATCCTTCTGATTTTTATCCACCACATGTGGGTGTGGGACCAGCCCATCTGCCTCCGCCCTCCTACCAGTCTCAATGTGGCTTCTTTAACTTTGTAGTTGTAGGACTTCCATTCAGCTTGATTTTAGGTGGTTTTGAATGATGGTTGTTCTGTAGTTTAGTTGTAACTTTGATGTGGTTGTGGGAGGACGCGATACTGCGTTTCCCTACGCCGTCATCTTGACCGGAAGTCTCTATGCAACGTTTTTTTGTTTTTTTTTTAATCCTCACCCGAGGATATTTTTCCATTTTTTGTACAGATAGAGTGGGAGGGAGAGAGAGGAAGGGAGAGAGAGAGAAACATCGACGTGAAGGGACACATCAAGTGGCTGCCACCCACACGACCAACCAGGGCCAGGGACAAACTGCAACCGAGGTACGTGCCCTTAGCGGGAACCGAACCAGGGTCTCTCCGGACCGCAGGCCGACGCTCTAACCGCTGAGCCAAACCAGCCAGGGCTCTATGCAACGCTTTAATTCCACCTTTGCCTGGTAACTTGCTGTTCTGATCCCTCGAATTTCCTTAAGCTGGTGGGAAGAGCTGGAGGCGAGAACACTGGGGAGCTGGCGCTGCCTTCCTTTGGCGTCACATCAGGGGCACCAAGTGTCTGATTGTCCTACTTCTGTGTCTCTGGTCCATCAGTAGGTTCAGGGCCGGGGGAGTTCAGTCTGCCAGCTATGGATTCCTGGGGCCATGCAGGGAGGTGGGAGGGGGCCCAAATAGTGCAGATGTGACTATTTGTGGTCGCGAGCACAGGATTGGGTCTGGGGCCAGAATTCTGAAGTCTCCCTCAGTCTATGAAAAGCCTGTGCTTGATAGATACTAGAACTGTCAGAACCGGATATCTTGCTCAGATTAGACAGGCCACAGGTATTCTTGAGAACTTAGCAACCTAATAATTAGATAGCTACCTGGATCATAAACTATATGAAATGAAGAGCAAACTCCACTTTAAAACATGTTATTCCAGTCGTGGCCTGTGTGGCTCAATGGTTGGAGCACTGGCCTGGGCACTGAAGGATCTCAGGTTTGATTCCTGGTCAAGGGCACATACCTGGGTTGCAGGTTCGATCTCCAGGTCCTGTCGGGGTCATGCAGGAGGCAACCAATCGATGTGTCTGACGTTTATGTTTCTCTCTCTCACTCACTCCCTCCTTCTCTTCCACACTCTAAAAACTAATGGAAAAATGTCCTCGGGAGAGGATTAACAAAAACCACATTATTCCAGAGAAGAGTAGCGTTGGAAACAGCATACCCTTGGAGTTTAAAATAGTGACCTGTCCTTCATTTCAAGAAGTCAAAGGCACATGTACCATTTGGGGCACTAACCTACCTTGATAGGCCTTTCCAGGTCTTTCCTCGTGAACCTCATCACGATCAGCCCCAGAACTGTCAGGCCATAAAAGAACCACGCAGCAAAACTGACGTAGTTGACTAATGAGTTGATATCACCAGGGATGATGTAAATAGTGGCTATGATACCCTAGGAGAAAGAGGAAGAATTCTTAGGTCACTAGTACATAAAAACACCATCCTTGTCCCTTCCCAAGACCGAAGAAGCAGTTTTCCCTGTGGATAAAAACTTCAGGGTGGGAGAGAACTGTACCCCATTGTTTTGGGGGTTAGGCTGGACTGGCTATGACGGGTGTTCTCTTTGAGGCCTGATGGAAAGGATTTGGGAAATCGGTGATTCTTTGAAGTGGTGATTTTAAGCAGGAAATAAAATGTAAAGGTGTGTATATTGCATCAGCTTCCTGAGGATGAATTTTCCTCCCAGAGAGTTTTCCTCATGGGGAAGGGCCCTGGGCTCTGAAACGCAGGCTGTCTAGTTCTGGTCTTCACCTGCAATACCTGCACCTTGCTGTTTCTTCATCTTCAAAGGGAGCAGGTTGACAGAGAACAGTAGTTCTCCTCTGGGGGTGGAGGAGGAGTCTGGCCTTGAGGCTAGGAGGATACTTTGGGGGCACCCAAGACTGTCGCACACAACCAAGGCCTATCCCCCACTGAGAAGCGGTCAAAGGGCCATTACTGTGTAAGGATCCCACGGCTTCTAAATTACTGGGCCGTCATGGGACGCTGTTGCCAGTAGCCTCCTTGTAAAATGCCTGACTCTCCTTCCCCATAAGTTTGTGGTTTATTACCAGGGACCCAGGGCATACAGATGTACATGAAAGATGCATAGAGGGTACAGCTTGGAAGGTGCAAAGGTATCTCTCAGACAAATTCAGAGCAAAGAGCCAGAGGTTGAGTAAATTGTTTGAATTGTCTTGGGCTTTTTTGTTGCTGTTTCTTTTTATTTATCGATTGATTTTAGAAACATTGATTTGTGGTTCCACTTATTTATGCATTCATTGGTTGATTCTTGTAGGTGCCCTGACCAGGTATCAAATCCTCAACCTTGGCATAGCAGGATGATGGTCTAACCCGCCACCCGGCCAAGGCCTTGGGCTTTTTTTATATACTGTCAGTTCGAGGACTAAGCGAACCTGAGTCATTTGGAAACCACTGGGCTTAGCCACACAGGTTTACTGCAGCAAACAAATTAGGGACCCTCTGCCTTTAAGGGGGTGTTTTCATGGCAGAATTTATACTTACATAAAAGATGATGGCAGGGGCTGGCGTCAGGCGCTTGACACTAATGTACGAGAGCACTTTGAGCATGTGGCCTTCTCGGCCTGCAACATAAACGAGTCTGGAAAACATGGAAGCCAGTGGATTAGCATGCAGGCCGCTGCACCATCGCTGGGCAGGTGTGTTCTCGGCTATACTACCGAGGCCACAGGGAAGGACTGAGTTGTGACCCTGATGTGCTCAGGCAGGGGCTGGCCTCTGGAGGTGGGGGAATTTGGAGACATGAGCGAGAGAACCGCATCCCGTGCAGGTGCGTCACCTAACCTGGGGAAAGGGCAGGGGTGGCTGGGGGAGGCTCTTTCAAAGAGGAGCTACCTTAGCTGAGTCCTGAAAGTTGCACAAGAAATAAATGTAAAAGGTAGTCCAGGGCCAGGTGACCCCAGTGCTTGGAACACCTGACAGAAGCAAACACAGAAGGGCCTTGCACTCTCTAAATCCAGAACTTCCATGTTGAAGGAAGTCAGGCAAAGTCAGGGTAAGTCAGCAGATGCAAACAACGGCCTGGTTCCACCCACGGACTCCTGATGGCTCAGATCTGACACTGGATGTAAAATGTTAGAGGAGAAGGAAGAAGAGCTAAACCATTTCCCAAAGAGAGAATGTTGCTGTAATTAAAAATGCAATCGACAACAGACAGATACAAGTGAAAAACGAGACTAAGCATGAAGCACAGAGAAATGGAAAGTGGATGGAGCTGAGAGAGGAAACAGGAAGAAGCTCAAATACACTGGCAGGGGTCAGGTGAATTGAGAGAAGAGCTTTCCCAGAGGTGGCAGAGGGTTCAGATTGAACCCAGTTCTAGAAAAATAGAAATATACTCAGATATAAGCATGCTCCAGGGGGTGAGGGGGGGCAATTTTTCTCCTTTATTGATTGTAGAGACAGAGGAAGGGTGAGGGAGAGATAGAAACATCCATGAGAAAGAACATCGATAGGCCACCTCCTGCATGGCCCCCACGGGGGATAGGGCCCACAACCTGGACATGTACCCTGACCGGGAATTGAACCAGCGACCTCTTGGTGCATGGGTCATCGCTCAACCACTAAGCCACACCGGCTGGGTGGGGGAAATTAATTTTAAGCTAGTGAATTTAAAACAACTACAAAATTAGGACAATCAGAACAATAAGCAGACATCTCATGAAAATCACTTCTTCAGTGAACAGGTAAGTGGATTTTCAGATTAAAAATCTCTATAGCGAAGCTATCATTCAAAATCAATACATTTTTAGGTGAATAATAGCTAGGAGACATTTACTATTCTTCAATCCTCTTTGGAAACTTTTAAAAAACTAGAACACAAAAAGTAACTGAATGCAGTCGTTAATGGTTGAAGAAGCAATGTTAAAAACAGCAGTAAGACATGTATGTGTATAAGTATGGGATTTTTAACGTTTGTCATGAGCTCTGTATGGAGGAATGGGTTTATAAACACCATGTAGCTGATGCACTAGATGATATGCGAGGCAGAGCCTTCGTAGGAGGGAAGAGGATTGAGATTCTGTTACTCTGTTAGGTACTCATGTGAAAATTTAAGGGTGATTGCTGAAAGAATAGAACTGTAACTTCCACATCAGTAGAAGAGAAAAGGAATAAAGATAATTTGATGCGTAATAAATCAGGATAATATATTTTTTAAACGAGGAATACTTAAAGAATTTGTTAGACGTGAATCTAGCTGTATCAGTAATCACATTAAATGTGGCACGATGCACCTGGCCCGGTTAGAGTGGGGTTTGGTGAAAGAGACACAAGCCATGGTGATGGAACCCTGAGAGGCTGCAGATGAGAGGTGTGGGACATGTTACCAGGAACCGCAGCCTAAAGGAGGCTCATCGAGCAGTACAACATCAGACAGAATAGCATTTAAGGCAAAGAGAGCGAAGAGTTCATACTGAAAAGGGGGACAGCCTACCAAGAAGATACATAACATTTCTTGAAAAGCAAAAATGGACAACTATGACAGTGGGAGATTTCAACAGCCAAGGAACAACCTTGATTTTTACAACAATCTAGAAGAAGATAATAGAATACCCGTTATTTCCAAGACCATAGGAAATATTTACCAAAATTGCAGGAAGCCACAAGGGAAATCTTAAAATTTACAAGGGAAGTGATGGCATGAAGGGCACATACTCTGACTACAACCCAGTAAAATTAGAAGTCAGGAAAACAAAGGCCAAAAAGGACCATCTATTCAAAACTTCACGGAGGAACTTTGAAAAGATATAAACATGGTCTCCAGTTAATTCCCAGAACAGTCAGTGAAAGTGGGAGGAAAGGAGCTGCTAGAGGGAGCTGGGACACTCGCACTCAGGAAGGTGCCGTGAATTCACTCTTCAAATCCCCTCAGATCTCCACAAATCGATCTATGAATTCAAGTGGGACTTTCGGGACTGGACAAGATGTTGCAAGTGCATCTGGAATGCCAAACAGTCAGGGAGCAGTCTGACATGGGCACACCGGTCCTACCAGATTTACCCTGACTGAAGCTGCGGGGTGTCTAAGTGTGATAATAGTCAGGAAGAGACCTGTACATGGGACGAAGTGAACCACGTACATTGGGAACGCTGATGGTGGCATTTCAGCCCAGTCGGGGAAAGGGTAAACTATTCAGGAAGAAATACTGGACGACAGGTAAAGGTTTGGGGTGGGGGCAGTGAGATCTATGCCTCACATTAAATATATTCCAGATAGCCCTGGCCGATTTGGCTGGGCGGTTAGAGCATCGGACCACGGAACAAAGAGTCGCAGGTTCGATTCTGGTCAAGGGCACGTACCTTGGTTCAGTCCCCAGCCCTGGCCCAGGTCGTGCAGGAGGCAACCAATCAATGTGTCTCTCTCATGTCACTGTCTCTCTCTCTCCTTGTCTCTCTCCCACTCTATCTGAAAATAAATGGGGGGAAAGTATCCTTGAGTGAGGATTCAAAAAAATATATAAATATAAATATAAATATAAATATATAAATATATATATATATATATATATATATATATATATATATATATTCCAGATTGGTCAAAGAGCTACACCAAACTTCTGGGAGAAAGCAGGTGGGTGTTCCTGGATGGAGAGAAGAAGGCGTGTCTGTGTGAGATAGAACACTGAAAACCAGATTTAAGAACTTAAATTTGACCCCTCAAAAATTATATCCAACATAACCAAGTATAGCATAAATCCCTCTCCAATCCCCAATACAGAACTATCTCAAATGAACTCAAAATGGGTCATATGCCCTGGCCGGTTTGGCTCAGCTGTTAGAGCGTCAGCCTGCGGTCCGGAGAGACCCGGGTTCGGTTCCCGCTAAGGGCACGTACCTTGGTTGCAGTTTGTCCCCAGCCCTGGTTGGGTCGTGTGGGTGGCAACCACTCGATGTGTCACTTTCACGTCGATGTTTCTCTCTCTCTCTCTCCCTCTCACTCTATCTGAACAAAATATCAAAAAATGTCCTCGGGTGAGGATAAAACAAAATGGGTCATATACCTGAATGTAAAAGACAAACCTGTAACACTTCTAGGATAAAGCAGAAGAGAAACTCTTTGCGACCTTGGGTTTGTGCCAATCATAACCTCTCTTTGCTTTCAGTCTGCAAAGCAGAGCTGAGCAGTTGTGCAGACTGGAATGGCCTGCAAGACTAAATGCTCACTGCCTGGCCCTTTAAGGAAAAGTCTGCCCATCCCCGGGTCTAGACTGTGTATAAATGAACAGGAGACCATGTTCAAGAACTATCATTAGGTGGGAAAGAAGTACAAGGTGAAAAGTACTACATGCGCCCCAATGCCTTGCTCACCCTGTGTCACCAGACTGCCTAGTGCTGGAGAAACCCAGGGCCTCTCTCCGGTGGGCCGTCCAGGGACAGTGTGCCAGCTGGCCCACGCTTTCTGCTCCCCTCCCTGGACCTCAGGTTTCTGCTTGTACCCTGAGGGGTTTAGCCTGCAGAGCCCTGAGGATGTGGGCCCCGAGGCTGTCTTCCTTGGGTGTGAAATCATCTCTGGTGCCCCTGTCCCGGGGATGAGTGTCCGGGTCCCCTACCTGCCGGCTGTGAAGCAGGACCCATTCGCGGCACCGATGGTGGAGAACGCCACAAAGAGGGGAACCACCCAAGAGGCCGGATAGAGAACACGGTCACCAAATGTCTGGGGAGAGAAGCGAGATGAGTCCTGAAGGTCTCGCGTGGCCTCTGAGAGCCAGGGGTCCCACGAAAGCAGCTGTGCCATGGGGGCCCGGCCCCCACCCCCGAGGTGCGCGCAGCCCTGACTCCTGGAGAAGAAAAGGGATGAGCCCCTCTGGAGGGGTCAACTGGGCCTCTTCTCTGCTCTCCAGAGTGTCCCCGCAACTTTGATGGTCTCAGAAATCTCTCCTCCTCCTCTCTCTAATTCTCAGTCATCAGCAGATCATTTGGACACCCTGGCCCCTATTTCAGAATGACCTGTTCTCCCTCCCGCCGCAGCTGGGTGAAGTCATCTCCCCATGCTCCCCATCATTGTCACCTCAGCGTCTGTTTCTAGTTGGTTTCCTGTCGTACCCCAACTCTACGAGGCCTCCAGCACATGGATCCCGCACACCTCTTCCACTGTCCCTCACACAGTCTTCCCTTCCCTCCTTACTCACAATGTATTATTACAACTCCCTCCTTCAGTGGATCCCTTGCATTTCTCTCCCTTATACTTGTCTGTCAAAGCCCCAGCCCTGCCCCCAGGGCCCTGCTGTGTGTGTGTGTGTGGGTACCTTCCAGCATGGCTCAGGTGGGTCTTTAAAGGTGCTGCCCTAACCTGTTCTCTCTGGACACCACCTCCCAGATGACGTCCCTCCTCCCCTGTGAGGGTCTTCAGCTTCAGCATGTATAGCTTGCCTGTCCCTTCCCACAGAACGCAGCACCCTTCCCCAGAGCCCTGGGCACTCACCACGGCCACTGCCGGTGACTGCAGGAGCTCGGTTGCTGTCATCACAGTGAAGTAGGAAACATTCATGAGGATGTAGCACACTGTCACTAGCGTGATCCCAATGATGATAGCCAGGGGCAGGTTTCTGGGAGGGTGGGAACCCCGGGGGCCCAGGGTCAGATCAGAGCATCCCTTGAGACTCACAAGTGTTTTCATCAGGTCTTTTCTTCCCACCTGTCCTGGCCAGCCCTCCGTCTGCTCCCTGTTGGGCTGGGGACACAGCTGCCCCTGAGGCCCAGGCAGCGGGCGACTAGTGAAACAGCACAGTCCCAGCGGCACCTGTGCCGTCTTCAAATGAGAAAGAACTCTCCCTCTCTCTGACTCCCAGGCAGGACAATTGAATTGTTTGCAGGCAAAATAAGCCAGAGATCAAGTTGGAGTTCTTCCTCTCAGCAACCATTCCACTACTCAAACCCAACCCAACCCAAGTCTAACGAGTGAACATGAGCTTATAGGAAACCACTCGGCGTCCGGTAGGGGGACTGGGATAACAGGAGGAAGCAGCTCCCCTTTTTCTTGGAAGAAGAGAAATAAGCTGCCAGCCCACAGCCTCCTGCCCTAACTGCTCTTCTCACCTGAAAGGGTTTCTGAGTTCTTCTGTGATGTAATTGAGTTGATTCCTACAGAAAGGAAAGTCACAAGGTAACCTGACTTGCTGAGATTGTGAAATACAACACAATAGATGTTGGCCTCATTTCAGACCCTGCACCATAGGGAACTCCTGCGGGAATTCCGTGGCATTTCCCTAGAAGGAGCCCTGACGGCGGGGCTACAAGATCTGCTCATTTCCCAGTCACTAAGTCTTTGCCCTCCACCGGAATCACGCGAATTTTCAAGAATTACCGGCAGTAGTACGTCCCCAAGGTGCTTTGAAAAAATGGAAAGTTCTTTGAAAAGAGAATGAGACCTGAGCAGCTGTATGGGAGGGAAAGACAGCACGGTGCACGGCCCCGCTTCTTCCTTAAAGGGCCTAAATGGAATCTCATCTAGGAAACCTCGTCCTTTCGAGGGAGAGATAGAAGTGTTGCTGAATATCTTCGCCTTGTCGAGTGCCGGGGCTGCCCTGACTCCCTCCAGATGGGCGGAGCCTGTGTGTTTCTGCAGAAGCTTCTGGTATGGGGCCCCACCAGGGCCTGCTTGCAGGCCACTGCGTCAAGGGCGAGTGCCACAAGAGGGATGGGAAAGGGGCAGGTGTGTCTGTGGTCCCAGGAGAACAGGAGGGAGACGTGAAGGTGAATTTTAGGGTCCCAGCAAAGCCCAGAAAGGAGAAGCCATTGCTGTCCACCCAGTTTCAGTGATGACAGCCTAAGAAACCCCCACGCAGACACGCCACCTTTGGCCGCCTTACCATCCGTCGTACGCCCAGAGTCCATTATAAAATGCCAGCCCGATGGCGCCCGCGGACAGTTTTGTGCCCTCAAAAGAATTTTCAAAGTTCTTCGTATTTCCTGTAATGAAGTCAGACAGCAAATAGTGGGTGTCTTCTGACCAGGGTGGGACATGGCATTATTTCCGTGTGAAAGAAGATGTAGGACCTCAGGTTATTACACAAACTCGCAAACGCTGGGACACTAGGGAGTCTTTCTGTTGAGTTTTGCTTTCGAGACACGCTCCTCAGTCAGACCTCCTGATGGACAGGAGGCAAGTGCCTGCAGGGCCACCCCTTCCCGAGTAGGTCACCTTGGGCCAGGAGGATGAGTCCGCTGATGATGATGATGGCCACGATCACCAGCTTGGCCGCTGTGAACACGTTCTGGACGTAGCTGCCCAGCCGCACACTCAGCGCATTCACCATGATGATGAGCCCTGAAAGGGACACAACGTGCTGGGTCAGGGCTCAACACCTCCATTCTCAAGCCTGGAAGGAGGGAGGCTCCTCTCCATCCCCCCAACCTCCTCTCATGATGATTTTGAAGCCCGAGAGTGCTCAGCCAGAGCCACCCGCCCTGACAGCTCCCACGTGGAGGAGCAGGGAAGACAAAAGTGTCCTCATCTGTGCCCGGCCTTTCCGGACTCCCGCCGGAGGTCCCAGACGAGCGTACTCACAGATGGCAGCAGCAGCCAGACACTTGACAACGATTTCGGGAGGCTTGCAGCCTGTGTACAAAGGCGCCGCCGCGTACTCAGAGAAGCTGAGACAGATGATGGCAAAGGATGAGGGCTTTAGGATGAACAGGCTGGTCCAGGAAAAGAGATAGGCAGGGATGGGGCCAAAGGCCTCCATCAGGTAAGGGTATTCGCCTCCCGACTTGGTGATCGTCGTACCAAGCTCCGCAAAGCACAGAGCACCTGGAACACAGATAGGAGGGGCCCCCAGCACCCAGGTGAGGTGTGGCCAGATGGAGGGAGCCCTTCCCCCCTCTGTGGCCCATGCTCACAGGTCCACCATGGTGCTCTCATCTGACTGAGTTCTTGCCATTGGACATTTGGGTGTAGCCTGATTGACTCCTATTTATCAGCGTTGAAGGGGACCCAGCAGCAGCAAGGCTCGGGCACAGAACAGTGCTCAGATAGCCTGGCCCCACATTCAACAGGACACCGGGCCCGGAAGCAGCATCTTTGTTACCCAGTGTTGCAAGAATCCCACACGCCGCCCATATGATGAGGCAGGGCCCCACAGCTTCCGTGTTGCTGAGCACAGACTTGGGGGAAATGAAGATCCCGGAGCCGATGATGGTGCCCACGATGATGCAGATGCCACTGAGCAGGCCCACCTGGGATGTAGAGGAAGGAGAGGAGAGTTGATGCTGCACCGGATCCAGCCCGATGGCCAGCTGGAGCCCACTTCCTTCCTCCCTGGGGTCAGCACAGCCCCAAGGAAGCCCTCTCCCAGGTGCTTTCGCCGGGCTGCTGCAGGACACCCGGATGCTGCTGCTGGAGCTTTGCTCCTAGAGTCCATTAACCCTCACAACAGCCTCGTGAGGCAGGAACACCATGTCACACCCATTTCACAGAAGACAAAACAGAGGCTCAGAAAGGTAATGCTCCTGCCCAGGGTCATTTGGCCAGTGCGGGCAGACCTGGTGCAGGTCCCAGTACTGCCCTCGCTGCCCTGACCAGAGGGTCTGATGGTAAAGGCTGATTTAGCAAACAGTCCCCAACAACAAAGGCTCTAGGTGCTAAGAACTACACATATTGCAGTGAGTTACAAAATAGTCCCGGGGATGTCAAATACAGCATATAGTCAATTATATTGTAACAACTGTCTACGGTGCCAGGTGGGTACCAGACTTATGCTGCGGAATCACCTCGTAAACTATAGAAATGTCTAACCACTAGACTGTACACCAGAAACTTAAAATAATGTGAATGTCAACTGTAATTGACAAATTTAAAAAAAAAAGAAGGCGGCTCTGGGACATGCCTAATAACCGGGCAGAGCAGAACAAAGCTTCACCCCAAGAAATGATAGCAAAATCAGGGTTGGAGCCTCGGTTAGGGGTATCACAGGATGGATGGGAGGGAGCAATGGAGGCTCCCAGGACAGAGACACCGGGGGGCTGTGAAATTTCTCTGATGCCCTTTTACTTATTATCATCATCATTTTCTTTATTGATTTTTAGAGAGAGAGGAAGGGAGAGGGAGAGAAAAACATTGATGAGAGAGAAAACTGATTGGCCGCCTCCTGCAGGCCCACACCTGGGCATGTTCTCTGACTGGGAATTGAACTGGTGACTTCTTGGTGCATGGGACGATGCTCAGCCACTGAGCCACATGGCCGGACTCTGATGTCATTTTATAGGTCATGTGCTTCCTACCAGCAAGACCCAGCTCAGGCACACGGCGCTTGGTTCCATTCCTGTGAAGTTCCAGAACAGGCAAAACTAATCTGCAGGCACAGAGCTCAGGGTGGGGCCCGCGGGGTAAGGGGTAAGGGGGAACTTTCTGGGGGTGATCAGTTTGTCAAAACCCATCAAACTGAACACTGAAGATCTGTACATTTTACTGTGTGTTAATTACACATGGATCAAGTAAGAAAAACACTTTTTTAAGGAAGAATATGTCTGATTCACGCCCCTGCTTTTAACATCAACCCTCAGAAGCCACCTTCCTTGTCTCTGGAGCCCCAGGTGAACAGGGCTGTGTTTGCCTGTCTGGAGAGGCAGCGCTCAGGGTGAGAGCCCATAGAACAAAGCTGCCACCCAGGGACACACATTTGAAGGAGGGGTCCCGAGGAGCAGAGTCAGCTTCCATTCTGGCCTCAGGGCCAGGGTGAGCCCCCAGAGTCGTGTGTCTCAGCTGCCCTCCTCGAATGGAGGTTGGCTCACCAACCTTGGAGTCCTGCAGAATCTTCTTCCTGCTGAGGTTTGCATTCACCCCAAATTCCTGAGTTTAGGACTCACTGGGGGTTAACTCGGTTGTGCTTTTTATGGCTGAAAGGGAGGCTGTTGCTGCCTATCAGCTGACTCTTGGGGACCCAAGATCCCAGGCCACCCCTCTTGTCAATCCTCAGATCCCTCCTCTCTCTGTCCCATGTACTGCCAGGTGGGGGAGCCCCCACTCTCTGAGCCTCGGTCCAGGGCTCAGCCTATTCATTGGGCTCTGGAATCCCATCCTAATCTTGTTCACTCTTCATCCTGTGAGCCTAAGCTGGAGCTCCCAGCTCAGTGTGGACTAGGGCTGCTCAGGGTGGAGTGTCCAGCTGCTTTCTGCCCTTACTCCCCCACCCCTCGTGCCACCTGTATCTTGCACAGCCCTGGGCCCCCAAGGCTGCAAGCTCCCCTGAGTCTAGCCCTTATTGTGTTCCATTTCAGGGGGCTCACCTATGGCACCCCAGCTACACTCAGTAAGCAGGCGTGAGAATTTCATATCGCTGGATCTAGTGGGACAGATATTTGGGGAAGACGCTAACAGAGGGGACTCAAACACAAGGTCCACTTTGACCGTCCCTGAAGAGGACATCGGGCTGAGCGAACGCCAGCTCCTCCAGGCTTGCCCAGTGCACAGAATGCATGGATTACCTTCACAGGAAAATGCTGAGCTTGCTATCAGCAGGGAGGGATGTTAAGTTCAAAAAAATTTTTTTTCCTTTAGAGACCCTCTTTGCAAGTCAGAGGTCAGCAGGGACTTCCCAGGCTGCTCCCCATGAACACACCCTCCCAGAGTGCCCGCCCAGAAGGACCGCCTTACCTCCCTTTGGAGACTGGTGGTCTTGGGCTCATTACTCTGGATGGACTTCTGATCCCCTGTCCTTTTTCTCAGGCTCGTCTCCTCCATCGTTTCCTCCTGCCCGTTCTAGGAGGCTGCGAGGAGGGCAATGGACTGTTGAGCAAATGCTCCAGCAGACGGTGCCAAGGGCACGGCCAGGCTCTGCTAACGCACTTGGGCAGTGGGACCGGACTCCAAATCAAATTATTAGCTACTGTTTCAGGAGAGTAAGGTGTCGACCCCTTAGGGATCATTGGCTCAGGCCACTGAATAACACGTTTGCATGACTGCCGTTCAGGCCTTGGGAACTGGACCTCCCTGGCAGATGCCTCACCTCTGGGTTCCTAACCACAGCACTGACATGCTTGGAAAGCCACTGCCACCATGGTCCCACTTCATTTATTCCCAAAGTAAAAAGATACATTGTATCTAGTAGTCAACATGGAGTATACTTAGTCCAAGGTTTTATTTTAGTCGAATGTTTTTCTCATTACTTCCCCCGATGAAGGCACATAACTGCCGCCATGCGGATGTTTTCCATTGAAGGATGCAAGAAGTGGAAAAAATGCTGCAGAAACCCGGTACACGCGTTCACTAGCTGATGTCCTATGTCCTTTCTCGAAATCAAGTCCCTCCCAGTCCTTGCCAGGAGAGGGGCATCATCTTACCTCTGTGATTTTGCAGAGCCCAGGAAGCTGCCCACGAGGATGCGTGCCCGTCTGCAGTAATGTTCATGTCTTGTGCCCCAGAGCGGAGGGAGTCAGAAGGTACAGAGGTCAACAAAGGTAATAGTTAATCACTTTTAAAAAAATAAATAAATGAAGCTTGGATAAACCACCCCAAAAGGTGAGGCAAGCCAGTTTCTCTCCAGAAACATTTTTGTTTTATTCATTTCTGTCTAGATGATTGTTTTTCTTTTAACTAGATTCCCCCAAATTGGCTACATCCTGTAGGAAGAAATCTCTCTAAGGACTGGAACCAGAGGAAATAACCTTTTTAACCAACTCTTTTATTACCTTAACGGGCTCTGTTTACAGTCAGGCAGCACACCTAGGAACCACCAGTCAGGGCAGAGGTTTTCCCCTCAGCCAGGAGTTTCCTCCTGGAGGCCACCAAGCTGGTGGTGAGTCCTTGCCACTCAGGTTGGCCACGGACTGGGTGTGGCACCACCTGGAGCTGCAAGAGAGTTTGGCACCTGCAGACACAGCATGGGGCCTCCACAGGTCCCAGCCCACCTGCACCCGCACCCACACCTGCTGGCCGGTTCAGTTCCACGCTGCTGTTCAAGTAGCCCTGTCCTGTGCTTGCCGCTGTGGAGTGGAAAAGGGACACAAAACGTCATCTGCTCCACACTCTCCTACCTAATGGGGAAACCGAGGCCCTGAGAAAGGCCACAGAGCTCTGTCCCCCCACCCCACGCACACACTGGAGGTCAGGCTCTCTGAGGGGCAGAGGTGCTTCGGCTGTGCCTCCAGCTGGGGGCAGACTCACCCCTTCCCACCACAGGTGGTTCAGGTGAAGGCTCTAGTCCTTTATCTCAGATAAGACCTTCCTGGGGGGTTGAGGTGGGAGACCCCAGTCTGAAGCATTGTTGATGCTATCACAGCCCCCCCCCAGGCAGTTTCCTGTTGGGGTGAATTGAACTGCATTCCAGATATCCAGATGAGACCAAAGGTCACAGGACAGAGCTAGTGACCAGGGGCCATTCAGGAAGCGTTTTGGAACAGGCTAATCTGAGAGAAGGGCAGATTTCTCAGGGTTGTCTCTCTCCTGGAGAATGTGGGACCCTCGCTATTCCAGAGTCAGGGTCCGGATTTAGAAGTCTGTTGCCTGCCCTTCAGTGAGGGGACCCATGCTCATCAGGGTGCCCGCCAAGGCCAGAGCCCCCAGCAGAATGCTCGTTCATGGGCTGCTCCTCAGAGAGCAGAGGCCCAGGCCAGGGGGGACCTGCCAGCCTGAGACAGGACCTGCTCACAGGCATGCTGAAGTCTCTGCAGAGCGGAGTGTTGGCTACCCCGGCAGCTGCACTCAAACACAGCCAAATCACTGCAGAATACCCCTGGGTCACGGTTGCCTCCAGAGGGCTGATGTTCTAACAGAACCAAAAGAGGAGGCAGAGTGTGGTGGTGGATGGAAACCCCCGCAGCCCCTCCCCCCGCTCTGTCCCCAGACATGTGCCTTCAGAGTTATTTAGCCTCTGTCAAAGCACCAAGTTCTGAATCTGTATGATGCAGCTGCTAGGGGCACGCCCCTCGTGGACCGGCAAGGACTCCAGAAGGTGACCCGTCTATGCCAGCCCAGTTAGCCCAGAGGCGCCCCTCTCTTCTTGTGCCTCTGTCATGGCCTGAGTTTGGAATATCTGGGGGTGAGGATCCTCTGTTGAGGGTCAGAAGTATATTTCAGTTAATTATTGGTCCATTGTGGGCATTTCTTTCTTTTTTTTTAATCCTTACTCAAGGATATTTTTCTATTTGTTTTCAGATAGAGTGGGAGGGCGAGAGAGAAACATCAGTGTGATAGGGACACATTGACTGCTTGCCTCCCTCACGACCCGACAAGGCCCGGGACGAACCAAAATGAAGGTACGTGCCCTTGACCGGTATCGAACCCGCAAGTCATAGGTTGGCAGGCCGACTCTCTGACCGCTGAGCCAAACTGGCTGGGGCTGGGCATTTCTTTTCTTAAAGCCATTGTCCCCCCCTTCCCAATAGAACAAGAGCTCTACCAATTATTGTAAGTCTCCCCCCCAAAAAAATAATCTGAATGTATTTTAAAAACACCTCCCCCCCATCTTCTTCAAAATCTTTGACTTATTTTGTGTCTTGTTCTTCTACCACACAGCTGAAGTTTTACCTCATTGCGGTCAAGCCCCTCTTACAGCTAATTTCCTAAGAAGTTTCATGTTATTTTTTTCCATAAACTCCATTAGTAACGTTTCTGCTAAAAAAGCCCTTGACTGCCAGGATGGTGTGGCTCTGTGTTTGAGCATCGACCCATGCACCAAGAGGTCCCCGGTTCAATTCCTGGGGCCGACCCCCCAGTGTGGGGCAATGTTGTCTCTCATCAATGTTTCTATCTCCCTCTCCCTTCCTCTCTCTCTCAAATCAATGAAGAAAAAAAAATATTTTAAGAAGCACTTTCAAATTGTGCTTTTTCCAATTGCAAAGGTGCCTGTGGTTTGAAGATATGAACACCGTCAGCATTTTATTTTATCCTATTTTACTTGGTGCATGTCAGCGTGGTGGTGTGAATCCAGTTCTTCGCAGCCTTTTGGCCTCGAGTCCTCTGCTTTGCCCTACTCCACGATGAAGGCCGTCAAACCCCAGACAGTGCTGACCTTCCTTCACCACTTAAAATTTGTTCCAGCCCTGGTCATTTTGGCTCAGCGGTTAGAGCATCGGCCTGCAGTCCCGAGAGACCCGGGTTCGGTTCCCGCTAAGAGCATGTACCTGGGTTGCAGTTTGTCCCCGGCCCTGGTAGGGTCCTGCGTGTGGTAGCCACTCGATGTGTCCCTTTCACGTCGATGTTTCTCTCTCTCTCCCTCTCACTCTATCTGAACAAAAAAATGGAAAAATGTCCTCGGGTGAGGATAAAAAATTTGTTCCAGCCCTGGCCAGTTTGGCTCAGCGGTTAGAGCATCTGCCCGCAGACCAGAGAGTCCCAGGTTCGGTTCCCATGAAGGGCATGTACCTTGGTTGCAGTGTGTCCTCGGCCCTGATTGGGGTTGTGTGGATGGCATCCAGTCGATGTGTCTCTCTCTCTCTTCCTCCTCTCTCGCTCCTGCTCTATCTGAGGATGAATGCAAAAATGTATTTGAGTGAGCATTAAAAAAAAAAAATTGATCCAGACCTGCTTCTGAGTTGTTAACCTTTCTTCTGTTCCTGGTTTAATGGGTCTAATATTCCTTCCCACTGGTGCTGGCTGTAGTTCAGAGCTTCTGGGGACGCAAAAGACCAGGTAGCAGGTGTTCACTTATCTGAATTCCAACCAGAGGAACTTGTGGAGTCAGGGGAACAAGCAACATCTCCCAGCATCAAGGATTTACAGTCTAACCATAAAACAATCTGCAAGGAAAGCACAATTTAAAAACTCATCTGGGAAACAATCAAAATCTATGTATCTCTGGGAGCTGTTGGAACAGTGTGATACTGCCTTTGAACTTTGCCCATTTAATTTTGAGATATAATCGACAGCATTATATTCACTTCAGGTGCAGGACGTGATTTAATATTTGTATATATTGCAAAATGATCATCACAATAAGTCTCTTTCAAATCAATAGTGAGAAAATTTTTGTGTGATGAGAAGTTTTAATATCTATTCTCTTGGCAACTCTCAATATACAATATAGTATTACTAACTATAGTCACCATGTTGCCCATTACATTTCCAGGAGTTATTTATTTTATAATTGGAAGTTGTACTTTTTGAACCCTGGCATCCATTTTCCTACTCCTCCACCCCGGCCTATATATGTATATCATCTATATCTATATCTATACCTATATCTATATCTATCTATAGCTATATCTATATCTATGTATCTACATCATCTATATCTATATCTATCTATCATCTCTCTATATGAGTTTGGTGTGTGTGTGTGACGTGATGTGAGTCCCACTGTTACCAGAAAGGGACCTGCCTGGAGCGGGACTGCCTCAGGTCAGCCTGTAGTTCCTGGGTTCTTGACTTCGAGCAGGAACAATTTCACAATCCAAGTGCAGGTGATTTTGAGAGCGTGTGTTCACAGCTGGGGACGGTGACACAGGAACGGCTGAGGATTGAAGAAGCAACAGGAGAGAGCCCAGGCAGGGCTGCTTGGTGTAGGCAGCGCCAGAGGGCCAGGCAGTAGCCAGGCTGGTGCAGAGGGTGGGCAGGGGCTGGCTCTCCATGGGCAGCGTGGAACGTGGGGCCCAGGAACCTGAGGAGCCTTTACTGCCAATGGGAAGCTGTGCAGAACCTGAGGGTTGCCCGGAGTGACCCAGGTGTCAGTCTAGGAGTGTGTAGGAGTGTGCCTGTGTTCCGCGTGAAGGTAACCCTCCCACTGAGCCCAGCTGCTGAGGAGTTGAGGTGATGGTCACCCGGTCATCTCTGAACTGAGGGGGACAACCAGTCTATGTTGGACAGTTCACAAGCTCTGCATGATGGGAAACGGGGTTGGGAGCCTTTGAGGCCTGGGGAGCCCACCCTGAGGCTCTCCCCTGCTCTTCTATCCTCTCTCTGTCTCATTTTTTCTTTCTCTCAATCTCTTTCTGCCCCATTCCTCCCTCCCTGTCTCCTCTCTTCCTCCCTCTCTCCTCTCTCACTCCCCCTCTCTCTCCCTCCCCTTTTCCTCTCTCTCTGCTGAGCTCTGGTGCTGGCTCATCTCAGGGTCCAGTCTTTTAAATCTCTGGGGTCCACTTATTTCTCTCCTGCCTTCTGCCCATTCTGCTGGTCCCACTTTGAAAAGCCTGCATCTACCCTGGGCATCACAGGGCCCCTACAGAGCAGCCACAGATGGCTGGCTGAGGCAGGGGACAAGCTGGAGGGGCCTGCAAGGCGACATCTGCCCTCCCTGCCCTCAGGTTCCCTCAAACCCCTCCCCGCCTCCTCCCCCGCCAGCCAGGACACTGGGCCCTCGCCTATAACAGTTCTACTTGGATTGCAAAGGCTCTTCCAGGCAGAAGCCTTTTCTTTAACACTAATGCACTTATTCCTCACAGGGGACTCACCTTGCTCCTTCCCAGCATTGGTTTTGAATGCGATCAGCGGTTTCTCCATGTCAGCCTTGCCTGGCCCAGCATGCGCTCCCCGGGACCCCACCAAGGATGCCTCCTGTTGCCCAGCAGCAGTCCACACCCAGGGCAAGCCGGTTTGTCCTGGGACCTGGGAGCACTCCCTCCACAGAGGCTTGGCCTCCACTAGGCTGACCGGGCCTGCCGACCAGGGGTGAACATACCTCGCCCTCTCCTGGAAGCTCTAGAGAACAGTGGCCTCTTGCATGGTGAAATGTTCACCCACGTTCAGGTGGAGAGACAGGGAGGGAGGGCTGTGTGGGCTGCGGGGGCACCATGGAGTGAGCGGAGTCTCCTGCGGATCCTCGGGGACTCAGGCTCTGCAGGTGCACAGCCTGAGAAGAGGCGGGTAAGTCAGGCAGGGTCGCAGTCCCGGCTGCCCCCACCCCCAGCGGGGCAGCTAGTAATGCCTCCTTCCTCCCCCCGGAGCTGGCAGGTTTTTTCTCTGGACAACTTCAGTTTTGTCATCTTTGCCTTCAGTGAAGTTTCACGTTTCATTTGCTCTTGGAACTGCTTATTCATCTTTCTGGCAGTCGAGGGTATCCACAGAACCCTCCTCCAACACCATATTTTATTTTATTATTTTTTCCCCTTTATTGATTTTAGAGAGGAGGAAGTGAGAGGGAGAGAAATAGAAACATCAATGAGAGGGAACACTGATTGGCCGCCTCCTGCATGCCCCCCACTGGGGATCGGGCCCACAACCTGGACATGTACCCTGACTGGGAATCGAACCAGCGACCTCCTGGTGCATGAGTCGACGCTCAACCACTGAGCCACACCGGCTGGACTCCAACACCCTATTTTAAATAAACCGACTTCTTTCCTATCAGCCTCCTTCATTGTCCAAACTTCACATTCATACAGCGATTAGGAACACGGGGGTGGGCTGAGCTTGGCCTTGGTCTCTAATGACACATCTGTGCTCTTGGTGTCTGTCCTCCTCCTTCCGCTGCTGCCCTTCCGAGTCTCCCCCTTCTGGGGATTTCTTGGCTGCTGTCTCCACTTGCAGGTGAGCACAGTCTGGCTCACGTTATATTCCTCTTAGTGCCATATAGACTGAAATGTGAAAACAACACTAAGCCCCTAGGAGATAATTCATAACTTTGGGTCAGGGAAGGATTTTTTTAAATTGATTTTTTAGAGAGGGAGGAAGAGAGAAACATCGATATGAGATACATCAACTGGTTGTCCTACTTTGGGCACATCACGAGAAGGCAGGGTCCTTTGGAAAAGACAAAAATACTGGGAAACACAGAAGGCAGCAGGGAAAGAGGAAGACCGAACACGAGGTGGATCGACTCCATAAAAGACTCCACTCGCCTGAGCCCACCGGAGCTGAGCAGGGCTGTGAGGACATCACTCATCCACAGGGTCCGCGGGAGTCGGGCCCAACTCAATGGCACACCAAATACACATACGTATGTAATGTAAACATCCCTAGTGGCCACATTTTATTAAAAGTGAAAAAAAAAAAAGTGAAATCAATTTTAATTATTTAACCCAGTAGATACAAAATATCTCAACATAAAACCAACATAAAAATCACTAGTGAGCCCTGGCCAGTTTACCTCAGCAGTTAGAGCATCAGCCCTCAAACTGAAGGGTCACGGGTTTGATTCTGGTCAAGGGCACATACCTGGGTTGCAGGTTCAATCCCCTGGCCCTGGTCAGGGTCATGCAGGAGGCAACCAATCGACGTCTCTCTCTCTCTCTCTCTCTCTCTCTCTCTCTCTCTCCCCCCTACCCCCTTCCACTCTAAAAATCAATGAGCCCTGGCCAGTTTGGCTCAGCGGTTAGAGCGTCTGCCTGCGGTCCGGAGAGACCCGGGTTCGGTTCCCGCTAAGGGCATGTACTTCGGTTGCAGTATGTCCCCGGCCCTGGTTGGTCGTGCGGGTGGCAGCCACTCGATGTGTCCCTTCACATCGATGTTTTTCTCTCTGTCCCTTCCTCTCTCTCCCTCCCACTCTATCTGTACAAAAAAATGGAAAAATATCCTCGGGTGAGGATAAAAAAATAAAATAAAATAAAATAAAAATTAAAAAAAAATAAAAATCAATGAACAAATCTCCTCGGGTATGTAACAACAACAAAAAATTACTAGTGAGATATTTTACATTCTTTTTTTCATACTAAGTCTTCAAATTATGGTGTATATTTTATGCTTATAGCACATTTCACTTTGGGTTATTTTCATCAGAAATGATCAATATTTAGACGTCATAAAATCTGTAGAAGAGTGAGGCCGTGTTCGCATGGGCTCTAAGGTTTCCTCTGGGCAGAGACCCACTGGCTCTGGAAACTCAGGGCTCAGGTCCGGCCCAGATGTTCTCTTCCGAGCGCACGTGGGCTGTCACTACATCTGTTTGCCATCCCAGTTCTCAACAAGCAGCGCAGGGATGCGCACTGATGGTACATTTGTGCAATAAAAAAATCAAAACCAACAGAATTCAGAAGTGTCTCCTTTCTCCTTAGAGTTCGATAACCTCACCACTCTAAAGAGAAGGAAACTTTTGGGAAAGGGTGGCGTCTCCCCTTCTTCTCAGAGACCGAGATGAAAAACTGCGGACAGACAGCCTCTCACCTGCTCTCACGCCAAACTCACACCCCAAAACCCAAAATTGTGCCCCAACCTGCTCTGTCCACTCAGTCCTCCCCAGGACTGCTGCTCAGTGGTACCAAAGGCAGCGGGGCCGTTCGAGCTCCTGGGTCGTGTCTGATCGCTGTGTGCCTGGGGTCACTTTCAGCTTGACCAGGACCTTTCTCCAGCCAGATAAAGCCTCCCCAGGGTCAAGAAAGAGTGGAACGGGTCCTGCTCTGACCAGACACCTGCATGACGAATCGGAACAGGTGCCCCCTTCTGAGCAGTCCAAGGTCTCCGTGGACCGTGGACCGGTCTGGCCTCACTGCCCACCCCAAACCCCAGGCCCAAAGCCCCTCCTCCGCTCCTGAGTTCTTGCCTCTGCTCCCCTCCCTCTGTCCTCCAGCTCCTGAGCCCCAGCCCCTCCTGCAAGGCCAGGGTGTTAGTCTCTGCCCGAAGCCCCTCACACACGGCACGGGAGCCCGGTCCCGCCGGCCCCTCACACACGGCACGGGGCCCGGTCCCGCCGGCCCCTCACACACGGCACGACGGCCCGGTCCCGCCGGCCCCTCACACCCGGCACGGGAGCCCGGTCCCGCCGGCCCCTCACACACGGCACGGGAGCCCGGTCCCGCCGGCCCCTCACACACGGCACGACGGCCCGGTCCCGCCGGCCCCTCACACACGGCACGGGGACCCGGTCCCGCCGGCCCCTCACACACGGCACGACGGCCCGGTCCCGCCGGCCCCTCACACACGGCACGGGAGCCCGGTCCCGCCGGCCCCTCACACACGGCCACGACGGCCCGGTCCCGCCGTGCCCCTCACACACGGCCGACGGCCCGGTCCCGCCGGCCCCTCAACTACACGGCACGACGGCCGGTCCCGCCGGCCCCTCACACACGGCACGACGGCCCGGGGTCCCGCCGGCCCCTCACACACGGCCCGACGGCCCGGTCCCGCCGGCCCGCACACACGGCACGACGGCCGGTCCCGCCGGCCCCTCACACACGGCACGACAGGCCCGGTTCCCGCCGGCCCCTCCCACCCGGCACGACGGCCCGGTCCCGCCGGCCCCTCACACACGGCACGACGGCCCGGTCCCGCCGGCCCCTCACACACGGCACGACGGCCCGGTCCCGCCGGCCCCTCACACACGGCACGACGGCCCGGTCCCGCCGGCCCCTCACACACCGCACGACGGCCCGGTCCCACCAGCGCCCCGCCAGCCGTCCCCTCTGGTGCCTTCCAGGAGCCCAGAGAGGGGCCAGCTCATCAGGTCCCCTGTCAGCCTGAGCAATGGGTCTCGCGAAGCTTTCTCAATGGCTGTGTGGCCAGAAGACATGCGGGGGTTAAAATACAGGTTAGTGGTACGTTATTAAAATAAAGCAAAATGTGACAATGGATTACATTCCGAGGCAGTTTATTTCTTCCTAGCCCTGAGTAGAAAACACACTGCAGGTAGGTGGCAGTTGGCCGTTCCCTGCCCCGGCCAAGGGGACCTTTCCGGCAGGGGCCTAGCCCAGGGGCTCCCGCAGGCCCCGGCGGGTGGTGGGAGGCGGCTTCATGTCACAGTAGCTGAAGTGGCCCCCTAGCACGTCTCCCTGCGAGAGGCCGGCGAGGCAGGGGTCCTCGCGAGCTCGCGCCTTGTCCCCCACGCCTGTCCTCTCCAGTGTGGCCTGCAGCAGTTCTCGGATCCTTCGGTTCTCCTTGGAGGTGGACTCCCAAACAACTTCGAGCTCTCCTTCTATTGTTCTGAGAGAAATAATCAAAGCAAAGGAAACGTTTAAAATAGCAAAATGAAAAAATATGGCGAGAGCCTCCGGAATCCTAAAGTGGCAAGAACTCAAATGGAATATGCTTAACATCAGAGAGCAGAGCCTGTGGGGCTCAGGCTCTGGAGCCAGGACCCCCAGTGTTGAAGGAAACACCCAGGTCCCCTGGAAACAGAAAGAAATACTAAGGCACAGGCTGAAAACAACTCCCTACCTTTCCCCTCTAAAGGTTGCCTTTTCCTTTATTTTGGCATCAATGCACATACCTTGTTTTTCTTTTTTCTTTTCTTTTTTTTTTTTATCCTCACCCGAGGATATTTTTCCATTTTTTGTACAGATAGAGCGGGAGGGAGAGAGAGGAAGGGAGAGAGAGAGAGAAACATCGACGTGAAGGGACACATCGAGTGTCTGCCACCCGCACGACCAACCAGGGCCGGGGACGAAGTGCAACCGAAGTACGTGCCCTTAGCGGGAACCGAACCCGGGTCTCTCCGGACCGCAGGCAGACGCTCTAACCGCTGAGCCAAACCGGCCAGGGCCATACCTTGTTTTTCTATAGGATTAACATGCCTAAAAATAAAATGTAACTGAAGTGGTTGACCGGTAGCAGAATGGCCTGGCCGAGGGCACCCATGTGGCATGGCCCTCTAGGCTGCTCCACTGTCCCCTCTGCGACCTGGACGGCACGCGGGCCCCTTTCACAGGCACCCAGCCAGCCAGCCACTTACGGGTGAGCGGGAAGAAGGAAGCCAGAGAGGAGTGGGCCTCATAACTGAGGACACAGAACACTGGCATAGACCACACGTGCCTTTGGGCTTTGGTTTTCTTTTTCAAGTTTTTATGGTAAATTGTTAGGTCATTCATTTGAGGTTTTTACTTGTTTCTTGAGACAGGCCTGTAATGATATAAATTTCCCCCTTATTACCACTTTTGATATATTCCCTAAATATCATCCTTATATGTCTCTATGTATCTTTTGAGCTCTTTTATTTTCTTTTTTTTTTCTCCTACCATAAACAGTTTGTTTCAGTAATGATCAGTGTGATTTCAATCTTGAATGTGTTGAGGCTAGTTCTGTGTCCCAATATATGGTCTATCCTTGAGAATGTTCTATGTGCATTAAAGAATGTATATTCTGGGATGAAAAGCTCTGAAAATATTAGTTATGTGCATTTGGTCTAATGCGTTATTTAAGGCCAATATTGCTGCCTTATTCATTTTCTGTTTGGATGATCTATCTATTTTTGTCAATGGGGTATTTAAGTCCTCTACTATGATTGTGTTTTTGTCAGTTTCTCTCTTATTTCTGTTAGTAATTGCTTTATATATCTTGGTGCTCCCAGGTTGGGAGCATATATATTGATAAGTTCCCTTTATCATTATAAAATGTCCACCTTTGTGTCACTACCCTTTTTATCTCGAAATCTATTTTGTCTGATCTAAGTTCGGCGACCCCTGCTTTTCTCTGGATGCCATTTGCTTGGAGAATCATTTTCCGTCCTTTCCCTGAGTCTGTGTTTGTCCTTGCAGCTGAGACGTGTCTCCTGATGGCAGCATATAGGTGGATTTTGTTTTGCAATTCAACCCACTAGTCTGTGCTTTTTAATTGTTTTGTTTGGTCCATTTACATTTATTGGCATACAAGGACTTCCTACAGCCATTTTATCTTTGGGCTCTGTGTCCCCGCTGTTTCTTTGCCCTTGTGTTTTCATCTGTTGTTTTAATTTAGAGGAATTCTCTGGTCCCCCCCCCCTTTGTTTCCTCTCTCTCTCTCTCTTTTTTTTTTTGTTAATCCTGAGGATCTTTTTCCATTGATTTTTAGATAGAGTAGAAGGGAGGGGGAGAGACACACATCGGTTGGTTGCCTCTTGCAAGACCCCGACTGGGGCCGGCGATCGAACCTGCAACCCAGGCACATGCCCCGACCAGGAATCAACCCCGAGACCCTTTGGTCCATGGGCAGACGTTCCAACCACTGAGCCAAACCGGCAGGGCTCATTTTATTTTTTTGCTCTCAATTCTCTCCCTTCTTCCACATGAGTCATGTCCAGATCGCTACCTTCTGTCATGAATATGGTCCTCCATCTGGTCTGCTCTATTTCCTGAACTTGCGAGTTCATTCTTCATCTCTTCTGTTGAGTTCTTCAGCCCCAGAATTTTTTTTTTTTTGGTGTATTTTTTTTTATCGTCTCAGTCTCTTTGGTGAAGTACTCCTTTGGTTTATTGATTTGATTTCTGAGTTCATTAGATTGTCTGAGTTTCTTCTTTCACATTGAGTTTTTTTCAGAACTGCAATCCTGAATTGTGATTTAAAATGCATACTTCTATGTCTTGAAGTTTACTTTCTGAAGACTTTTTCATTTTCTTTCTGAACTCCCTTGTTACCTTCGTTATTCACTGTGTTAATGGACTGTTTCTCTGCCCAGGCACTTGTGGGAATAAAATCTGCTTTTTAAAGAATTTTACACTATTTAGCAGGCTGATAAGTAGAGAAGTCTTTCTTTGTTTTCCTGTTTTGTCTTACCTGCACTGCTGGGGCTTCTGGGATCTCTGTGGGCTGTCCCCCACAGAGCTGTCCCCTCAGCTGTGGGAACTGCTCCTATTCCCCAGGAGGTGGTGCTCCCTTTATGACCTGGTTGCCTGCCTTGGGCCACCACTGCCATGGGCTAGACAGGGCAGACTACGGTCTCCGGTGTGGCCCTGGCGCCACCTTCCTATAACCAGTAGCTGCTGCAGGGCTGCTCTGAGTCGACCCAAATGCTACTACTAGGCTGTGCCTGGGCGGGTTGAGGAAGGGGGAAGTGAGTTTGCCCATCCTGGTTCTGTTCTTCCTTGTGGATTTAGTTGCAATGAGTATAGACCACTCACGCTAGAAAGTTTTTCTCAGCCCTTTTGTGATCTGTTGAGTGAAGATTTTGTTGCCTGGGAGGCCTCCAAGATATGGGGTGGGCGGATTACCCGAATGTGGAAAACTTGGTTCAATGCTCGTGGGCTTTGAGTGCCCTTAGGGGGAACCAAACCCGGGCGTCTCTGGTCCACGGGCCGATGCTCCAACCACTAAGCCAAACCAGCCAGGGCCATGTCAATGTGTGTCAACCATCCAGGCCTGATTACAAGTTTCCCCTCCAGTTTGGTCCGCCCAGTGCAGGCTGCACCCCAGCTCTTCACTTCTTTCACGCTCACTGGGGCTGCAGCAAGCATGGGGCTGCATGTGGCATCTGTCTCTGTCCTTCTCCCTCCCAGACCTGTCTGCTGTTCATTCACCTTCAGATGTCTCTGTGCAATAGTTCAGACATGCTTATGTGTTGTGCAGAGAATGCTGTGTTGAATTGTAGCTGTTCAACTTACAACTTTCAGGAGAGAGACTTGGAGGTCCTCTCATCTGCCATGCTGCTGACATTGTTGCTTGAAAAGTCTATTTTGAAAATGAATAGCCCTGGCTGGGTAGCTCAGTTAGTTAGAGCATCATCCCCATACGCCAAGGTTGAGGGCTCCATCCCCAATCAGGGCACATGCAAGAATAAACAAATGATGCATAAATGAGTGGAACACCAAAATGATGTTTCTCTCTTTCTCCCTAAAAATCAATCAATAAAAATTTTAAAAAATTATTAATATAATTGAAGTGGCTTTGGGTTGGAAATACTCTCTGTCACCAAAGAGAAGCAAAAGCAAATCTCTGGAGAAAAACATCCTCAATCCAGACCATCAGGATTCCACAGATTAAATTCAATATATGATTTCAGAGTTTTAAAAAAATTACTGTATATACAAGGAAATAAGCCACAGAGGATAAGAGTCAACAAAACCAGGTTAATGCTCCCCAGAATTTCACATATTAGAAAACCCACATACAGAATATAAAATAACTTATAAGCCCTGGCCAGTTTGGCTCAGCAGTTAGAGCGTCAGCTTGTGCACCAAAGGGTTGTGGGTTTTATTCTTGGTCAAGGGCACGTACCTGGGTTGCAGGTTTGATCCCCAGCCCTGGTGGAGGTCATGCAAGAGGCAATCAATTGATGTGTCTCTCTCACATCAATGTTTCTCTCTCTCTTTCCCTCCCTCTCTTCTTTCCACTCTATTTAAAAAGCAATGGAAGCCCTGGCCGGTTTGGCTCAGTGGTTAGAGCATCGGCCTGCGGTCCGGAGAGACCCGGGTTCGGTTCCCGCTAAGGGCATGTACCTCGGTTGCAGTTTATCCCCGGCCCTGGTTGGTTGTGCCGGTGGCAACCACTCGATGTGTTCCTTTCACATCGATGTTTCTCTCTCTCTCTGTTCCTCTCTCTCCCTCCCACTCTATCTGAACAAAGAATGGAAAAATGTCCTCGGGTGAGGATGATAAAAAAAATAAATAAAAAAAATAAATAAATAAAATAAAAAGCAATGGAAAAAATTCTCGGTGAGGATTAAAAAATAACAATAACAACTTATGAACAAAATGATAAAAAATGATATATTAAAAATAGGCAAAGACAAAGAATTTATTTTTAAAATGGCTAGATTTTCAAAAGTACAAAATAGAAGTTCTGAAAGTAAAATATACAGTTGTTGAAATAAAAAACTCAGTGGCTGGGTTAAACAGTGGATTGACATTGCTGAAGAGAGAATTAATGAACAGGAATACTGAGCACAGTAATGACCCAGAATGTAGACCTAGAAAATGAGGAGATGGAAAACTTAAAAGGTAAGGCACAGCCCTGGCCAGTGTGGCTCAGTTGGTTGGAGTGTCGTCCTATATACTGAAAGGTTGCAGGTTCGATTCCCAGTCCTAGGTTGCAGGGTACATACCTAGGTCTTGGGTTTGATCCCTGGTCGAAGCACCTATAGAAGGCAACCAATCAATGATCTCTCTCACATTGATGTTTTTCTCTCTCTCTCACCCCCCCCCCTTAAAATCACCTTTCTACAGTAATAAAAGACACAAAATTACAGATATATTAACTTTACAAAGTAGATAGTATAAAGAAATTCATAGTTAAACAAATAATGAAACTGCAGGATACAACAAACAGCAGAGATATTAAAAAGACAAGAGAAAAATGGACCTTAAAAAAAAAAAAGACAAAAGACACCATAACAACAAAAATGAAACAGAGAAGACAACGGAATATGCTGAGAAAAAAAGCCTGTCAAAGTAGAATTCTATACCCAGCAAAAATCATCTTACAAGAATGGCATCAAAATCCAGTGTTTTCAGATAAACAAAAACTAAGAGAGCTTACTCCCTACAGGCTCTCATTAAAGAAACTTCTAAAGAATGTATTTTAGGAAGAAGGAAACTAATCTGAGAAATCAGGTTTGAGATGCAAGAAAGAATATGTAAAAAGATAATCTGAGATATTAAAATTTTTGAGTTTTTTGAAGCAAAAATCAATTCAAACTGGGCAACATCCAATCTGGCAGATAGAAAGGAGCTCCAAGGAGCTGTATAAAATAAAAGGATTTTATAGGCAGAAGAGGGCAAGAACAAGGAAGTTAAATGAGGCAAAGAAGTAGATTGGTTACTGGAAGGTCACTTTCCTTTAGGGCCTATCAGGTAGATTATGTAACTAGTGCTGATCAAGTGACTCCTGCCTGACTAATTTAAGACTCCACTTCTGGGAAAGCTGACACTGTAAATTTAGTCTTGGTTTGGTTGCATAAGCAACTCCTATTGTCTTGATTTTAACAATGAGCAAGCAAAGAAATTGGTAAACTGTAGGTAAATAAAAATAAACAACTATATAAAAACTAGTAACATGTGCCCAGCCAGTGTAGCTCAGTGGATTGAGTGTTGTCCCATGGACTGAGAGGTTCCAGTTCACTTGCTGGTTGGGGCACATAACTGGGTTGTGGACTTGATCTCCAGTAGGGGGCGTGCAGGAGGCGGCTGATTGATGTTTCTGTCTCACATTGATATTTCTCTCTCTAAGAAATCAATAAAAATATATTTTTAAAAAACCAACAACAGCCCTGGCTGGTTTGGCTCAGAGATTAGAGCATTATCCTGCTGACCGAAGAGTCGCGGGTTCAATTCCGGTCAAGGGCACGTACCTCGGTTGTGGTTAGATCCCCGGCCCTGGTTGGGGTCATGCAGGAGGCAACCAGTCGATGTGTCTCTCTCACACTGATGTTTCTCTCTCTCCCTTCCTCCCACTCTATCTGAAAGTCAATGGAAAAATATCCTTGGGTGAGGAATAAAAAAAGAAAAAAGAAATAAAAAACAACTAGTAACATTTAATTTGGAGTGGCTAATGACATAAAAAAGATCTCTCAAGTTCTCATTAGTTATATAACTCATTAGTTATATCTAATGACACTAAATAATAACAGCATATAAACTGGGGAAAGAATTAGATTAAAGCATTTGATGTTGAGCATTTGGGGGGACAAATGTAGAGATGATGATTACATTTATGTTTTTTTATAAAAATAATTTTTGTTGATTTTAGAAAGAGAAATAAAAACATTGATAAGAGAGAACATCGATTGGCCGCCTCCTGCATGCCCCCCCACTGGGGATCGGGCCCACAACCTGGGCTTGTGCCCTGACAGGGAATAGTACTGGTGACCTCCTGGTGCATGGGTCGATGCTCAACCACTGAGCCACGCCAGCCAGGCTACATTTATATTTTTTAGTGTCAAATATCTATGGTGAAATTTCAAGGGTAACCACTCAAAGAACAGAAACAGAATGTATAATTTTTAAACAAGGGCAAAAAAATGGAATGGGGAGAAAGTGAAAAATAAAGTTCTATTCTATTAATGCAGTTTTGTTTTTTAAATCCTTATCTGAGTATATTTTTCCATTGCTTTTTCAGATAGAGTGTGAGGGAGGGAGAGATGAAAGAGAGAGAGAGAGAAACACTGATGTGAGAGAGACACATTGACTGGTTGCCTCCCACCCGACCCCGACCAGGGCCAGGAATTGAACCGCAGCTGAGGTACGTGCAGACCCTTTGGTCGGTGGGCTGCACTCTAACTGCTGAGCCAAACCAGCCAGGGCTATTAATGCAGTTCTAAACCTCCTGTCTGGCAAGAAACTTGGTATTGGTTCAACTTTTTACAAAGTGACTCTTCATGGTGATAGAAACTTCTGTGACTCCAGAAACCATGTTAGGTAAGACTTCATTTTGCTTGGCATTAAGACGCATCTGGCTGATGGAAAACAGACAGATAACTGCATTCTGCATGGCATCAAATACTACCTATTTAGTAGGGGATCCTACTGAAACCTGAAGAAAATCACATCTGAGCGTCATTCTTCTTCCTCCGCAGGCATCAGTGCACATTCCAGTCTGCCAGAGGCAACACAGCCACTGTCCGAGGGGGGACCACCAAGTTCACCTTCACAAAGCGTTCAATATTCCCCAGTGTGTTGTTGTTGTTTTTTATCCTCACCTGAGGATATCTTTCCATTTTTTGTTCAGATAGAGTGGGAGGGAGAGAGAGAGAGAGAAACATCGACGTGAAAGGGACACACAGAGTGGCTGCCTCCCGCATGACCCAACCAGGGCCAGGGACAAACTGCAACCGAGGTACATGCCCTTAGCGGGAACCAAACCCAGGTCTCTCTGGACCGCGGGCCAACACTCTGACCACTGAGCCAAACCGGCCAGGGCTCCCCATTGTTTTTAATACAATGGCAGTGTTTCCTCTATAAATTTAAAGGATAAAGCTATAACTGATATAGTACCTTATTTCCACAGAGACATAATGCACCTCTGATATTATTACAATCTTCTAAAAAGAGGGGTTTTAATGTTCTCCTGGCAATAGAAACAAAAAAAGGAATAAAACATTTAATATAAAGTAGTACCTCCCAAGAAAATGGAATAAAACAAAAATATCATAGAGATGGAAAAGAATAAAAAAGGGAAGGACAATTAGAGGACTAGATTGATTTAGAAAGTCCAATATTCAAACCACAGAAATTTTTCAAGGAGGATTAAAGAAAACAAAGAACTGGGATGTAATGTACAGCATGGTGACTATAGTTGACAATACTGTACTGTACGCTAGGAAGTGGAGAAGAGAGTAGATCTTTTTTTTATCCTCACCCAAGGATATTCTTCCATTTATCTTTAGACAGAGTAGGAGGGAGGGAGAGAGAGAGAGAGACAGAGAGACATCAATGCAAGAGAGAACATCAACTGGTTGCCTCTAGCACGACCATGACCAGGCCCGGGGACAAACCGCAACTGAGGTACATGCCCTTGGCTGGAATCAAACCCAGGTCTCACTGGTCCACGGGCAGACACTCTATCCACTGAGCAAAACCGGCCAGGGCGAGAGAGTAGATCTTAAATGTTCTCACTATACTAACACCACATGGTAGTAAGTGAAGTGAAGGATGTGTTAACCTTATTGTGGTAATCATTTTGCAATACATACATGTATTAAATCATCACGTTGTATACTTAAACTTACACAATGTTATACATCAATTGCTGGGGAAATTTTAAAAAAGAAAATAAATGAAAGAGCAAACAAAAATCAAGACCAATATTAAATTCAGATAAAACTAAAATGAAAAAAACAAAATAAGCAATCAAATAAACAAAACAGATCTAGAGGGTTTTATTAAAACATTCTACCAGCATTTAAAATGCAAACACCTGAAGTGGGGTGGGGCGGTCCTACCTCTTCTGCTGCAGCGCCTCGTCCAGGACATCCTGCTTGTCCTGCAGCATCCGGTGGAGGTGCCTCATCTCCTGCTGGTACTGAGCTGCCTTGCTAGCAAAGTCCTCCTGCTGCTCTGTCAGACAGTGACTGATGTCATCCAGCCTCAGTGAAGCCAGCTTCTTGTACCCCTGGTGGAGGAGGAGGGGCCGGGTGAGTGAGGGGAGGCTGCTTGCTGCCCAGGTCAGTGACCCCATGGATGCCTTCATTCCCTGCCCACCTCCCTGGGCTGTCAGAAACCACTGAGTTGAGTGAGCCCAGATAGGTCTGATCTGGGAGGGTAAGTCTAGATCATAAAAGTCATACAAAGTAATAAAAATTTTTCAAGTATAATAAAATCAAATTTCTAATTTATATCATGCTATAAATTATTTCTATATGCTATAAGTAAAATTAAGACAGAAGAACCTGGCAAGATTTGTCATACTCTATTGGTAAAGAGATGACTGAGATAAAAGACTAATTCCATTATTTTCCTATTACATTTTTATTGCATAGTATTTAAGGTTACAAATTTCCCTCTGAGCACCTCTGAAAGTGTGGTCACATAAATTTTAACTTATAGTTTACACAGATTCAATTCTCTTTGGAAATTATGACATTCTGGAGGCGAGTTCAAGATGGCAGAGCAGGAGGACTCTAAGTTCAGCCTCTCTGAAGGGCACATTAAATTTATACCTATATATAGAGCAGTTCCTCTGGGAGACACCTAAGAGCTGCCTGAATAGCTTCTGCACAAAAACCAGAGAGGAGGGCTGCACAGAGAAGGCCGGGAATGGCGAGTGCTCTCCAGGAGAGAACTGTCCGTCAGTGGAGGAACTGGTGAGGGCCATTGTTCACACTTCTCCTGCACCTGGCTGGCAAGTGGCAGCTTTAGCCAGGTTCTCTGGTCAATCTGCGCGCTACTGTAGCACATCCCCAGCCCCCCTCGCAGAATTAGATCCCACAGAAACAGGACAGCACCACAGTCCACATAGATGGGGCCCTTTCACTCAGAGGTTGGTCCAGTGGGTGTGGCAGGGTGCTGCAGCATGCACTTACTGGGCTGCATGTGAATGTGGGAAACCCCCGCTCAGAGCATTGAACCAGCAAAATGCTGTGGTGCCCATGTGTAAAACTGTCCCATCCAAAGTGCAGAAATCGTGGGGAGCTCCTGCACATGCACAGGGGCTGCCTTGTGCGGAGAAAGCGTGGAGACAGTGGGACAATGCAATACATGCACTCAAGAGCAGCCCTGCCCAGGTCAGGTTCAGGCCACAGATGATTAAAGCAACAGGGCACACTGCATACATACTGGGCAGCACAACCCACACAGGACAGCCCTGCCGGGAGCAGAAGGACAAGGAAGCACTCCCATACCAGGCTGCCCTCCTGGAACTCACTCCTTCTGGCTACCAGGACTGTACGTACCTGTCCCAACTACAACTGCACTATCAAAAACATCTGGTATACAGATTGCAAGAAAGAGCTATTTCATCTGCCTCATAGGAACAAACACAGAAAGTCAAACAAAATGGGGAGACAGAAGAAAAGTTCCAAATGAAGGAACAATAAAAAATTCCAGAGAAAAACTCTAATGAAATAGTAATAACTTATCTTGGAAATAACTCATAAATAACTTTGCCTGATAAAGAATGCAAAGAAATGGTCATACGCATACTCAACAAACTTGAGAGTAAAACAGACAAACTCAGATAGCATTTCAACAAAGGGTTAGAGAATGTAATGAGGAACCAATCAGAGATGAAGAATATATAACTGAAATAAAGAATACTTCAGAAGGAACTGAAATCAGATTAGTTAATACAGAAGAATGAATTAGCAACCTGGAAGACAGAATATTGGAAATCACCTAATCAGGACAGCAAAATGAAAAAATAATTGTAAAAAGTGAGGAAAGGCCAGCCGGTGTGGCTCAGTGGTTGAGCATCGACCCATGCACCAAGAGATTGCTGGTTCAATTCCCAGTCAGGGCACATGCCCAGGTTGTGGGCCAAATCTCCCGTGTGGGGCATGCAGGAGGCGGCCAATTGATGTTCTCTCATCAATGTTTCTATCTCTCTCTCCCTCTCCCTTCCTCTCTCTCTAAAAATCAATAAAGAAAAAAAAATAAAATAAAAAGTGAGGATAGTATAAGAGGCCTCTAGGACAATATAAATGCTCTAACATCTGCATTACGGGGATTCCAGAGGGAGAAGAATGAGAGAAAGGGGCAGAAAGTATATTTGAATAAGTAATGGCTGAAAAATTCCCTAATCTGGGAAAGGAAACAGATTCAGGTCCAGGAAACACAGAGTTCCAAACAAGATGACCAAAGAGGCCCACACCAAGACACATCATAATGAAAATGGCAAAAGTTAAGAAGAAAGGGGCAAGACACCAAGAAGGAAACAAGTCCTGTACAAGGGAAACCCCATAAAAGTTACCTGCTGACTTCTCAGAAGCAACTCTGCAGGCCAGAGGGAGGGGCAGGACAGATTTACAGTGCTAAAAGAAAGGGACCCATGACCTAGAATACTGTATCTGGTAAGGCTGTCATTCAGAATTGAAGGAGAGATAAAGAATTTCCCAGGCAAGTAAAAACTAAAGGAATTCACCACCACTAAACCAGCTTTACAAGAAAGGTTAAGAGGTCTTCTTTTGCAGGAAAAAAAAGGGCTATAACCAGAAATAAGGAAATACAAGAAAGAAAAATTCTCACTGGTAAAGGCAAATATATAATAAACAGTAAATCAACCACTTAAAAACAAATATGAAAGTTAAAAGACAATGTAGCAAAATTAACTATAACTACAATAAATAGGGGATACAAAAAAAGGAAAGTATAAATCATAATGCCCAAAACATAAAGAGTGGAGGGGAGAGTAAAAATGTAGTGTTTTTGAAATGCATTTGAGCCTTTGCTGGTTTTGCGCAGTGGTTAGGGCATTGGTCTGCAGACCAAAGGGTCGCAGGTTTGATTCCGGTCAAGGGCACATACCTTGCTTGTGGTTTGTCCCCAGCCCTGGTCGTGGTCATGCGGGAGGCAACCAATCAATGTGTCTCTCTCATATTAATGTTTCTCTCTTTTTTTCTCTTTCACCCACACTCTATCTGAAAATCAATGGAAAAATATCCCTGGGTGAGGATTAAAATAAATAAATAAATAAAATAAAATACATTTGAACTTAAACACTTATCAGCTTAAAATAGATTATTCACACACACACACACACCCCTCATAACCACAAACCAAAAACCTACAAAGAATACAGAAAAAATAAGGAGAAAGGAATCCAATAAAAACACAAGAAAATGAAATCAATAGAAGAGATCAAGAGAAGAAACAGAAAACAACAAAAACAATAAAAAACAATTAACAAAATGGTAATAAGCACATACCTGTCAATAATTATTTTAAATGTAAATGAAATTGAAGCAGTAATAAAAAAACTACCAACAAACAAAATCCTAGGACCAGACCCTTCACAGGTGAGTTCTATCAAACATTTAAAGAAGTAGTAATACCGATCCTTCTCAAACTATTCTAAAACACCGAGGAGGAAGGATGGCTTCCAAACTCTTTCTATAAGGCCAGCATTATGCTGATACCAAAACCAGAAAAATACACTGAGAGAGAGACAGAGAGAGAAAAATTACAGGCCAAAATACCTGATGAACATAAATGCAAAATTCTTTTTTTTTTCAAATTTTTTTCTTTATTGATTTTAGAGAGAGAAGGGAGAGAGAGAAACTTCAATGAGAGAGAACATCAATTGGCCGCCTCCTGCATGCCCCTCAATGAGGATTTGGCCCACAACCTGGGCATGTGCCCTGACCAGGAATCAAACTGGCGGCCTTCTGGTGTGTGGGTTGATGCTCAACCACTGAGCCACACCAGCTGGGTGCAAAATTTCTTAACCAAATACTAGCAAACAGAATTTAACAATACCTTAAAAGGATTATATACTGCCTTGGCCAGTGTGACTCAGTTAGTTGGGCATCATTCCATGCACCAAAAAGTTGCTGGTTTGATTCCCAATCAGGGCACATGACCAGGTTGCAGGCTAGATCCCCAGTGGTGGGGCGTGCAGGAGGCAGCCAATCGATGTTTGTTTCTCTCTGTCTCTCTCTCATTCTCTCTCCCTCTCCTTTCCTCTCTCTTTAAAATCAATAAAAACCTATTTTTAAAAATGGATTATACACCATGATCAAGTGGGGTTTATACTAGGGATGCAAGGGTGGCTCAACATCTGCAAACAATCAATGCAATAAAATCCTATGATCATCTCAATAGATGCAGGAAAAACATTTGACAAAATTCAACATCCACTTATGATAAAAACTCTCAACAAAGTGGGTTAGAAGGAACTCACCTCAACTTGATAAACAATATATATCAAAAGCCTACAGCTAACATCACACTCAATGGTGAAAAGCTAGAAGCTTTTCCTCTAAGATCAAGATCAAAACAAGGATGCCCACTTTCACCACTATTATTCAATACAATATTGGAAGTCCTAGCCACAGCAACAGACAAGAAAAAGGGACTTTTGCCCTGGCCAGTTTGGCTCAGCGGTTAGAGCGTCGGCCTGCGGTCCAGAGAGACCTGGGTTCGGTTCCTGCTAAGGGCACATAGCTCGGTTGCAGTTTGTCCCCGGCCCTGGTCGGTTGTGCGGGTGGCAGCCACTTGATGTGTTCCTTTCACGTAGATGTTTCTCTCTCTCTCTGTTCCTCTCTCTCCCTCCCGCTCTACCTGAACAAAAAATGGAAAAATGTCCTCGGGTGAGGATAAAAAAAAAAAAAAAATTTAAAAGAAAAAGGGACTTTAAAAGGCATCCAAATTGGAAAAGAAGTAAAACTGTCACTAATTGCAGATGATATGATGCAATATCTAGAAAACCCTAAAGAATCCACCAAGAAATTAATAGAATTAATCAATGAATTCAATAGCAGGATACAAAAAAATTTTTTAAGTGTTTTTTTTTGTTTGTTTGTTTGTTTTTTTGGTTTTTTTTTCCTCACCCGAGGATATTTTTCCATTTTTTGTACAGATAGAGTGGAAGGGAGAGAGAGAGAGAAACATCGACGTGAAGGGACACATCGAGTGGCTGCCACCTGCACGACCAACCAGGGCCGGGGACAAGCTGCAACCGAAGTACGTGCCCTTAGCGGGAACCGAACCCGGGTCTCTCCGGACCGCAGGCCGACGCTCTAACCGCTGAGCCAAACTGGCCAGGGCAAGTGTTTTTTTTAAACGTATTTTTCTTTATTGATTTGAGAGAGAGAGGGAGAGGGAGAGAGAAATAGAAACATCAATTGGCTGCCTCCTGCATGCCCCCCACTGGGGATTCGGCCCACAACCTGGGCATGTGCCCTGACTGGGAATTGAACTGGTGACCTCCTGGTGCATGGGTCGACACTCAACCACTGAGCCACACTGGCTGGGCTTTTTTTTTTATCCTCACCCAAGGATATTTTTCTATTTATCTTCAGATAGAGTGGAAGGGAGAGAGAGGGAGAGAAAGAAGGGAGAGAGAGAAACATCGACATGAGAGAGACACATTGACTGGTTGCTCCCCACACAACCGCAATCAGGGCTGGGGATGCACTGCAACCCAGGTACGTGCCCTTGACCAGTATCGAACCTGTGACCCATTGGTCCGTGGGCCGACGCTCTAACTGCTGAGTCAAACTGGCCAGGGCTCCTTTTAATTTTTAAAACATCTGCATGGTATTTTATTGTGCAGATGAATCGTAGTTTGTTTAATGAGTGGAGAGATGCTGCTTCTGGAGAGGTGCCGTTTCTGCCAGCAAACTCTGTGCTGCTTTTCTCTATGAGTGTCATACACCTGCAAAATGCATCACCTTCTTTTAATTTAAAAAATTTTTTTTTTCCTTTATTGAATTTTAGAGAGATAGAAACATGGATGAGAGATAACATTGATTGGCTGCCTCCTGCATGCTCCCCACTGGGGATCGGGCCCACAACCTGGGCATGTGCCCTGACCGGGAATCGAACTGGCGACCTCTTGGTGCATGGGTCGACGCTCAACCACTGAGCCACACTGGCCGGGCTGTGTCACTTTCTTAAACATGGAAATCTGTACGCAGTAAGACTCTGTTCCCATTTGAAAAGGAATCTTAAAGGCTAAATGACCACTTACCTTGACTTTTTCCTCTAACCTTCCGATGCGAATATTGCCTTTTATAATTTTGTTGAGAACTCCATGTTTCTCACTTTCTAAACATGTGGCCTAAGGAGAAAGGTGAAAAGAAACACAATGGGCTCAGTATTGCAGAAAAATGAAAAGAATAAAAAGTTCTTCTGTGCCCTGGCCGGTTTGGCTCAGCCCATGGACCAGAGAGTCCCGGGTTCGGTTCCTGCTAAGGGCACGTATCTAGGTTGCAGTTTGTCCCCGCCCTGGTTGGGATTGTGTGGATGGCAACCACTCGATGTGTCTCTCTCATATCGATGTTTCTCTCTCTCTCTCTTCCTCCTTCTCTCCCTCCCACTCTGTCTGAAGGTAAATGCAAAAATGTCCTCGGGTGAGTATACAAAAAAACAAAACAAAAATCTTCTGCAAGGAAGAACCAGCCAGGGTAACTTGACTTACTTGAATACTTACAAAATTAAGGACAACATAACACGAATGCACTATGCTGTTCTGCAAACAAAGGTGCCAGGCACTATTTCCAAGATGGATGTCACTCGAAGCTGAATGATTCAGATTAATATCTACATGGGACATGAACTACTATGCCCTATAGATTAACTATTTCAAATGGTAAAAAAAAAAAAAATTGTAAAAGTGAGCATTTCTTCTAAAGTAGGCTAGTAGTGGCAATTTGATTAGCAGAAAGGAAAAATAAGACAAAGACAGTTAAATAACTAGCCACGAGTCACATAGAAAACCTATCTGAAAGGCAGAATTAGATATTAAGATGCTGATATTAATACAAGGGGCTCTCATAAGGCCCAAGAGACTGGCAAGGGGTCAGGTGGGAGCAACAGCAGCCAGTACCACCCCCGAACCCCTTCTAGAGGGGCTGGCCTTGAGGCTCCACAGGGGAAGGACCCTGTGGGGCCAAGGGGACAGCAGTGTTTGTGTACAGGTGGGTGGGCCAGGGTGAGATGAGAGGACCCCCCACCCCACCCCCATTTGAAGGGTCTGAAGACTCTCAACTCAGACCTGGCTTTTAGGCCATAGTAATAAATGTCAGGAGAGAAGGAGAAAACACATTTGATTAACAGTCATAATTTGTAACTTTTAAGTATTTGAACACACAGTATGTAGCCTCCATTTATATTTCTTTTTAATTTTTTCTAGAGAGAGAGAGAGAAACATCGATGTGAGAGAGACACATCAACTGGTTGCCACCCACACAACCTGGGCCAGGGACAAACTGCAACCGAGGTACGTGCCCTTAGCAGGAACCGAACCCAGGTCTCTCCAGTCCACAGGCCAGTGCTCTAACCACTGAGCAAAACCAGTCAGGGTTCCATTTATATTTCTACCCTGGGCTCATAAAGGGATGGACCTCAGGGGGACCGCTTCTGGGTCAGGGAAAATCTTGACATCACCATGGAAGCCTGGGATGTTCTCTGGCCCACGTGCGCCTGCATCCTGGAGGAACCCGTGTCCTGCCCTGCAAACAGTGGCACTGACACATGGCAGCTGGGTCCCCATGAATGCTTGCTAGATGAATGAGTTTGTTTGACAGTTTATGATTTTCAACAAGCCCCAAACGTTCTCAGCGTGGATTCAGAGAGTGCCAAAGTTCAGCACTGGGGTTGGGACAGTCACTTCTCAGGAGAGGGATCACTGGGTCAGGAGGTCTACATGTTCCTACCATCCTGTCAAATGGCTTATACAAGGCTCAGAGAAGGACTTAGAAATCACCAGTAATGTATAACCAGGCTTACCACATTTTTTTCTAATATTAATAAAAGTTCAAAACGGTATCTCAAGACTGGTAAATTAACATTTCTTTGATCACAAGTCAAGATTAACATTTTGTCCTGGTTGGTGTGGCTCAGTAGGTTGGACTTTCATCCCATGCACTGAAAGGGCACTGGTTCAATCCCTGATCAGGGCGCATACCCAGGTTTTGGGTTTGATGCCACAGGGGCATGTGTGAGAAGCAACCGACTGATGTTTCTCTCTCTCTCTCTCTCTCTCCCTTCCTCTCCCAAATCAATTTTTAAAAACAGATTTAAAAAAATCAACATTTCCCCCTAAGAGTTGGAGACTATTTATATTTCTTCCTATATAAACAATGGTTAAAATCTATGTGCATTTTCCTGTGGAGGAATTAACATCTTTCTAGCAAAAGGGAATAAGCCTGGGACGCATCCTGACAGACTCCACAGCTCACTCAGCTAGAGAGGGCCGAGGTACTTCCAAGTTTGCCCATTTCTGGCTCTCAGAAAGTCCTCGGGTCTCTTTTGTAATGACATCCATTAAATTGTTACTTCTGACCCTACACTATTAACATTGTTAAAATAAACATGTTCAAATGCACATAAGCAATGTGTGTTCATTGCAGAAATGTCATAAGACGCAGATCAGTACAACGATTTTAAGAAATTTCTTGTAGTTCTACCACTTGACTATCTCTGTAACATTCTGCAGTAAATCCTATCAGATTTTCTCAACACATATAGCTTGGCATAGCATCTATCTTCACTGTACATCTGTTTTAAAATCAGGGTGGAGACACCAGGGGTCATGTCCATGGCGTCACTCCTGCTGGCTATGTAAAGCGCCGCCCTCTGGGACCACCAGTAACTGACTCACTGCTCTTCCTTGGGGCCCGCGCTGTTAGAAACAATGTGGGGTGCATACACTGCCCTTTGAGCTCTGTCCTTAGAATGAACCCTATTTAACCTGTCTGTGATTCTTATGTCTCATCGTCAAACAGGGACTATATTAAGTCAGCCCTACAGAGAGAACATAAAGGTGCACCTGTGTGTAATACACCTGGTAACTACTGTTTCTATTTAGTCAAATGGACTAACTCCATTAATTTACCTTCTAAATTATCATTTGCCATTATTTATAAGTTAGGGTTATTTGCCTTTTAAAAGTATTTCCCTCTATGGTTGAAATATAAAATTTTGGAGAATTTGAAAATTTGCTGTCAAAATTTAAAAGATGAAGCTGTTTAGAGATGTTTTTTTAAAAAAACTCCTCAAATTATGTTTACATATTAACTTTCAGTACTGAAGTAACCGAGGATACTCACCAAATACATAAGATTGTCACGTTCCTGAGTTATGTTCTCTGCCAGGCCAACAAGATTTGCCAGGTACTGATGAGCAGACAGTTCGTTCTCCATGGCTTTTTCCACCTGCTTTTTGAGGACGTCAATTTTTTTTTGTGATCTCCTAAAGAGTCCCCCAAAAGGTGGAATAAAAAACTCATTAACCTAAAGGGCATAGTGAATATCTGTATTATAAAATTATGTTAGCATCTAAAGGTTACTCTTCAGCAATTTGAATCTGTAACTTTCAAGGTGAGAAATGGTAACTGAATTTAATTTTAAGTCAAGCATAATTATTGAGTCAGAGTCAAGCCAATAGAAATCACGAAATGCTTTAACACAATTAATAGGCTAATTATATTTTAGTCTATTGATTTTTAGGCTTATGTTCTAAAAGAGACTTTTGAAAAGGAACTCAGTAACCCCAAAGTAGACTTTTAGGAAATCGTTAGGAAAGAACTATAAGTTTCCGACTCTTAGAATCATCATCATAACTATCAGCGATATGCGAACAAACTATAGACTAGAAAAACGTTGGTTAAAGAGAAAAGCTTTTACTGTACTTATATTCTTTTCTATCTTATAGCCAATATTAGAAAAAGAAAAGATAAAGAATATTTTTCAACTTTCTTTTTTTAACTATTAAAAAAAGCTTAAGGAAAAATATATAAAAACCTATTTATTTTCTGTGCCCCTTGGAGTTCAGCTCCCAGTGCTTTGTTCTTAGCTGTCAGACTGTCCTTCTCTAACAGCAGATTCTTTTTCTCCACCTGCAGGACTGTCAACTTTTCCATCAGCTGCTCCATTTCAGCGTTTTCCTTCTCATCTTCCTTCTGCAGCCGGCTGATAACAAAAATATCACAGGCTTGTATCCAGGACACACAGGCTACAATGAGGCAGCCACTTGCCAGGCAAGTGGATACACAGCCCAGCTCTCCAGCCCATGGCGGGTTCCCTGAGGGCTCTGCACAAGGTCTCCCCCCAGCCCTTGGAGGACCTGGGATGGAACTCCTAGAAGACAGGAGAGAGCCCACGGCTGGGCACACACTTCTTTTTTTCCTTTAAATTAATCTTAGAGGGAGGAAGGGGGGGGGAGAGAGAGAGAGAGAGAGAGAGAGAGAGGTGAGAGAGAAACATCAATCAGTTGCTTCCCGCACACACGGTGACCAAGGATGGAACCCACAACCTGGGTATGTGCCCTGACCGGGAATTGAACCTGCCGCCTTTTGTTGTATGAGACAATGCTCCAACCAGCTGAGCCACACCAGCAAGGGCAGGGCACACACTTCTTTGATGGTAATAATCTAACAACCCCTTTTTCTGCCCATAGTTGTTGCTTATATCTGTGTATATATACTTTACACCCTATTCCTTCCGGAAAGAATTTAAGACAGCTCATTTTTTTTACATAGTTATAATTGCTCCTCCTCATATTCTAAGGCTAGAACAAATGTATATCATACTAAAGTCACTATGTTTTTATGATAAAAGAAACAAAAGAAGGGCATACAATTTTAATATATAATTCTGGCAAAATGATGCTCAAGATAAGTTATTTCTTTGTTGGTTGTCTTGGTCAATTTGCATGTAATAACCAGGCATAAACAGGTGGGGCTGCGCACACACAGGCCGCCCAGCATCCTGAGAGAGGGGTCTCTGTGTACAGGTGGGGTTTACTTCCTGGCTAGCTGGCTGGCTGGAGAACAAGCCTCCGGTTGTGTGTGTTTGGGGTCTGCCTCACTTATCATACAAATTCAGTAACTTCAGCCTGGGTTGGTTCTTTGAACATCCAGTCAGAAATATTCCAGAGAGTGCCTACTGCTTTCTAGTTTACTAGTTATAGTTAGTCAAAGAGCAGGGGACATACCTGGACAAAAAACACAGAATTGATGTTTGAATTAAATTCATCTTTTTGTTGTTGTTGTTAATCCTCACTCAAGGATACTTTTCCATTGATTTTTTAGATAGAAAGAATGGAAGGGAGGGAGGGAGAGAGAGAAAAACATTGATATGAGAGAGACACATCGATTGGTTGCCTCCCACATGACCCTGACCGGGGCCAGGGATCAAACCTGCAACCCAGGTACATGCCCTTGACCCAGAAATCAAACCCGAGACCTATTAGTGCTTGAGCTGACACTCTAACCATTGAGCCACATGGGCCAGGGCCGTGACATTACTTTCTTTCTTTCTTTATTTTTTTCCCAGTACCCCAAAAGTGTTTTATTTCAAATGCTGATCCCTGCCCTGTGATAAGAAAGAAACTTATGTTAGTTTGCTTCTTACAGTCCCTGCTGCAGAAAAAACTGGTGTCATATATTCTCTAAAACAGTGTTTTTCATCCAGACCCAGAAGGTAGATATAAAATGTGAAGAAGAAGTAGGTCCAGAGCTGTGCATAGCAGCCACCCACTGGGCCCAGCTATCAGCTGTGGTCATCGAGGATGAGACTTCTGTAAACACCCAAGCAGGACAGGAGAGAATAAAGGTAGTTCTGCAGCATGATGGAGATGGATGACTTCACAGCTCCCAGCCACCTCATGACCCATACTTCACCCCAGGAGGCACTTTTGCCATCAGGCTAGCTGAGGCTTATGGGCCTCTCCTTGTGGCTCTTCATAGTCTTCTCCAGGTTTCAGCTGGGGTCCAGGGATCATCACCGTCTTAAGGATAGGCTGCTTAGGGGGTGCCCATGGAGGGATGATCTTGCCATGCATTCTCCAGCTTCCATAAGGGTTTGCCAGGTGCTTTTCAAAGACAACATACTCCAGGACATCCTTGGGCACATCTTGTCCATACATCAATCTGCCAAACCGGTCATAGATAGTCAAAGTCTGCCGGGTATGCATGCGGATGGTGACCTGGCCATATATGTTGCCCTGGTTCACCATACTTGAACAGCAAACCTGAACCACTTGGGCTGGCTCTAAAGATTCTACAAAGCTCCAGTGGATGGTCTTATATTGGAGGTCCCAGACCATGTCCGGAAAACAGTTTTCAGTTGCCAAGGTATGAAGTCAGTCATGGTCTGAGTTGTTTAGACAAAGGTGAGCTTCAGTGAAGATATCCTTAGCTTTTTCAGGGAAGTCCTTTATTTTAAAATTAGCATCATATTCTCTTATCTTCTGTATTGACAACTATGATGCCACATTCTTCTTCAATCGCTCAGTTTTTTGTGCCAGTCCATCCTTTGAAAGAGATGACACCCGAGCATCACCCTCTGGAGGAAAATAGGTGTCAAAGATACCAGCTGTACAGGCCAGATGTATGGGACGCTCCAAACATTCTGGAGTAATGACCACTCTGTTTTCCTGCTCTATAAACTCCTTTTCTGATTTGTATTTGGGTTGGTAAGTAGGAGGTGTGAAATATTTTTTAGTTCTCACTGGAACTATAGCTATGGGCTGAGTCACCAGGACTGGCTGCTGAGACCACCATCCTAAAGCCCTGGATAAGCAACTCGTGACATTACTTTAAATGGCTGTGTTATATTCCATTTTATGGTTGCATCCTTTCATTTAACCAGCTCCTTATTACTGGATATCTAGGCTTCTGGTCTACTCCTTTAAATTATGTTTGGTTCTGAAATCAAGAAGACTGAAACAGTAGAGAAACATACACACACATATATATAAAGTGCAGAGTGTAGTCCTCAGGGACAACCATATTCTACTTTAATAATAAAAAAATATATATTTACCAGTCTTAGACTCAGACACCTGTCTTATGCAAATAAAATGACTCAAGAAGAGACTCAGAAAAAGACAGGGCGGGGGGGGGGGGGGACACACACAGAGCAAAGGCTCTCCACTCTGCCTATCACAACATGCGTTGTGATGCATTAACCCTGAAAAGACAGCAAGTCCTTACCTCTGTAATTCATTTACAATCGAAGCATGAACTTCCATGGCTATTTTGCCATCCAACTGCGTTTTCAGTTCTTGGCACTCGGCACATAAACTTTCCAGTTGCTTCTTGCTTTTAGTCAGCTCCTTTTCTTGGCTCTGTGTTTTAGTCTCCAGAAGCATTAGCTGTTTAGTCAGTTTAGAAACTGAAAAATAATAGAGATGAATAAAGACTTGGTACAAGAAACTTAATACATGATTATTGATTACTAATGAGAGCCAACTTATAAAAAATGATCTTTTAAGAATCTTTTGGAGATTTATAAATTAATACCAAAGTCTTTGTAAACTTAGAAATTACTGTCCCTATATTGAGCATTCACTAAATATAAATTCTCTTATTGAAGTTCAATATCTTGATATAATTGTTAAACATACAATATTTAACAGACGTGACTCCAGCCTTCAAGGAACTTTCGAAAGACTGAAGTTGTAAGTCACATGAGGTATGCGAGCATATGTCATGATGTTGTCCCTAAAACGGCAAGATTTTCAAGGTTAAATGAAACCAAGGATCTTGATTTAATGTCGGATCTTGATTACTGTAGAGCCCCAGCCCTCCATTCCGTTTCTTCACAGCACACCCGGTAAGCCTTAGCCCTTTCCATGACTAGTCATTAACCCGCTGAGGCAGCCAGAAACAGTGGCCATGCCTTGACTAAAGGTTACAAGGTATGGGTTTCCATTAAGCTAAAGATGATATCATAGCCCCGGCAGGTCTGGCTAGTGGTTAGAGCGTTGGCCTGCAGACTCAAGAGTGGCGGGTTCGATCCACGGGTGCGGCAGGCAACTGATTGACGTGTCTGACTCACATCCATGTTTCTCTCTTTCTCCCTCTTTCCAAAAAAAAAAAAAAAATCAACGGAAAAATATCCTTGGATAAGGATTAAAGGGAAAAAAAGATAATATCATGGCCTACTGCTGTGTTTCACTTTATGAGTTCTAAAGCAGAATAACCTCTGGCCATGTCCCTATGAAACCAGACTGAGGGACCCCAAAGTTCCCTTCAAGATAGGAAATTATGATTTACTGACCTTACCACATTCTTTTTTTTTTTTTCTTCAATTTATTTTATTTTTGTTTCAGATGTTTCTCCTTTTCTCCCCATTGATGCCCTCCTCCCAATCCTGTCCCCCCAGCATTGTTGTCTATGTCCATGGTTACCCATACAACTGCATTCTTCTTTATCCTTACCCGAGGACATTTTTTGCATTTATCTTCGGATAGAGCGGGAGGGAGAGAGGGAGGAAGAGATACAGAGAAAAACATCAATGTTAGAGAGACCCATTGAGTAGTTGCCACCCACACAACCCCAACCTGGGCCAGAGACAAACTACAACCAAGGTACATGCCCTCAGCAGGAACCGAACCTGGGACTCTCTGGTCAATGGGCCAACACTCTAATCGCTGAGCCAAACCATCCAGGGCTGCATTCTTTCTAAAAATATTTATTGATTGATCTGACAGAGAGAGAGGGAAACATCGATTTGTTGTTCCACTTATTTATGCATTCATTGGTTGCTTTTTCTATGTGCCCTGACCAGAGATCAAACTAGCAACTTTGGCATATCAGGATGACACTCTGACCAACTGAGCTACCCGGCCAGGGCTCCTTACCTCACTCTTGACCAATGAGCAAGATCCATGACCCCAAACCCCTTACTCACGATGACTTGTGATCCTGTTCCATAAAACCCCTTGTCTGTAAACCACCAAGCTAGATTTTCGAGCATTAGCTTATTAGCTGTCCGTTCTCCGGCACGGCACCATTCATAATAAACGACCAGTCTTTTTCCACTGCAGTTCTCAGTGGTTAGTGTCTGGCTCTGCTAGCACCAGGTGGACAAGCTCTTTCTCTACAGTAACAAACAATATGACCCAAATTTATTATTTTTCTACCCTTTTCTCATTCAGTTTTTATGTTTTATGTCCTGTATCTAAAGTAAATCATAAATATTGCATCCTATTTGACACAGTAGTATGTAATAATAAGATACTTCCTGGGCATCTGCTGAAACTAGTACATAAAGTATTATAGCATAAAACTGTAAACCCTGCCCTGGCCCGTTTGGTTCAGTGGTTAGGTCATTGGCCTGTGGACCATAGGGCTGCGAGTTCAATTCCTGGTCAAAGGCATGTACCTGGGTTGTAGGTTTGATCCTTGGCCGCAGTCGGGGTTGTGCAGGAGACAACCAATTGACGTGTTGCTCTCACATCAATGTTTCTCTCTCTCCCTTCCAGTCTTTCTATCTAAAAAATCAATGCTCCCTGACTGGTTTGGCTCAGTGATTAGAGCGTCGGCCTGCGGTCCAGAAAGACCCGGGTTCAGTTACCGCTAAGGGCATGTACCTTGGTTGCAGTTTGTCCCCGGCCCTGGTTGGTCGTGCGGGTGGCAGCCACTCGATGTGTCCCTTTCACGTCGATGTTTCTCTCTCTCCCTCCCACTCTATCTGAACAAAAAATGAAAAAAAAAAATGTCCTCGGGTGAGGATAAAAAAATAAAAATAAAAATCAATGGAAAAATATCCTTGGGTGAGGATTAATAACAACAAAAAAACACACAAAACAACACCCCCCACCCCTGCCAAAACTCCCAAAACCAAAGGCTGGTCCTTTGACCAGAAGAATCACAGCTGTTCAGATCTGCTGTTTGAGAAAATTAAGCTTTGTAAAAACAAAATTAATTTTCCCCATTACCTCTAATCTTGAAAGCTAAGATAGCAGACTCAACAACACTCACTCTCTGCCCCTCCCCCACAAGTAAGGCCAGAGCAGGAACACATCCTTCTGTGCCCGCACAAAGACGGGCGTGGGGAAGTCCCACTGAGGAAAGGCCTGTTGGGCTCTTTGAGAGATGCTCTGACTTAAACATGACCTGGCTACCGGCAACAAGTGAAGTGCTACCCTGGTAGCTTCAGCAACAGGAGGCTGGCAGGGACTGGCTCAATAATCAGGCGCAGAGGGAAAAACAAAGGAGGGGTCACATGAGCTCATGCAAGGCAGCTTGTATTTCAGCCTCCTGTCCTATACATTCTTCACGGGAAAAGGAAAATCAGTAAAACAAAAGGGAAAGATGTCACTATCTTTTTGTTTATAGATTTTGGTTTTAATGAAAGTGGACAAAATGACTTCATCTGGCCCACTTCAAAGTTGACTGTTATATATTGTAAGCACCGAGGGACAGATATGAAAGTAATCTGACAGAGGTTTAACCCCTGACAGCACTCACAGCGCTGAGAAGGGCAAGAGCACAGAGAAACTGTTCAGAGACCAAATAGTTTCACTGATTTACTCATTCAACAAATATTCGGTATACATCTTTGCGTTGTTTCAAATACTCACCTTGAATGATTCTTCCCATTTATATGGTGCTATTTCCTTTAAAACCAGTTCTGCTGGGTCTAAACCTGTTACTTACAACTGATTTATAAAATATATAGAATCATTAAAGCCACTCTGTGGAGTCTAAGAGAAAGCAATCAATGCATTATGGGTAATAGCTGGATATCTTATAACATAAACAGCTGCATTCTCAGTAAAGAAAAATATTCTAAAAAACATGATTATCTGTTTTCAGTTTGAAGGGGAACCCTACCAGAAGGGGGTACAGGTGTAAAACTCATAACAACATCACAGCTTTGCCGACTCCCTGGAAAGACAGCTTACCTTCCTGGAGACGCTCCTGGTGCGTGTCCTTGACTTTTCTTTGCTGAATCTCCAACTGCTCTATCAACAACCTGTTTTCCTCTAAAACCAGTTCCGCCTGAGTCTGAAGCTGATGCCTACAATTGATTTACAAAATTAAATATTGCCATTCAGGTGCTGAATGATTACAGAGACAGTGCGAGTCTAAAAGAAAGTAATTGAGCCCAGCAGGTGTGGCTCAGTGGTAGAGCAGCAACCCCTGCACCAAGAGGTCACCGGCTGGATTCCCAGTCAGGGCACATGCCCAGGTTGTGGGCCTGATTCCCAGTGGGGAGCATGCAGGAAGCGGCCAATCGATATTCTCTCATTGATGTTTCTATCTCTCTCTGTCTCTCAAATCAATAAAGAAAAAAATAAAAGAAAGTAATCGATGTTGCAGGGAATGAATCTCTGGCCACGTTTTAATGTGAAACATTAACGCATTAATTGCACCATGTGCATTAAATTGGGAGAAAGGACAGTATGAAGTTTGAATTATGACCTTCTTAGTAACTTTTTGAAATGCAAAATTTCAAACATACACAAAAGTGGAAAGAACAGAATGATAAACTCCCATGCACACAACATTCAGCTTAAACAACGGTCAAATGGCCAATCTTTTTTTTTGGTACGTGCCCCTAGTGGAAACCGAACCCAGGACTCTCTGGTCCGCCTGCATTGGAAACGAAGGAGAAAGCTCCTACTGAAGTGCAGTCAGTGTGCCTGAGGGTGTGGAGGGTACGTCCTGTGCCTCACACCTGAGCAGGCACAGGGAGCAGCAGCCGAGGCGGCGCAGGGGAGGGCACGACTGTGAGAGGCTTCAGGGGCGTGATGCTCCAGAGCCCAGGGTTCCCTTCCCCGGATGGAGGACAGGCAACTCCATGGACGTGGGAAGCTGGCTGGGGACCTCAACAGGCACTGCACAGACCTGAGAGCTGCCCCCCATGGCACAGGCCACCACACGAGAGCCGGGTGCAGATTTCAAATGACAATAAACATGAAATTGAGGAATACAGCTCATGAATTTGAAAGCAGGATATGTCCTTCTTCCTTTTATTTACTTATATATTTTTATTTTATTTTTAAATTTTTAATATTTTTTATTGAGAGAGGAAGGGAGAGATGGAAACACTGATGTGAGAAACATTGATCAGCTGCCTCCTGCACGCCCCCTACTGGGAATTGAGCCCACAACCCAGGCATGTGCCCTGACCAGGAATTGAACCAGGACCTCTCAGCACGTGGGATGACGCTCAATCCACTGAGCCACTCTGGCCGGGCTGTATATTTCTATTTTAAGGAGAAGTAAGCAGGTTTGACTTACAGCTATATACAAGGTTAGAGAAAGTATAGGAGGTTCCAGTTTCTTACAAAGAATCTTGGAGGCACATGGGCCCAGTCTAACTGACCTGCTTTCCAGGCAGCTACTGGACAGAAGAAAACCCAAGTGCCCCAGGAGAAGCCACAGTGCACCAGGATCCAGTAGCTGCCCAGGCCAATCCCAACTGACATGTCAGTGACCATAAAGCAGGGAGAACGGACCCACCGGTAAGAACACTGTTGACTTGATTCCAAATTTCTCAGTTTCATATGGAAAAGATTTAATTTTTCCCAGTAATGTCAACATACTTAAAAAATACTAAACATGCCCTGGCCAGTTTGGCTCAGCGGTTAGAGCGTCGGTCTGCGGTCTAGAGAGACCCGGGTTCGGTTCCCGCTAAGGGCATGTACCTCGGTTGCAGTTTGTCCCCGGCCCTGGTTGGGTCGTGTGGGTGGCAGCCACTCGATGTGTCCCTTTCACGTCGATGTTTCTCTCTCTCTCTCTTTCTCTCTCTCTCTATCTGAACAAAAAACAAAAAAATATCCTCGGGTGAGGATAAAAAAATCAATAAAAATATATTTAAAAAAAAAAAAAAATACTAAACATGACAAACCTACCCAAAGCAAAAAAGATACATGTGAGCAGTTTTTGCTTTCTTAGTCTTGCCTGGATGCTCCCTTTAGACTTTTGCAGACACTGACTTTCTCTAATTCAGTGAAGAGACATCTGCTGCCACTGTGTGGACAAACGGGACACGCCTGCCCCTGAGGAGCCCATAAGAGAAGAGGAGACAGATGTGGAACACACAGGAAGCCACTGTGTGGCAAGCAAGAGCGCAGGACGTGTGCTTACGGCCAGGGTAGAAACAGACAGAGAGCAATGAACTCTGCCTGTAGGAAGCTGCACTGACCAGGGCCATTTGTGCAGAGGGGGTATTGGGGGGCAGGGGGCAGCATCAGCAACGGATGGAAGGGAGGCAATGCTTAGCTGTCAGGGCATGAAAGGCGTGCAGGAACAGGCAGGGCAGGGCAGGGCAGAGTGGAAGGGAGCTGGATGTGCAGGCCTCGTCCTGGGCTCACTGTGCTAAAGCCGGAGGAACAGAGGGGTCGAAGAAAAAATGTGACCCAACAGGTTTGATTTCTTTTTATTTATTTATTTTTTCTTTATTGATTTTAGAGAGAGAGACAGAAACATCGATGAGAGAAAACATCGATTAGCTGCCTCCTGCATGGCCCGCACTGGGAATTTGGCCTACAACCTGGGCATGTGCCCTGACTGGGAATCGAACCAGAGACCTCTTGGTGCATGATCCACGCTCAACCACTGAGCCACACTGGCCGGCTAGGTTTAATTTCTTAGAAACTCTCCTTTAAAATATTTTAGTTTAAAAAATAAAATGTAGCCCTGGCCAGTTTGACTCAGCAGTTAGAGCGTTAGTCTGCGGTCTGGAGAGACCCGGGTTCGGTTCCGCTAAGGGTATGTAACTCGGTTGCAGTTTGTCCCCGGCCCTGGTTGGGTCGTACGGGTGGCAACCACTCAATGTGTCCCTTTCACGTCAATGTTTCTCTCTCTCTCTCTCTCTTCCTCTCTCTCCTTCCCACTCTATCTCAACAAAAAATGGAAAAATGTCCTCGGGTGAGGATTACAAAAAATAATAATAGAATAAAAATAAATAAAGGGAAAACGGGATTTAAAATAAATAAATAAATAAATAAATAAATAAATAAATAAATTGTATTTGATGATTTAATAATGTGTATTCCTATTATCTGTTTTTCTAAAATTAGTAAAATACCAGAAACAGAACACCACTTGCCATTCCTCACTGGTGATAGGACTGCTGTTATTTAACTGTTGGTGCAATTCTTTATTTTCTCTCACCACGTCTTGGACTCGCATCCTGAACACCCTCATTTCCTCCTGAAACGGAACGTACGTAAACTGTAAGACACACATACACGCATTCCTCCATGTCTTAGTCCCAGGGCTGTGGCTGTGGCTGAGATCGACGGCTAACAGCTTTTTAGCAGCCTGGCCTCTGGCACCAGCACGAGAGCCCGCCCTCAAGGAGCTCACAGTCCAGTGAGAAAACACGAGGGGCAAACCCGATGCTGAGCACAAGGCACATGGAACCTCAGGGTTTAAACGTTCAAGTCCTAATTTCGCAACATTTCTCTGTAACTGCCAAGTACTGGAAAAAACAAAAATGGCAGAAGAAAAGAGATGCCTGTAAACACTGTAATCCTTCCTTTGGAGGATAAAATGGAGCTTTTCAAACTAAGAACATTTCAAGAGACTAGTGTGTGTGGGGGTTGGCATCCCTTAATTTGGCTCCATTATAGTCACAAGAAAGCCATCAGTCAGCACAGCATCAGGCCATTAGCCTCAACTCGAGGACTGGTGCTTGGTCTCAGTTTTTGACCCCTAAGTCTGTGTTTGGGGCACTCAAAAAAGTGTAATTATGGTTAACACGCAATGTTATTTTATATTAGCTTCAGGTGTATAGCTGGCACCTCTGCGGGGCCTCCTCCATCACAGCCTTTCTCAGCCAGCCCGTGGCCAGCTGTGGTGTGCTGGTCTTCAGTGAGGATCTCAGGTGTCAATATTTATTTGGGGATGCTTCTAACTTTTCTTCTCCCAGCTAACAGACATTTATTGCTTATACTGGTTTAACTTACGATGGCAGGTAACTTCTCCTCACCATTCTGCTCAGACACACTCCCACTTGCTGGCGGTCCACCTGCTCTTTTTCAGAACAGGTTTCAGGCAAACTAAAGCCTGCAGTCCAGCTGCCTGTTTTGTAAATAAAGTTTCACTGGGACTCGGACAAGCCCATGTGTTTACAGGGTGTCTATGGCTGCTTTCCTGCTGTAACAGCAGAGCTGAGTAGTTGTACAACAGAGACTGCATGGTCTGCAAAGCCTAAATGATTTACTAAATGGCCCTTTACAGAAAATGTTTCCTGACTCGTTTTATTCTTTTTTAAATTAAAAAAAAAAAATTGTTGATTTGAGAGAGAGAGAGTTTTGTTGTTCCACTTATTTATGCATTCATTGGTTGCTTCTTGTATGTGCCCTGACCAGGGACTGAAACCGCAACCTTGGCATTTCAGGATGATGCTCTCACCAACTGAACTACCAGGCCAGGGTTCCTGCCCATTTTAGAAAGAGCATCAAATTAGTAATTTTAATAATTATTAGGATTGATATTTCATCAATTAGTATAAGATTTATTCATCCTCTAGAAGAAAATGTTCAAAACTGTATCACAGCCCTGGCTGGTTAGCTCAGTTGGTTAGAGCGTCGTCTCACTGGGTTTGATCCCTGGTCTGGGCACATTCAAGGATCAACCAATGAAAGCGCAAACAAGTGAAACAACAAAAACCAGTGTTTCTCTTTCTCTAAAATAAACAAACAAACAAACTGCATTACATGGGACAGTATCATAAGAACAGGCTGGGTGACCCTTAAGAGACCCTTCCAGCTGGGGATCCCAGAAAAACAAACACTTCTCTCTCTGGATCCTTCCAGTTGCAGAGATCTCTTTGGCCACTTAAAGGAGGAACACAGAGTACGCAGCATGCAAAGGTATGGGTGAGTCTACAACATCCACGTGGCCTTGGTCTCCTGTGTCATTCAAACAAGCTCCACTGCTACAAGCCATTCCCATAAAACAGAGGTGCACAAGGCAGAAATGAATAAAAACCTCACTTCCTCACTGCTTCCAACAGCTCAATAATTGGACTTTCCTGGGGTCGGCTCTTCACTGAATTAAGAAGTCCTTCTAAAACACTCCTGGCCTACTACCTTCCTGGGTCTGCCCAAATGCCCCTTCTAACCATGGTGTTTGCAGCTAGAGTCCCAGGAAAGAAATGCCTCCCACTGCTGCCCTCTCTGCACCCTGAGTGAGATGCCAGCCCACGTGGGGCTGCCTGTCTGGGAAACTTCAAATGCAGTCCCCCCGTCCCTGCATACCTTCCACATCTAACACTGCCACCCCCTGCTCCACTGATCACTCCCGACCCGGCTCCCCTCTTCCTTCTGTCCCCCCCTCCTACTCTGCTACACTGCGTCCTTCCTTTCTCCTTTCCTTTAGCAAACATTTGAGTGCCTACTAGGTGTTGGGCATATTTCTTCAAGGTTTGAAATGGTCTTATTTTGAATAAACCTTGTCTCCTCTGACATCTGCCAACCTACCTGAAGGGCGGCAATGAGCTCGTCCTTTTCTTTCATTCTGTCTTCATAAGCCAGCAACAAGGGTGACAGATACTTTATATCCAACTGGAGACAGTGGGGCAAGGAAGGTTAATATATTTCTTACATTTAAACACAATCAGCAAATTTTTTTTACAAGGTGGAAAATACACTGGATTTGGAATGGATTTGAATAGCTCTTCAAATGTAGCCCAGAAAATATGGGACTGAAATGAAATAGCTTTCACTTACCAACCAGGGTGGTATAGGGCCCTTGGACGGTAGGCCTTCAATATTCATACTCTAAGAACAAAGCACATTTTGAAAACAAATTAAAACTACGCTTCTGATATTTCGAACCTTAAGGTGTTCTTAATCTATCGTGAATCAGCAATCTGTGTATCTATATGTGTAGGCACTTAATATGAGAACAATTTCTTTTGAAATGTTTGAGAATAATAAATCCTATTTTCCTATAATACTTAAGTGTATATTTCCTAAAAAGAAAAGCCTTCACTTACTCAACCACACTATACTGTCATAAAAATAAAAAAATCAATAATGATCTACTATATTCTAATCTACAGAATATATTCAACTTTCACATATTTTCTATGAGTTCTTGTTTTTGCGTTAATCCTCAGCCGAGGATATTTTTCCATTGATTCTCAGATAGAGTGAAAGGGAAGGAGGGAGAGAGAGAGAGAGAATAACATTGATGAGCAAGAACATCATTTGGCCACCGCCTGCATGCCCCCCACTGGGGATCGGGCCCACAACCTGGGCATGTGCCCTGACCGGGAATCGAACTAGCGACCTCCTGGTGCATGGGTCGACGCGCAGCCACTGAGCCACACCGGCCGGGTGATGAGCATCTTTATGACTGTTATTTAGAACTCTGTATTGAGTAAATCTCTTATCTCCATTTCATTAAAGCTGGTTCTGAAGATTAACTTTTTTCTTTTGTTTGAAACATATTCCTTTCTTCCTTTTCCTTAACCCTTGGTGTTGGTTTTGCAGATTAGATAAAGCAGCCTCCTCTCCCAGTCTTGACAGAACTCTCTCTTACAGGAGATGGACCTCATCAATCAGCCCAGTCGGAGTTCCTGGCTGCCTTTCAAACCTTTGTGACTGTCCACTGTCTTTGTTCCTAGTGGCTCCCAGTGGCCGAGGGTGTACTAGGACCCACTGGTGTCCCCACGAGGGGGACTGCAGTCAGCACCTAGATGCAGGATGATTAGAAGCCAGAGCCCCAGGCAGCAGCTAGGAAAGTCTGCCGTGATACCACTTTCAAGTGACAGCTGTAAACTGGAGGAACGAGGCAGAGGAGGGAACAGCTGACGGTTACTCTCACTCCTTTACTATATATAATCTCTGTTTTGTCCCAATTTTCACGAAGAGCCTTTACTGCCTTCATTATGAATAAGGAGGTGAGGAAGGAGGAAGGGAGAGAGGGAAAGAGGAGGGGAGAAAAGGAGGAGAGAAAAGGAGGGGAGGAGGTGGAGGGGAGAAGAAGGAGATGGAAAGGTCCTCTAGAAATACTGTGCTTTGTACATGTGTGTCTTTTTATACCAAACTGTAATAAATATGAACCCCGCATGGTTGGAAATCAATTCAACGGGAATGGCTAAAAAAAAAAAATCTGAAAACTAAATGTTCTTAATCGGAAACATTACCTCTTCCTTGGATAAATGCCTGAATTTTGTTTGATATCTGCTCAGTTCTACATTCAAACGATGGACAGTCATTTTCAACCCATCATTTTCATCCACCAGTTCTTGAGCTTGTTTTCTTAGATAAAGTAGTTCAGGTGCAGCAACTACTGAAAAAAATTAACATTATACTCTAAGAATTTATATCAAATCGATTAAGATTTTATATAAATTGCTAACATCTTCCCTTCTTTTCCTTTTAGGCTCATAGAGGCTCTGAATGACAAATATATAGGTATAAATTAATAAAAGTTTCTGGGTTTTTTAACACTAGTCAACACTTTGGAAGTTTGTGGAAATTTTTACATGTACAATTAATTAAGGTAAAATAATAACTTTAGATTGAAAAGGAAAAGTAATTGTTTCCAATGATATATAAATATTTGCCTTGCAAATCATACAGAATAAATGAAAATGTATTAAAATAACCTTCCCAAATATTAGAAAACAAAATAGAAAATAGATTCACAGCCCAGTTGGTGTGGCTCCGTGGGTGAGCATTGACCCATGCACCAGGAGGTCGCTAGTTCGATTCCCAGTCAGGGCACATGCCCAGGTTGCAGGCCCGGGTACGGGGCGTACAGGAGGCAGCAGATCGATGCTGATGCTTTTCTTTCTCATTGATGTTTCTATCTCTCTCTACCTTTCCCTTCCTCTCTCTCTAAAAAAAAATCAATAAAGATGATTAAAAAATAAAAGAAAAGAAAATAGATCCCACAAAATAATAACACAAATAATATAAAGTATCTAGAAATAAGTGTGCCTAAGACAAGAAATATGCAGTGTCTATATTACATCATCTTTCTTCAGGCAATAATATTAGTCTTATACAAATAGATAAATGAAAATCAGTGAATATTTATATAACCTTAAAGGTAAAAAGGACTCGACACCCAGGGCTAAGTCTTAAAAACAAAATATCCTTTAGATTTAGTTAGATTATCAACAAAAAGAAAATATGACATACATGACAAAGGCCAACATCCTTAACACATAAAATGCTCCTACAAACCAATGAGAAAAAGCCAAGTATCTCAATGATAAGGGGGGAAATTTATAAAAGAAAATGACCTGCACGATATGAAAAAAATATTCCAGCTCATCGATAATAAAAGAAATACAAATTAAAATGAGATTCCTTTTTCCTCTATCAAATTAGCAAGAAAAACATAATCCTCATGATCAGTAGATAGGTGGTAAAAAGGCACTTTCATATGCTGCTCAGCAGGGTAAAAACCTGTATGAAATACATATAAAACGACTTTCCTAAATATCAAAGCCAGACCATACTGAAATGTCTTTAGCCTAACAATAATGATATAGCAGATAAAATAAAATTTCAACAAGCATCCAGATATTAATAAGAAACTAAAATATTATAACGCAAAATATCAACATTAAAATCAACAAATATTACAACCTGAAACATTAACTCTCAAAATAAATACGAAAACGAGTGAAGTCCTATCTGTCCCTTTAATTAAACTGCAGTTGCGCCCACCTGCCTGAGAGGACGGGCGCTCAGCCTCCTTCCGCTTCCCGCTTTCTTTTTCTGTTCTCTCAAGTCTGAGCCGTAGTTCTTTCCTTGCTCGCTTTAGTGTGTTCACTTCAAGAGTCAGGGTTTGGTTTGCATTGTTCAGAAGCAAATTTTCTTCTTTTAACTCCTCAAACTTTTCTTTGGTTATTTCGACACATCGTTGAGGTGTTCTAGAAGTTCTGTCTGAAAAGGCACAGGGAAAACATTTCAAAGTATTAACTGACATTTACAATTTTACATCAACATTCACGAGACTGCATTTGAAAAACCATGTGAGCTCTTCTTCCTGGCAGGCCTCATGCTATGTTCTGCGGTCCTGGGAGAGAATGGCCTATACCAGGAAGGAGGAGTGGCCTGATGAGAGGACAGTGGATGGCAGGAACCAGCCCCTTGCACATCATTAATATGCAGAACTGAGGCCAGAGGAACCAGAAAGACTTTTAGGCGGAGGTGTGAAGTCTCCACTCAGATGAGCCCCTCAGGCCAGCAGGAAACAACCTGAATGAACGAGGCCCAGACCAGAGGGGCGGCAGCATGCTGGGGACAGAGAGGAAGGGATATGTGGGAGAAAGACCCAGGGGCGCAAACCCCACGGAGCTGTATAGGGTGGGGCACATCAAGGCTGAGTGGAACTCAGCCAGACAAGAAAACAAATGCAGCAAGGGAAGGGAAGCTGGGTTAGGACACAGGCCCAAAGCTCCGAAGGCAACTTTAGCTGCAGAAAGGGAGCCGCCGGCACGTGGGCAGTGCCCGACAGCACCATGGAGAGACAAAAACCAGAGCTCACATAGGATTTAAGAAGAAATAGCAAGGAAGACAGGAGGAAAACAGAAAGCGATGTTCCCTGGAGAGAGATGCTCAGAGAGGTCAGAAAAGGTGAACACGACAGTGGCCAGGGCACGCCTCCCAGTGGAGGTGGAAACAGAAGCAGAGCTTCTGTGGGCAGACACGGGTGGGAGGGCTGGTGGCTCCCGGCTGGTGGCCCCAAGGGCAGGCATAAGCTAGGGAGGGGACTGGTGACTCCAGATAACCCCCTGACCCCTGCTGCACATAGACCCAGTCCTTAAAACATGAAAGGAAAGGCTAAGAAATGAGTAACTCCACAGCGACACTGAGCACAAGAGGGGGACCCTAGGAACCCCAGAAAGAAAACAGTTGAGATTAGGCGGAAGACAGAAGCTGCAGCCTAAAATACGCCAGGAGACGTCAGCTACAAAAGGCGGGATGCTTCCCTGACAGGTGGTAGGAACCGCAGTGGCCTAGAGAGGACTGATGAGGTGTCCGGTTAGAGCACCAGATGGGGCTCAAACCCTCTGGGCAGGCAGAGATGCATGCCCCTTGACAGGCAGTACATACAGACACTGAGGTCCGACAGGCAGGGCAGCCCCAAAGGAGCTAGAGAATCGCAGAAGGAAGAGGGAGCCCCAAAGCCCCTGGCTGGCCACAGAGCCTGCCTGTCCTCGTCAGTCACTGGAGACAGGCTGTTACTGGCAGCTTGGTTGGTTTCCCCATCTGAGCAGCCTGCAGTAAGCAGACACAGCATCCCCAGGCAGACCCACGGGGACTCTCAAGGACCAAGGTAGGCACACCACCAACAACCATGAAGTGTCTGAGCCAAGAGAAGCACCCAAGTCAAATTAGAGAGAAGCAAGTGGCTGGCGCAAAATATGCACGATTTTGGAATGAGTATATTTAATGTTCTCAGAGAGACACTTGTCAGTACTTCATAGAAATTATGTAAACAAACATTTTGATTAATGCGTAAATGCAAAGGATGGGCTGAGTGGTAGAACACATACAATTATGCTGAGCCTGTGGGCTAGGAGTTAGAGCCCTAGCAAACTCCCACAACAGAGCATCAAAAGCACTACGAAAGAGTGGGTGAAGGTCAAGTCAGTCCTACATGGAGGACAGACTGAAAAGCCTTGATACCCAACATGGTTTTCAATAGTGACGTGCAACACAGCAGGCAAGAATGACAAAACTCACTCTGAAAGCTACCAAAGCTGCACAAACATTACAGGGGAAAGCACCCCAGAAAACATCTGCAACCTCACACTCTGTCTCTGGCCCCAGAGTTAGAGCCCTTATTTGCATATGCCCGCCCTCCCAGTGTCTCAGCACATCCCACAGGTTCCTGGGTATTCAAGCTTTCCAATCATAATGAAAATCAAAAGGCAAATACCTGGGGAGGGAGGAGGTTTTCCACATAACGGTGGTTTTTCATCCTAGGGGGGAAAAAGCCATGAGCCTAAAGAATTGAGAGTGTTAGCATCTTCTGTTCAAACTTTCTTTCTGCCTCTCTGCCCGTGTCAGTCAGTCACTGTGTCTTTATATATAGGTCCCACGGGTAACAGCAGGCCATCAGTTCACATTCTAAACATGTGATATGGCCATAGGCGCTGAGCACAGACACGCAAAGCAAACTCCAACTGGGCCTCTTCTCCTGGGGCTGTGCAAGAGGCCTCCATAAACTGCAGAGAAGTGTGTTTTCAGGGTGCTGAGAAAAGAATGTAAGATCTTGCTTTTCGACATAAAACTTTGAGGAAAGGGAAAGCTTTGAACTTTTGTTAATTTTTCCATTACACATCAGTCTGATATTAAGTTTCTCATTTCTGCTAAAAAGGTAGATGAGGTTATGAATTAGTTCTACTGAGAAATGTTTAATATTTAAATTCCTATGACAGCACACAATTCAAAATGTAAGGTGGAACTATTTCCGTGTTTGCAAATTAGTTATCGTCTATTCATTCTACAAGTTGTAAATGATTTCTAACCTCTCAATATATTACTTTCATTTTTAAACTATGGAAAACATGTTTCTTCAAGTTGTTTAAATATTTAAAAAGAAACATTCAGTTGGAAAGAATGCCGATTAAGGGAGGTTTTTCTCCCCACAAATCACAGAAGTTGTTTAAAAATTATGACAGATCTTCAATCTATAGAGAAAACCAGTTTTGTTTTGTTTTTGTTTTATCCTCACCCGAGGACATTTTTGCATTTATCTTCAGATAGAGCAGGAGGGAGGGAGAAAGAGAGAGAGAGAAACATCGATGTGAGAGAGACACATCGACTGGTTGCCACCCACACGACCCCAACTGGGGCCGGGGACAAACTGCAACCGAGGTACGTGCCCTTGGTGGGAACCAAACCTGGGACTCTCTGGTCCACAGGCTGATGCTCTAACTGCTGAGCAAAACTGGCCAGGCTGAGAGAAAACCAGTTTTTAAAAAACAAGTCTTACCTTTAAATTCAGAACAGAATATTCACCATCTGATTTTAAAAAGAAGAGAACAATATTTTAAAACAGATACAGACGTTTGACAACACAAGAGGGCACAATCACAGAAACTCACCTTCTACAGGTGAGCAAACAAGGCAGGGAGCGGTAAGAGGCCTGGCCAGGCCACACGGCAAGCGGGTCCTGGAGCGAGGCGGGGAGCCCAACTCTGAACTGCTTGTCTTTGACTATCATTCCTGACACCTTCAGGGCTGCTCACAGGATTGCAGAACCAAGGCCAATTCCTCAGTGTGATGCTGAGCCCTTTCCATCCAGGGCTCTTCCCCGCCTTCCAACACCCCCCCACTCCTGTGCTCTCTCCACAGGTTCCTCCCGCCATTCCACACATGGGCCGGGCCTACCCTGCCTGGAAGTAGCATCCGACTTGGTCAGAAAAGTCATTGCTCCTGACTGGCTGGTGTGGCTCAGTGGTTGAGCGTCGACCCATGCACCAAGAGGTTACCGGTTCGATTCCGGGTCAGGCACATGCCCAGGTTGTGGGCCCAATCCCCAGTGGGCATGCTAGAGGCGGCCAATCCATTTTTATCTTTCATCAATATTTCTTATCTCCCTCTCCCTTCCTCTCTCTCTAAATATCAATAAAGAAAAAAAAATTAGAAAAAAAAATCAGGAGGGATACCTTGTCTGCAGAGGTCCCACTTAAGGTAGCCAGGGGTCCCACCCCACACCAGAGGCCCCAGCCCAGGGCACCAGTGCCATGAAGAGAAGTCCCCATAACTTCTGGCTGTGAAAACCAGAGGAGTTGAGTCTGAATGAGACAAGAGTTGCTGGGGTACCAGGCAGTTCCTCTTAAAGGGCCCGCACATGGACTTACTGAGACTCACTTGCTCTGAGCTCCAGCTGTGGGACAGAAGCTCTAAAGGAGCCAGAGACACGGGTGTAGGAACTGAATGGTCTGGCTGTGGGGCGAGGACAGAAGGGGCAGCTTTCCCCCGGACAGAAGTGCTGGCAGAAGACATGCTGCTTTGCTGAGCCCTCTCCCCACTGACGGCAGGCAGGTGCCGTATCTGAGTCCCCACCAACCTGGTTAACACTGTTCCCTGGGCCCTGGTGATTCCCTGAGATCCCCACCCAACTTTCAGACCCACCCAGTTGCCTTTTCATAAAAACAGCCTATCTGTGCTCGAACTTCAGACTTCGCTAAAATCTCCCAAAGGTTCACAAACCCCAAACAAGCAGCATCTGGCCTCAGTGTGCCCCGTATCTCTTGCTAAGCAGCCCCAAGCCTGGTACTAGTGGCTACCAGCCTCACAGCTTGGCATCTCCCAGGCACCTCCAAGTCCAGCCAAGTGGTAACAATCTGTAGTCTGCTTTGCAGCTCATGCGGGTGGCCCCAGGCATGGCACAAGCAGGGGCTGGTCTTGGCCTGTACCTCCTGGAAAGCTCCAGAGACAGATTCAGACCACACTAGAGCACCACCCGATCACCTCCACCAGCGCATATTCAGGGGGCAGGCCCATCTGGCACCAGAGCCCTGCTGGTTTTTATTTTACCTTTTTCTTGTGTACGCTGTGGTGTCAACGGTGAGCCTGGAAACCCATTTTGCTCAGAAATATTTCCTTCGTCTTCATTGTCCGCCCCACATGACAATGGAACCTTTTGTTACAAGAGACAAAGAAGTAAATGTATGATCAAATTTCCTGCCAGTAAACTCAAAAGGCTTGTTTCACGCTTTCTCCAGCGCCACCTCTCTCTCCGGGACACAAAAGTACTACCCCTGGCAAGTTTTCCTCGGGAAGAGCCCCGTGGCAAAGGCAATGACATTCAAACTACACTGAGGCCATCCACAACTTCAAATCCCACCCATGCTGCCTGGGCAGCCTCTCCTTCTCCTTCCTGCCAGGGACCAACCCAGAGAAAGGGGCTGCATCTGGCCTGCTGTGCACAGCACCGAATAGCACCCTAACCTGGTACTGATACCGTTATCATCTCTACATGAGACGAGAGCTGCCAACTTGCCCTGTGAGAACTCTCGCGTTAGCTGGCTATGTGAGCCCACTGAGCAGCTCCTGTGTAGAGCTCATGAAGGGTGGCTGGGCTGCAGTGCTGTCTCTTCCAGACCATGGGCCTGTAATGGGACCAGTCTGCTGAGCAGGGCTCTGGGAAGCAGGGACAGATGCAATCCAAGCTTAGCTGTGCTGTGCTGCAGGCAAAGAAGGGCCGTCCCCAAGACTGGCAGGGAGGTGGGCAATGACCAGCAAGATGCACTGGAGCATTTCAGGGGCAAGAGTTAAGGCCGTCAGGACATGAAATACAAAAGTATTAAATAGTCCAGTAAAAATACAAAGGATGGCCAGCCAGTGTGGCTCGGTTGGTTGAGCGTCATCCCATGCACCCGGAAGTCATGGGTTCAATTCCTGGTCAGAGCACATGCCCGGGTTGCAGGCTTGATCCCCAGTAGGAGCTGTGCAGGAGGCAGCCAATTGATTTTTCTTTCTCATTGATGCTTCTGTGTCTCGCCCCCTCTCCCTTCCTCTCTCTGAAATAAATTTAAAACAACCAAAGAAACAAGAAAAGACAAAGGAAAAGTCGGTCAAACTCGGTTAACATAACAAAACTATATGCTACATTAAACTGTATATTTTAAGTGGACGAATAGTGTGGTATGTGAATTATACATTTATTATATATTTAAAACTTGTTTCTAAAAAACAACATACTATTTATAAGACACAGCTAAACATAAGAATATAGAAATATTGAAATTTGCCCAGCAAGTGTGGCTCAGTGGTTGAGCGTCGACCCATGCACCAAAGGTTGCCGGTTCGATTCCCAGTCAGGGCACATGCCCAGGTTGTGGGCCCGATCCCCAGTGGGGGGCATGCAGGAGGCGGCCGGTCGATATTCTCTCTCATCGATGTTTCTATCTCTCTCTCTCTTCCTCTCTCTCTAAAAATCAATAAAGAAAAAAAAAAGGAAGATTGAAATTAGAGAATGGAAAAAATAGACTACGCAAATATCAAACAAAAGAAAGGGGGAGGATGTCAGGCGAAATAAACATAAGGCAAAATACATTTTTAGAGACAAAGAGGTTCACTTTATACTGACAGAACATTCAATTTACCAGGAAGATATATTTTTAAATGTGTATACACCTAACCATGTCAGATGCAAAAGAATACATGTTCTATGATTTCATGCATATAAAGTTGAAAATGTGCAAAACCAGTCTGTGATATCAGAAACATTCTAATACTTGAAGGTGAAAGTGGTATTGGAAAACCTGACAACACAGCAAGGAAGCTGGTGTCCAGATCCTTGTGACTTCAAGAGGGAGATGACTCTGAGATCCAGCAGTAATTAAGCGTAATCCTGCACAGGGCCCAGCCCAGAGTGGACCCTTCCCAGACGCCTCTCCTCATATTAATGGAGCTAACAGAAAAACCCCACCCAAAGTACCTTACACAGTCCTTAGAGGTACAGCAACAGGAGGTGCCAGCTGGCTCTACCTCAGGGTAAAGTTCAGGCAGGAGTGTGATAAAAATGTGCAGTAAACCAAGGAATAACTCTGGAAGGGGCAGTTCTGATATGTAAGGTAGAAGAAACGCTCGGGCCTACACTGGGACCTTTGTAGGTCCAAAAACATGTTGGAACTCCCTGACTTGGTACGTTAGAGGACATCAACTAAGGGTTTGTGAATTTATGCTTCCTCATCTGTTCAATGGAGGACACCCCAACACGGAAGATAGCGGAGCTCACTCTCTTGGTGGCTTCTGCAAACTGGCTGGAGTGACTGCTTGGTCACTTGCCATCCTGGCTTCTACTGCTACCAACAGGTGTCAAGTCCATGCAGAGGTGCTTGCCTTGAGAGCAGTCAGAGTCTGCATGCAGTAAACGGACAGTGGGCACATCCATCTGCATGCACGTGGATGTGTGCATGTAAACGCAGACAGACTGCCGGGGGCAGGCCATGGCAGGCACGGCCGCAGTGCCCACTGCGCAGCCGGTGCCCCCTTTCCACCTGGCTACCAGGATGATTTTCTTTGGTGTGAATGGCCCAGCCCTAGGGTATGCATCATGATAATCCTCTTCCCCTTAGCCAGTGAAACGTTCTCCCTAATAAACACAGAGCACCCTGATGAAAAGGACCCCACTTTCTCCTTCTGCTTTGGAGCCAGGACCTGCCGTACCCGCTGGTGGCCACAGAGAGGAAGCCAAGGGACAGGCAGGCTCCAGCCTTTGATGGGCAGCTGAAACAATTTTGGAATCTTCTACCTCTTGACTTTATGTGAGAGTGTTAAATGTCTAATATTTAAGCCTTATGTCTGCCTATTCCATTATTTACAGCCCCCCCCCCCAAAAAAGGGTACAGAGCCCTGGCCAGGTGGTTTGGTTGGAGCATCGTCCCGTACACCAAAAGGTTGAAGGTTCAATTCCTGGTCAGGGCACAAAGCTAGGTTGTGGGTTCGATCCACGGTCAGTGAGCATACAGAAGGCAACTGATCGGTTTGTCTCTCACATCGATGTTTCTCTTTCTCCCTCTCTCCCTCTCCCTTCCTCTCTTTCTCTCAAATCAATAAACATAAAATAAAATAAAATAAAATAAAATAAATAAAATAAAATGTACCCAATAGGCAATATCTCCTTCAGAGCTGGTGCCACCTAGTGATTAAATCGCAGTTTTACATGCGCCACACCCATTTTTTCAAAGATATATATTTTAATCATATAATAAATTTAAGAATATTTGGCCAGTTTCAAAAATAAAGCTTTATGCCTAAGAAATATTCTTGATAGGCACAAGGACTATAACTACACATTTTCATTCTTAGTAGGGAAAATCGGTCGCCCTGGTCTCAATCCTGCCTCTGCCACCAGATGGTTGGTTGGCAGACCTCGGGCAAGTCATTTATCCTGTTTCTTCACATGCTTATCCTCAATGGTGTGAAGTAAATAAAACGGCACATGTAAGATGCCTAACATATATTAGTGCTAAGAAAAGGTCAATGTGTCTTCCTCCCCCTACTGTCCTCCAGCCTCCCCGAAAAGAAACCAATCACAAGGCTGTGGGAAACTGAAATCCCTTCCCAGCCTCCGGGCCCTTGCATTCATGCCGTCAGCCAGAGCAGTGTAAAGGTCACGATGAAACCTTTCCATTGTAATCAGTTACCAAAGCTCCACCTCTGGCTCCTTACTGGTACGGAAATGTGGACACTGGTACACACACTGCTGGGGCGAGGCAACGGGGAAACGACTGCTCTGGAGGACAACCTGCGATGTCTGCCAGTGTGAACCAGCACACACGTACATGTACCAAATGCAGGAGGAAATAACCTAAATGTTCATTGGTGGGTGTGTAGATAAAATAACACAGATCCATCTCTAAACTGCAATGTCAAGTAAAAAAGCCAAGAAGTAAAATGATTGGTTCAGTATCGTGACCTTTGTACACACACACAAAAATAGTATATTTGTTTACTGACACTTATTTATAGTAACAGAATAAAAGCACAGACTTCTAGAATGCATTCCAAATCCAAGAGAAGGCCTTCCAGGGATGCAGAGGGAACGAGAGACAGAGAAATTCAACCCTAACTGTAATTTTATTTTAACAATCTGAAACAAAAAAAGGTATGATGTCAATACTTGCTCATTCTACTTTTCAGCTTTCTTTTTTCGGCCGGGACAGAGCACACACACATATGTGTTCACCCGTAGTAGATAGAGCCAAACAGTTTTCCAACGTGGTGGTTCGAACTGACACTGCCCCCAGCGTTGGAGTTCCTCCAGAGCCTCACCAATCCTTGACATTGTTAGTTGTGCTCTACCGTTCACATTTAAAAATAATAATAATTGCCTGCCCTGGCCCGTTTGGCTCAGCGGTAGAGCATTGGCCCACGGACCAATGAGTCTCGGGTTCGATTCTGGTCAAGGGCATGTACCTCAGTTGCGGTTTGTCCCCAGCTCCAGTCCAGGTCGTGTGGGAGGCAGCCAGTCGATGTGTCTCTCTCACGTTGATGTTTCTCTCTCCCTGTCTCCCTCTCCCTCCCACTCTATCTGAAGATAAATAGAAAAATATCCTCGAGTGAGGATTAAAAAAAAAAGAAAAATTGCCCTACTGCACATAGTTCCTAGAAGCACCACGACAGACTTGCCTTAAAAATAAAATATTTGTCCCACTTTTACAAGAACAGAAAAAAAAACACATCACACACACACAAAATATATTTGTCCTGCTAATGACAGAGGAGGTTATATAGGTCTCCACAATCTCTTTCTCCTAAGGGAAACATGGTAGCAAGTTTCACTTCAAACTATAATTCTGTCAACATCAGTCCAGAATACTGCCAGGAAGTTGCAGACAGAGGGGCATTGGGCTTCACCTCGGCCTGTGGGAGCCCTGCAGGGGCCCCTCCCCTGGGCTCCTGCGGCTGTCTGCCTGTTCCGTGCTCCTCGCTGTAGAGAAACCCAACTCTGCATGTTAGAGTCTACATGTGTTAGAAGGTGATGGTTAGGTCATAAAATGCTCACATATGGATTCCTCTAAATAAGCTCCCTAAGACAATTTAAAATGTGAGTCAATATAGTGGAGGGTAATATAACATAATCAATATGAATATACTTTGTTGATTTTTTTTTTTAGAGAGAGAGGAAGGGAGAGGAAGAGAGAGAAACATTGATGAGAGAACACTGATTGACTGCCTCCTGCATGCCCCCTACGGGGGATCAAGCCCATAACCTGGGCATGTGCCCTGACCGAGAATTGAACTGGTGACCTTTTGGTACATGGGATGACACTCAACCACTGAGCCACACCAGCTGGGCTTAATATACTTTGAAGCTGCCAGTCTGTACTCTAACACATGTTATAATGATGGTGAAAAAGAGAAAGGGAAAAGAAATTACAGTGCTGTCTTTTGCAATTAAAGAAATGGCACTATCCAGTTTTCAAAACCCTAGGTGCACAGAGTTGAAACCAGAGCAGTTGGGGAGTGGTGGAGCAATGGGCTCCTTCAACCTCTCTGTACCTCGGTTTTGCCATGTGTGATAGCGTCATAAATGGAATCTACCTCACTGAGATTGTGAAGATAAGTACATGTAAGAGCTTGAAATACAAGCTCACGATAACCACCCAAACAATGTCAGCTACTATGGAGAAGATGATGATACTCCTTTGTCAGGCATGAATTTGAAGAAAGGTTGCAACTATGCACACTGATGTTGGCAAAGTGATAAAAAAATTAGCTTCTGTGTCAAACAAAGGAGCAAGATTACTTAGCATGGGAAGAAAGTCTATACTCCCAATGTTAAGATGCTCGTCTTTAAAAGGTAAAGAAAAAGTTTTAAATTTTAGCCTAACCAGATAGAAAATGAGACTGGACAAATTAAAAAAATAAGCCCAAAACAAAAGCCATCAGAGGTAGGAGCGAGAAAAGAAAGTCCTTATTCATGCACAAGTTACTGTGAGTTAATGTCAAGGTGCAGACGAAGTTCTGGAACGTGACCAACACCTGATTTCTCTGTGACACGGCGTACACAGCATCGCCGAGACTTCCTTCCTCGTTCCGAGCGCTGACCTCCCCTGCCTCCCTGGAGCTGGATGACAGGCTCGAGTCAGTGTCCTCTTCCTCCCTGTAGCCCAGCGTTTCAAAGGATGGCAAAGAAGTTCTCCTTCCTGTCCCACTCTGCCAATTTGGTCTGTATTAGAACATTAAAGAGAAAAATAAGTAACTAAACCAGCCACTTACTTCACATTAAAATAAATACATGTCTTAAATGCACTGCCTCTGAGCCCCTACCATGAAACTATTATAACTACATTACAAAACATATAGAAACTAAAGGGTTAAGTCATCCACTATCACATCTCTCCGCACACTCTTAAAATGTCTGTCTAGTTTTAACCCAGATTCTCACAGTTCTAATCACTGCCTGCAAATACAATCTGCTTCACTGTTAACAAGCTTCTAAGTCAAAATGTTATAAGGTAAAAACTCAAGTAGTTATACCAGTTTAGTCTCCCTCCCAATTTTCACTGTTATAAATAACCCTGTAATGGATGTCTACATGTAAATAATCTCTTCTGTTTTTAGGATTAGTCCTGTAAAACAAACAACCAGATGCAAACGAATGAATCAGTGGTATGAACATTCTGTGGGTCTGTTACCAGAAAGGGGACCTGACCCTGAGCGGGTCTGCCTAGGGCCGGGTTGATAGTTTCATGACACGAGTCTGGGTGAATTTTAGAGGACATTCATTAAAGCTGGGGACAGTGAAATAAGGAAGGGCTGGGAAATAAGCCTGGGCTGGTCTGCTTTGGCTCACTGAGAAGTCAGAGAAATGGGGGACTTAGGGACAGGTTCAGGAGGTTTGCCTGGGATGAAATGCTACTTCCCACTGCTGCCCTGGTTGCAAGCCTCATGGGGTCCCCTAGAGTCTAGGAGATGCATGCCTGTTGCGGGGAGAAGAGTGGGCGTGCTGGCGAGCTCCTGGGAAGGAGAGCTCGCGCTGGGTCCTTTGCCTTGAGGCTTTTATTTCTCTCTTGCAGGTAGGATTCGTAGGGAAGGTCTCAGTGGAGGGTTTCAACAGAATATTCAACACCTTCTAGATGAGCTCCTTTAGGGTCATCTTCACTGACTGGCCAGTGTCAGGGCAGGGGGTTCACAGTCACTGCAGCTGGTCCTGGTTTACCCACCTGGTTTTGTTACTTTTCTGGGTCTGGAGCTGAAATACACCTGAGGCCCAGATGTTATTTCAAGGGAGATGTTATTTCTTCTGTATCTGCTGTAAATTGCTCTGTCAGTTTGTTCAGCTGTCTGCCTCAGTTTCTCAATTGCACTTGTCCTGGCTCACTGGCCTGTCTCATCCTCACCTCACTCAAGTTCTCCCAGACACACATCTTCCTTCTGCTGCTCATGCTCCCTTTGTCTGTCTAGAAAGCTCATTCCAGGCCCTCAGTGACCATCCCCCAACCCTCCAGCCTTTCCCACCTAATTCCTGTAAATTCCTCAGTAACCCCTTCAGTGCTCTCTTCCTCAGGAGGAAACCTTCCTGACCGCCTAGCCCTGTGTTAATGTGGACGAAAAGGGGCCACATGCTAACCTGACAAGGTCAGGGAAGACCTGTGTGGCAACCTTGCAAACTCTAAGACCTAAAATAACTGCAAAGGATGGTCTGAAATGAAAACTTTTAAAACTAAAAGCAGTTTTTGGTGGGCAGTCATGTCCTAGGTTAAAATCCCTGACTAAGGTTAGTTGAGCCTATTGTCTTTTTGCATCTATAACATACCTTTGCAATATCAGGGTAACTTCTCTTTTTCCAGAACCCTCAGGGGACAACCAATGCACCAGGGCGGGGAACACAAATCCTCTCATTGTTACTGTTATTGTATTCATTGTTGACTATTAACTATCCTGTACCCACTTATGTAAAAGATATGCTTTCTTCCAGCTCCCTAATATATCACCAATGAGTTTCTTTTTTTTTTATCCTCACCCAAGGAAATTTTTCCATTTTTTGTTCAGATAGAGTGGGAGGGAGAGAGAGGAAGAGTGAGAGAGAGAAACATCGATATGAAAGGGACACATTGAATGGTCGCCACCCACACGACCCAACCAGGGCTGGGGACAAACTGCAACCGAGGTACGTGCCCTTAGCAGGAACCGAACCCAGGTCTCTCTGGACTGCAGGTCGACGCTCTAACCACTGAGCAAAACCGGCCAGGGCACCAATGAGTTTCATGTAACCCACTTATGTCTCCTCTTTTGATTGTAATGTATAAAATAAGGTATAACCCTGGCCTGTGTGGCTCAAGGGTTAGAGCGATGGCCCAAAGACCAAAGAGTTGCAGGTTCAATCCCCGGCTCTGGTCGGGTGCATGCGGGAGGCAACCAATCCATGTGTCTCTCTCACACTGATATTTCTCCCTTCCTCCCTCCCTCCCTCCCTTCTATCCCTAAAAATCAATGGGAAAAAATATCCTCAGGTGAAAATTTAAAAAATAAATACATAAATAAGGGGTAAAACTGCCATTCTCCGGAGCATTATCTCAATCTGTTGAGATTTTTGCTTCCTGGCAATTGTGGTCAGTTTGGCTCAAATAAACTCACAAAAATTCTTTACAGGTTTGAATGTTTCTTACATTGACATCAGCATTAACCCAGCTCAAGCAATGAAAGAAATGATATTAAAGAAGAAGAAAAGTTAGCCCTGGCCGGTTTGGCTCAGCGGTTAGAGCATCGGCCTGCAGACCAGAGAGTCCCGGGTTCGGTTCCAGCTAAGGGCACATACCACGGTTGCAGTTTGTCCCCGGCCCTGGATGGGGTCATGTGGGTGGCAACCACTCGATGTGTCTCTCTCACGTTGATGTTTTTCTCTCTCTCTTACTCCCTCTCTCCCTCCCACCCTATCTGAAGATAGATGCAAAAAATGTCCTCGGGTGAGGATTAAACAAAAAAGAAGAAAAATTATAATATAGATGCTAACAAAGGTCAGATCAGTAGGAATGTCCAGAGGGGAGATACATGAGGAGTGAGTGATACTCTCACCCTCTAGGTTGTGGCACAGAGAATCCTACCGAGGCCTAGAAGCGGCACTAAGTTCACAGGCTCTGTGCTGCCATGAAAACAACCAATGCACTCACAAGGTCCACTCTAGAAAAAATTCTGATGCAATTCAAGAACAATTGATGTCCAGAACTATGTTCCTTTGACACTGGTGATGAAAACCTCTCTACTAAGCTCTGTAGTCATAAGCACATGCATGCACACACGCTTACACGCACGCACACACATGCACATGAGCTGCTCCTCCTCTGCCCCTAGAGGAAGCAGAACCAGAGATATGGTCCTTACTGATACCTCAGCTCTGAGGTGGTGGCATAGGGCTCCAAGAAACAGCTGTTTTCGATGGAGGTGGTGTCGCTCTCGGACTGCGATCTCCGGCGTGGCTGAGGAAGGGCAACGGTCCGGCCAGTCAATGTCGTTGCTAGAATTACCGCAGCCAGAGCAGACCTATGGACAAAAGCATCCCAGTAGATGGTGAAGGAAAAGTGAAACAGCAGGACACATGAATTAATCAAGGTATACCTTCTGTTCTACGAGGTTTAGTGTGCTGATCACAGGCCTGCAGCCATGAAACAAGCTCATTTCATTCTCACGTCACCTGTATGAGTAGATATGTCACCTCCATTTTTCATATAAATTAAATTACTTGCCCAAGAGTTCTTAGCCAATAGGATATGGAACCAGGTCTCTAATTCAGAGAATCTATATTCAAGTGTTTTTTTTCTGTTAAAATAAAAGGTTGGGATTAAAAAAAAAAAAAAAGAGGTATAAAAAGATATAAAAGATTTTAAAAAGCATATTAAAATCTTGCAAATTATTCAAAACTGTAATATAGGAAAGAGAGAATAACAGATTTAGTCTCCCAACTGAAAAAATAAATCAATAGAATTAACAAATGGCCCAGCTTGCTGCCAGAATTTCCAGGCCACAGCAAAGGAAAGAGAAACTGAGGTGGGGCCAGGCAGACTGCTGAGTTGTGTAGGTGGAGTTGAGCGTCTGGGAATACCAAGGCTGACAGAATTTGAAGGACAGAGTACCAGAAAGGAGAGAGCTAAACTGAGAAAACTCTGGAACTCTGAAGAAGTCCCCCCACTGAGGGTTTAGCAAAATGCTCCTCAGTGCACAAGTATGAGGAAACTACCCAGGACGGGGGGAAGAACCACTCGTAAGGACTAGAGGAACAGCGGCAGACGCTTACATATGGTTGAGGTCAGTGTTCCCAGCAGTCAGACAGGAAAAAAGTATAGTTCATGGGATGTTGTGTACAATATTCTAAGGTCTTGCCTTAGTAGTGAGAAATAATTAGCCCTAGGTTGAACACTGGTCCAGACCCCGCCTAACAAATCATAAAAGCAAGACCCAACAGATCGAACTGGCTCTAGGTAACGTAATTACATACCAGCACAAAATTCAAGAAGACTTACAGGAATACTAAAATATCAGGCGCTCAACATAAAACTCATACCAATGTCTAGCATACAATCAAAGATAACCAGGCATGCAGAGACAGAAAAACATGACCCACAGTGAAAAGAATAACCAATAAAAATCCATTCAGAACTGAACACATATGTTAGAATTACCAGAGAAGGTCATTAAAATAGCTATAACTGTATTCTATATGTTCAAAAGCTAATTAGAGACATGGAAGATTATAAAAAAGGATGAAAATTACACTGGAGAGGGCACATCCAGAAAAGACTTGTGAAATTAAAGGTAAGACAACAGAAATTAACCAAAATGAAATACAGAGAGGAAGACTAAAACAAACAAAAAAGAGAACATAGTAAGATATAAAATTTTAAAAAGACTGCTATTGTTTTATCGTTTAGACCACTAAGTTTTGGTGTAATCTGTTGCATGGCAATAGATAACTAATATAATAGCCTTCAACCAGTGCCAGAACAATTGGTTACCCATATACGAAAAAAGGAACTTGAATCTATACCTCCCATACCTCTCTCCATATAAAAATGAACTCAAAATGGATATTAGATCTAAATGTAGACCCTAAAACAAAAAATCATCTGGAAGAAAATCATTGTGACCTTGGGTTAGGCAAAGATTTCTGAGATATTATATTGAAATCATAATCTATAAAAGAAAAAATTGGCAAGTTGAACTTCTTAATAATTAAGATCTTCTGCTCCTTGAAAGATACTGTTAAGAGAATAAAAAGATAAGCCATAGATGGGGAGAAAATATTTGCAAAGCACATATTTGATGAACTTGTATCCAGAATAATTAAAGAATTCTCAAAATATAATAACAGGAACACAAGCAACTCACTTTTTATTTTTATTTTTTATTTATTTTATTTTATTTTTTTGGTACATGCCCCTAGTGGGAACCAAACCTGGGACTCTCTGGTCCGCAAGGCCAATGTTCCAACCACTGAGCCAAACCAACCAGGGCACAACTCACTTTTTAAAAGTGGGCAAAATATTTGAATGGACACTTTACCAAAGAAGATACACAAATGGCAAATAAGCACCTGCTCAATATCATTAGTTATTGGAGAAATGCAAAATACTACCACAACAAGATACCACTATACACCTATTGGAATGTCCAAAATTAAAAAGACTGGCCAAGCCCTGGCCAGTTTGGCTCAGCGGTTTAGCGTCGGCCTGCGGACCAGAGAGCCCGGGTTCTGTTCCCATTAGGGGCACGTACCACCAAAAAAAAAGATTGGCCAAGACCATCTCTCATGCCTCATGCTCTTCCTCTTCTACCTGGGCCTAACAGTATGGCTCCCACACCAAACAAGCTCTATACATTGTTACCTATGTACCTGTCACCACTTTCAAAAATTATACGGGCAGTAAATGTGAATGAGAACTAATGCTTGATTGTCAAATAAAGTTATAAACACATACACACACATACACAGGACTGACTAAACCAAATGTTGCTGAGGATGTGGAGAAACTGGAATTTATACACTGTTGGTGGGAACATAAATGGAATAAAAATTTTGGAAAATAGTTTGTCAATTCCTTAGTAAGTTAAATATACATCTAGTACATGATACAGGCATTTCACTCCTAGATATTTACCTGAAAGAAATGAAAGCATATATCCAAAGAAAGATTTGTGCACAAATGTTCACAGCAGCTTTACTTCTAGCAACCCCAAAATGGAAACAACCCAAATATTCACCAACAGGTGAGTAGGTGAACAAATTGTGGCATATTCAAAACATGGAATATTACTCAGCAATAAAAAGGACAAATTATTGATGTTCACAACAATATGGATAAATGTCAAAATCATTATACTGAGTGAAAGAGGCCAGCTTAATTATTTTGTATAATTCTGTTTATATAAAATTCCAGAAAATGCAAACTAATCTATAGTGACAGAAAGCAGATCAGTGGTTGCCTGGGAATGGGGGTGAGGGTGGGCGGGGTAATGGGAGGCAGAAGGGAGGAGCATGAGAAGACTTTGGGGGATGACGAATATATTTATTTTCTTGATTGTGGTGATGGTTTCACAGGTGTAAATCTATGTCAAAATCTACCAATTATAAGTTTTAAATATGAACAGTTTATCGTAGTCCATTATACCTAAAAAACAACTTTTAAAAAGATAAACAACTCTCTAAAGTAAAAACGGTAGTATATTACACAGTTTATAACATGTAGAATTAAAATATATGACAACAGTTGCACAATGGATGGGAAGGAGGCAATAGAAGTAGAAAAAGATTCTTACACTATTACACTACACACAATGTGAAATAATGTCAAAGATCAATTTAAACGTTTTTTAAAAATAAAAAGTTCTAAAAGTATGCCAAGTTTGCCAAAGCCATGTTGTTTGTATGGGTTTTACAAAGATTACAATCAGGAAGGTATTTTTGTTAAGCATAGAGACCACAGAAATTTTCTAATGAGTCCATAGCATGCTTGCCATGACATGACGTGTTCTGGTTTTTCTGCTTTATAATGAAATGTAAAGTGAACCCTTTCACTATTGCTGCTGCTACATAAACATTTAAGTTCTAATGACGTTACTTGATGGTTGTTCCTACAAACACTGGAGAGATGGACAGACCTTTACGTGCGTCGCAGCGATGCCACCGCTCGCCCGCTGTGAGACTTCAGGCAAACGCTGAACACCTGAGCTCAAAGGAGAGATGCCAACACGACCTCTCTCATAGGGTCACTGAGAGGATGAAATAATACTTCTAGGGCACTCACTAGAGTACCTAACACAGAGTAAATATTAATAAATGGCTATTCTAAGTATCATGATTATACTACAGGAAAAAACAAACACAGAATAGTTCAGTGTTTTTTATGAGGAGGCAAACACTGTTCTAGTTTCAAAGAACACTAAAAAGAAGGTACCCCCCTTGAATGAAATTTGTTCTTACTGCTAATAGTCAAGTCATATATCCAGGTATCTTATGGATAAAAAATAGTCTAAAATTCTTCTACGTCTAAAGTCTCAGAGGGCATAGGCAGGGGTCTTAGGTATACAACAAAGTCATCTATCGGATGTGTTAGGAGCACTGGAGGACGTGGGAAATCCCAGGCCCTGGGAAGTGAACTTGCTTCTCCTTCCTTCCCACAAAACAATTCTTTTGAAAGGCAGACTTATGTTTAAAGAGAAAATTATGTACACAATTCAAATTCCTTCTAACATACCATCAACTGAAATATTTCGGCTTTAATATTTTGAAAAATACTAACTGCATTCAATTACAAAATGTGAGAAGTCCATACCTGAAAGGGATAGATCCTTATCCCACAGAGAAATCATATTAAATTATGGAACTGTGATAAATATTTCAAAGGACATGATTCTAATTACCCTACTTGTAATCTTGCCAGTTCAAACAGTTCTAGGACTCACCACTTGGTGGCCGAGCTCAGTGCCTGCTCACCTGAGACTCACCTTGGTCTCTCTGGAGAGGGATTGGGGCTTCGGGGAGGAGGTGTGCGGGGCACAGCTGGCTTTGGTGCAATGCTGGCTGCAGGTAGAAGGCCATGGATGATGTGTTTCTGCACAAATAAAACCCAGAACAGGTCGTTGGTGTAAGGAATCACTGGGTCCTGTCACCACCCCTCCCTGGGCCTTTCAAGGGACACTTGCACTGGCAGCCCAGGGATCTAGACCCACCAGGAGGCCCACTCCTCCCCTTCCTATCTCCAATCCCCATCTGGCCAGGCAAGCATACCCACCCAGGGAGCACCATTACAGCTGCCCATAGTGGGGCCCTCCTACCTTCCCGCCTCAGAACAGCTTCCCTGACCCCCAGAGTTACCCGGTAGCACCTCCACTTGTCTTACAGCACTGCCTCTGATGACCCTACTCACTCACTTGCAAACCCCTGCAGAACAGAAGCTTCCTGACAGCAGGCAACTGTCTTGTCTTTATCAACCCTGAACTCTACAACTTAGCACATTGCCCAACACCTGGTCGGCGCTTAATGAGATTTTAGATAGTTTTGTTGATGCAGAATAACAAGAACTAGTTCCTACACACATTGAAAGTAGGGGAACCTGCTTTAGGCAACTGGGAGTCTCTCAGAAGGTTCTGAGTACAGCCCAATCACTTTCTGTGCACCAGCCATTCATTCACACCTATTAGAAGTGAAATGCCATGATGGCAATGAAGAAACCTTGTCCTCATCCTCATGGAGGGAGAGCACGGAGGAAAACACCCAAGTACATATTATATAACACGGAATTATGGAATGTGCCAAGGGAAAGGCAAAGACAAAGTGCTGAGCTGGCCCAGGGAGGGAAGGGGGCAGTCAGGTCTGAGGGTCAGCAAGGGGACCTCTTATGCCCCTTGGAGAAAACTACAGAGGTATTTAGACTAAGTCTTCAAAGATGGCCGTTGCTCTCACATTTGGGGAATACGAAGAAAAGCATTATAGGAAGAGGCAACAGCATTAACAAAGGAATGAAACAAGACATTCGTGGTGATGCTCTGGAAATGACAAGTATCCAGTTTGCTGTAATATGTAATACAGAGGCATCTGAGAGGGAGAGGCTTGAACAATGGGTTGGGGGTAAGAATGGGGATTTCTTCCATTTAAGAGTTTTGATACCAGATTAAGGTGATCCTGTGGCCCAGGGAGGAGCACCCACTGAAAGTGGCCCCTGGAAACACTAATGAGGCAGTAGTAGGCATAAGGCATGGGAAGAGGAGGTACAACCAAGGGGAAGAGCCAGAGTTTTAGGCATCCTTCAGGAGTGAGGAATAAACTTTCCAAATGTCTACTGCAGCCCTGCCCGGGACCCCCAGTTTCCCTTGCATGCCCAACCCCAAGAACAGGCATTCCAGAGCCATGTCTGTGTATCCCTCTATTCTCTGTGTAGCACTACCATTTTGCATTTGTCCAGCAATTCGACAGTTTAATGTCTGTCTCTTCCTCATTCCCCACCTTCCTCCCCCACACTGGGGAGATGCTCAAGGAGAAAAAGAGGGTTTTCCTCACCTTTGAATCTTTAGGGGCTAGCATCCAGCATAGCCTCCAAAAAGGCCACATGAGTTTCACTTTTTTTTTTTTTTTAATATGTAGTGAATCTTCCATCATATGCTAAACATTTCTCACTGTGTCACTATAATTATTTCTTAACTGTGGTCCTCCTGCCTCAGCCTCTAAAAAACAGGATGAACCTATCTCAACCCAGCTGGAAAACCCTCATGGGCAGCCCCACTCTCTTTTTTTTATCCTCACCCAAGGATATTTTTCTAAACATCTTCAGATAGAGTGGGAGGGGAGAGAATGACAGAAAGAGAGAAAGAGAAAGAAACATGGATGTTTCGATTGGTCCAACTGCAGCCGAAGTACGTGCCCTTGATGGGAGTCAAACCCCACGCTCTTTGGTCCGCAGACCTACGCTCTAATGGCTAAGCAAAACCAGCCAGGGCGCCCATACCTTCTTGATAGCTGATACATCATCTAGTGTGGCTGCGAAACTGCTGTCTGTTGGTTCCTACCAATGAACCCTGATTCATTTCTTGTTGCCCTTCCTCATCTCTACACATATATTCTAAGCTTAGCACTCAGAAGTGCCTTCCATTTACCACAAGCAAATAATACTTTCCTTTTCAGGCCTTTGTATATGATGTTTCCCTGGATTCCCCATCCCCTTGGAATTCTCTTTCCTTCTCCCCCCCACTCCAAGATTCTGGTCAACTCTCCCGGCTGACTTTGCTGCCTCTTCCCGAGTACACGCCTTACCAATAGTTTTTGGTCTTACCATTTTGTGCTGAATTACTTATGGGTCTGTCTATCCTTTAGTCAGTGTGGATATAGGCTGTCAATCACTTGTGGGTATCTGGACACAGAGTAGGATCTCAATAATGCCACGCTGAGTTAGCAACATTGCAATGCGAAAATATGCTTCAAGTATGTCTTCACTACTTCTCAACCCGTGTAAAATGCCTGCCGCCGGTGGGAGGGCTGAGAACAGGTAGCCAAGTGAACATGCTAGCTAAGCTCGATTTCAAACAGTTCAGGAATGCCCTCATCAAAATGCTTTCTCCACACTTAAAGTATTACTTTTATAGCGAACTGGATAAACAGGGGTTTGGAGCTCTGCGAGGCAAGTATGGACAAGGGAGACAGCAGCACGGGAGTTGAAGGTGTATACGGAGAGTGATTACAATGATGGACTGTGGAATTAGAAACTAGGGCGGGAAACGAAGGCAGTAAGAACACCGGTAAGATCAATAGATTGGTTGTGCGGGATGGGAGGTGAGTGGGAGGGTTGTGTTAACGGATTGATGGCGTCAGGATACTAGAGGAAGTAAATAGCAACAAAAGCTGAGAAATAAAATAGTGAGGAGCTGCTGCATCAATCCAGGTGGATGCTGGAGGCCAGGGCAGGGGCGGGAACCGCCGCCAGGTGTATTCGGTGCGTAGAATCTATGGAACTTCCAACAGGGTGTCGGGGAGGGATCAAGAATGACTCCCCACTGGGGATACCCCGCAGTGGAGCAGGTCCGTGCCGGGCAGGAGTGAACCCCCCGACACCGGAGCGAATGTTGTGGGGGAGACAGGGCGATTCCTGTCCGACTGGGGCGGACCCTGGGATAATGAATTTAGAACGCGAAAGAACAGGCGTTTCGAATGGAAAACCACTTCCTCTGGCGCCGCTACCTGGTCTCGATCTCAGGCCAAATCCCAAGCCCTCCGCCCTTAACTCCTGGCCCCCAGGTCGGGGCGCAGGCCAAGCGAGAATTTACTTACAAACTGGCTCTTGCGGCCTCTCCGAACCCCCAGGAACATCTTTGCTGTGGGGAGTGGTCACACCGGCTCTGGACCACAAGCCAGTCTCCTCCGGACCACTCCCTAAAGCCTGGCCCCCGCCCGCAGGGCTGGCCCCAGACGCATTTTTTACTTGGGAGACTCCGCAACAACCACGTCTGCTACTGGCTCTGCTTTCTCACCGGCCAATTACAGCCAAGGATACTGCACACCCGTCGCTCTTGGCAACCAGCGGGTCCCACTCAAATCCCCTCCGAGGCGGAAACTGTACGCGCTGTCCATTCTCTTATTGGCCAGAGGAGATGTCGATCTCTGACGCCATAGCCTATCTGACGCCCTGAGAGGCGGAGGGCGGGCAAGACAAAGGACTGGACTGCGGAGCCTCGGCGCGGTCTGAGCTGGGGTATCGGGGGTCAGGCTGGTGATGAAAGGGAGGGTCGGGGCTACCAGGACAGGAATCGCCTGGCTTTTAGACTTTGGCAAATAATTGGAGAGCACTGAAGACCGATTCCTGCCAAGAGGCTCCGGCTTCGAGTGGCATGTGGGGCCGCGTTCAGGACAGCCTGCTCAAGTGCCGTCTTGCATTTCCCTCTTTGCATCCAGGCCGCCATGGAAAGGAACCTTCCTGACGGCACAGGCCCCGTGCACGTGCCTTTTGGGCACGTTGTTGCCAATGAAAAATGGCGTGGGTCGCAGCTGGCACAGGGAATGCAAGGTCGGTGGGCTGCCCTCTGCATAAACCCTGTCTGTCCTCACCCCGCTTTTACAAAACGTTCTACTAATCGCTACCTTTTCATTCAAAGCTCACGGAACTTATTCTCTTGTTTGCATTTCAAGGGAAAATTAAACTTGTTTTTGAGGATGGCCTGGCACCGGTAGATTTTTACTTGTCTGCCAGATCCTGCATTCTTTATATCACAGAAGCCGATCTGGTGGCAGGAAATAGCTACCGAAAGAGGCTTGTTCGCGTTAGAAATGTAAGTAACGGAACTGAAGAAACTGACATTGTCTGGTCCCCTACCGCTTGTTTGGAATAATTTATGTGAAACCATTGGCCAGCCCAAGCACTCTTGGGGTGATCGCTTTCTTAAACTTGAAAGGAATTTTGTTACAAAATGGCTTACTGTTGTTTTTTATTTCTCCGTTAAGTCCGGTAATCTTCAAGGAATTGTAGTAGTTGAAAAAACGCGGATGACTGAACAGTACTTCGGCTCCATACAGAAGTTTACTGTGCTGGACCTTGGGATGGTGTTGCTTCCAGTGGCCAGCCAGATGGAAGCGTCCTGCCTCATTATCCAGTTGGTAAGTACTGATTCCTACTCCTCCAGAACAGCCTTGTCTTAAGGTCTCTCAGCTGACCTTCCTTGCTAGGGTTTCTTCCTGAGTCCATCAATCCAATGTAATCATTCTGTGTTGTTTTATAAAACTTTTCTGAGAATTTAAGTTCAGAAGCTGGCCCCCAACCAGCTGAGCTTGATACCCATTCTAGGCAACTGTGTAACAAAGTGAACAAGTTGGAGACTTGATTTTAGACTTCAAGGCTGAAATGGCTCTCTCCATCATTATTCTGCTTTGACGCTGGTGAAGATGTCAGCCAGCAGCTGCTTTGCCTCATCCCGGTGTTATCTTTTAAGCATCAGCACTCTGTGTGCAAGTTTATGTTGTTGTTGTGGTTAACCTCACCTGAGGATATTTTTTCCGTTGATTTCTTTTAGAGCCTGGAAGGGAGGGAGGGGAAAAGAGAGAAAACATCGATTGGTTGCCTACCTACCGCATGTGCCCTGGGCCTGGGGATTGAACCTGCAACCCAGGTATGTGCCCTTGACCGGGAATTGGAATCAAACCTGAGACTCTTTGGTGTGCGGGCTGACACTCTAACCACTGATCCACGCCAGCCAGGGCAATGTTGTTTTGTTTTTTAATATGTTTTTATTGATTTTTTTTTTTTTTTTAGAGAGAGAGAGGCAGAGAGATAGAAATATCCATGTGAGAAACACTGATTGGCCGCCTCCTGCACACCCACTACTGGGGATCGAGCCCGCAACCTGGGCATGTGCCCTGACTAGGGATCAAACCAGGACCTCAGCCCATGGGATGATGCTAAATCCACTGAACCACACTGCCTGGGCGGCAGTGTCGTTTTTAAACCTAGTTCAAGGTTATTCACCTTGATCGTATGTCAGAATTTTGTGGGGGAACTCTTCAAAATAGTAATACATGAGCCTTACTTAAGACCAATTAAAAATAAGACTGTGGGAGTAGGGCCTACGCATCAAATTGTGTTATTTCCTTGTTGGTGTTAAATCTTCCCTTCTGATGTGCGGCCTGGGTTGAGGACCAAACTGGAAATGCAGTTGTATGTTGTTCACAGACCCCTCCACAGCTCTCTGCCACATTTTTTGCTTTACTGTTCCTAACTTCCCTTGATGTAATACTATTCTCTGCCTTTCTGTATCCACAACTAACTGAAGGGTTTCTCCTTTGATAGGCAAGTTCCCTCCAGGTCCTAGATCAAGCAGGTCCAATTTAGGTGTAGTCATCATTTGATCACATACAATCGAAATGCTTCTTAGTGGTTCCTAGGAACATGTTTGAATTCTCCAGAGTATGTTTTCATCCTAACTATTCTGGAAACCCAAGATTTTATTTTTTTTTAAAAATGTATCTCTTACTCCTTGTAAGTCATATGATTCATTTTTCAATAATTTTGCTGATGAAAAATTATATTCGTGTTATATAAAAATATTTGTAGTAGTAAGGCAAGTTGAACCAAATAGAAAACCTGCTAGTCCTCTAGAGGGTGCTCACATGCTCTTTAATCTCTCTGTTCAGGTTCAAGAGCAAATCAAAGAGCCCAATAAGAACCCTTTTCTCAGGAAGAAACAGGCTCTGATCTCTGAGCCGTCCCTACTTCGAACAGTGCAACAGATCCCGGGAGTTGGGAAAGTTAAAGCTCCTCTTCTGCTTCAGAAGTTCCCAAGTATCCAGCAACTAAGTAACGCTTCCATCCAAGAACTGGAGCAGGTCGTTGGACCAGCAGTAGCGCAGCAAATTTATGCGTTTTTCACACGGTCCAGGTGACAGGATCTTATTCTCTTTTTATATTTAAAAATCGAGAAAAATGATTTCCTCGCAGAGAAAGACAAGGTGAGGCCTGAGTGGAACCTGCCAGTTATCCTGCACTGCTCTCTGGGTGCAGGCACTGAAGTTAGTGGGCCGCGATGGTGCTGCCCTGATTCTGCTGCCATGAAGAGGGCCAGTGGGGAGGTCTTCCTAAGAATGTCACTTGAATTAGGGACTCAGATTTATCAAAAAGCCATCTTGAACAGATGTGAATGTGTGACCTTGACGTGCATCTATCATGGAAAGGTCTCATCAAGTTTCAGGGGGTGGGTATGACCGTCTAAAGGAAACAAACCTACAATGAAGCACTGTGTACCATAAGCCCCTTGTTCCTGGTGGCAGCAGGCCTGTTCTGCAGGCCTGATCTTAATGTACCTGTGCTTTGAGGGCTGCTGCCAGTGTAAATAAACAATTGTACAGCCTTTGTGCTTCCTCCATCCCTCACTTCCTCCACGGTGGCTGCACTTTGTTTATAATCACTAGGCACCTCTGAACACAGAAAGCCTGGAGTGCAGAGTACCCACTTACAGGATAAAAAGCCCATGTGTAAGGGGGAGAAAAAGAATGTGTTTGTGAATGTGTAGCCAAACAATGGGAAGATACACGGGAAAGTGGCAGGGGCACCTGTATCCAGAAGAGCTGGGGGGAGGCTGGGGAGCACAAGGCACACTTGCCTATTCAAAAAATAAGTACAGTTAAAGATGCCGTATGTTTTCAAAGATACTAAGATAACTTGAAAGTCCATAATAAATTATTATTATGTTCATAATTTTAAAAAAATCAAACAATAAAACAATTTGTGCATTAGGGTAGAAATAATTTGAAAGGAGGGAATTAAAGTGAAAAAGTAAAAAACATTAACTCAGACAAATGAATGTGTTTATTTAAATATTTATACAAAAATGGCTCTAAGAGTAGTGGATACACTTTCCCAAAGGTGTTGCTTCCCTTCTGATATTGCACACTGAGAATATTATAAATTCTTGTTAACTCTCAAAATTAGATCTCAACACTATATTTTTAAGCTGTATAACCTGTACTATGTCAACAGTGAATCTTATTAGAATCACGGTATCATCCAACTTATAGCATGAGAACTGGTAAGAATGTCACTTTAAAAAGTCAAATAGAGCTTTAAACTTCAATCATTTACATCGTTAAAATATACAATTATGTACTTTCTACCTTAAACAAAATGAAAAATGTTTTGAGTATCAAACAGTATATGATCTACCTTGTAGACAGCACCTTCATCTAACACTGCCACTGTGTTAGCAACTTTTAAATGACATGTAACTAGGAGAAAAGCTACTCTGAAATAGTTTTATCTAATAAGTCATGACAAATTTGACATTAGACTGTACCTGGAAAGAGTATTCATGTTACGTAGAAATAATAGTAAAACCATGTCATTTTAGGTTAATGAATTCCCCTTAGAAAGCAGCTCTTAACTTTTTAGTAATACTATTTTAAATCTACCATTATAATCCCTTGACCTGCCTTAATTTAGGCTCATTTGGATTTTGGTTTAAAGAATGATTACCCAAGCCTGGAAACTTAAAAATAGGACCAATATAGGTAACCCCAATTTAACTCTGATAGTAACTGAAAGTCATACTTGTAACTGTTAAAAATAGCCGTATTTTCATCACTATTCTATTTACAATACTTTATATAATAAATAACTTGCAGTAATATGGTGACATTCCTTAATACATTTGTTTTCCACACATTTCTAGAGGTTTCTTGTTACTTTCATTCATTGACTTCCACTGTAAGGTTCTACTGTGAGAAAACAGGACTTAAGAATACATAGAAATTTTCCATTATGGCACAAAAATGAATGCCTCGTCAGCACTGGAAATGTTTTCGGCCTGAACGTTTCGTTTTCTCCCATTAGTATAAAGAGCTTTCCGAGTTGAGAAGGCTGAACGGAGAGGGGAGCTTCTTCTTGACTTGAGGCCTGGCAACCCCAACCGACGGGAGGCACAAGGTGCTGGCGGACTTCTGTCTGTTCTTATTGGTGCCCCAACTCAAGAAAGAAAGCTTTTTTGAGATTTTCTTGGTCTTATCAGTCTTATCATCATCATCATCTATGGCTAAGCAGATCATGGAGTAAGTTTTCTGCATTCCCACGGAGTATGTGGCACACTTATTATGCTGCACATAGAAAAGCAAGAAAAGGGTGTTAGAAATCCTCAGGCTATCTGATCAGTGATCACAAAGTCTGAGACTCACATCCTGCACTTCCATCATCCTCTTTAAATCAAGTTGATATGATTCTGAAACTCAGGTGACTAACACATAAAATTAGGTTCTTAAAAACAAGGACAATTTTTAAGGAATATACTCGGTAGTAGTAATTTAGGCTAAGGACCACTGCCCATACTCACTTTTAAGGTTCTTATTAGATCTGAAAAAGTAATACATACTCATGGTCAACAATATGAAAATATACACAATGAACAGTAGGTGTTCCTCCTACCTTGGCTCCAGGCCCTTCTGAGTTAGACATGATTCTTATCACACTTTTGGAGATAATGTTCATGTACGTGCATAACCATATGTCACCATTTCTCTCTCCTTAAAAGGAATATACTACACACTGACTGGTCTGCACCCTGCTTTCTTCACTTAATGTATCTTGGATTTCGGTCTATGCCATTAGGTGTAGCTCAACTTCATTCTCTTTAAAGACAACAGAGTCCACGGTGAGGATATGATGATCTTTCCCCGTTTAAGCAATCCAGTCCAGTGGGCTCTCCATTCACGTGGTGGGGCGACCACCATCGCCACCATTCATCTCCAGAGCTTTGTCATCTTCGTCAAACAAAATCCCACCTATTAAACCTGACTATTAACTTAAAGGATCGTGTAGGACTCAAATAGGAACACTAAAGAAACCTGTTTTCTAAATATTTCCACATGAGTTACCACCTGCTCGTAAGGCTTGCCTAACACTGAGATTGCTTTGTTCACGAAATGTTTACTGAACATCTGCGTTCCAGGCACCGAAACCAGGCCGTTTGTATAAGCATACACACGGTACAGCCAAGGGGTTGGTACAGTGTTCATAACGTAAATCAAGAAACTTGAGTGAGGCAGCAATAAAGGAGGGTATCCACCATAAAATGTCCCTCTTGAGTGTGGCTCCTTTGGATAAAATCTGGTTCCCTTTTCTATAAAACTGCCACTAATCCCATGTGCTCATTAAAAATAAAACAAACTCCTAGAGGTAGATTTAATGCCTTTTAAATAAAACATTTTCAACCTTCATCTGCTAAGAGTCCATTATGCATATTAATAACCCCTCCCTTGCAAACACCCTGAGTTCTCTAACCCACTTTGATCAGCAAATGTCAACTCTAGTTCACCCGCTGCCTCCCCCAGGCCTGCATCTAAACAGCTGCACATTACTGGAGGATATTTACCAAGCTGACTGGCTTCCCTTGACATTCTACCTCTGACCCCAAACCTCTCCTGGGCCCCCCATTGCCTGGCACTCCTACATCTCCCTGGTAACTTTATTCCTTTTCTCCTAAACACCTTCTCAAGCCCCTCACTTGCCCTCCTGATATCCTTGCCTTATACTTAATGCATCTGTCCCCAAAGACAAGCTCTCTGGTGTACCTGATGTCCTGCCCCCTCCAGGAATTCCCTCTTTGCACTCCTGTCTCCCACACCTTTCCCACCAGCACGCAAGCTTGCTGTGTTACCTACACACAACACCACCTTATTTGAAAAGCCTTTCTTTTCCCTGTGTCCGTCTCCCCACCCCCAGCTACCACCCCAATGTCCCTGCTCCCTTTCACAGATCTTCCTTCTTCCCATTCACTTTTTCCTGTCCTTATCCAGCATGCTCCCACTCACATCTTCCTGGGGCACCTCTCTGGAATTCTTAGGGCTTTATGGAGCAGTCTGAAACCACAGGCCTAGTCAACTTTTACATTACATGGATGAGGAAACAGGCCAAGGGAGGGGCATTAACCTGCTGAAGGCCCCACAGCTTGTTAATGGCAGAGAAGGCCTGACTCCAGGGCTTGTGGTTCCACGCCTAGGATTCCACTGCATCAGCAGTTTTCAAAATGTGCTCCACAGAGGAGTCCCTAGGGATCCCACTGTGATCCAGAGAGAGTGGGGAAGCAGGTAATCAATCCAGCATGAGAACTCAGCTCTATTCTTAATATTTGGTTTGCTCAGATGTTATCTAGAATCCTTGCTGGGGGAAAAGAATAACCACATTATGGTTATAACACACTTTATGAATGGAAACATACCCTATGTCAGGCACTGTTTTTCCCATTTTCCTGAAGCTGAGTTGTTCCCAGAAATGCCCAAGGATCCTTGCCTTTTTTTTCTCCCCCATTTATTTTCAGATAGAGTGAGAGGGGGGGACAGAGAGAGAGAGAAACACCAATGTGAAAGAGATACATCAACTGGCTGCCTCCCGCATGACCCCGACAAGGGCCAGGGACAAACTGCAACTGTGGTATGTGCCTTGGCCGGAATCGAACCCGCGACTCTTTGGTCTGCAGGCTGATGCTTTAACTGCTGAGCCAAACCCAGCCAGGGCTAGAATCCTTGCTTTTATTATTTTTATCCTCACCATAGGACATTTCTGCATTTATCTTCCGATAGAGTGGGAGGGAGAAAGGGAGGAAGAGAAAGAAACATCAATATAAGAGAGACACATCGAGTGGCTGCTATCCATGACTCCAACCGGGGCCGAGGACAAACTGCAACCAAGGTACATGCCCTTAGTGGGAACTGAACCCGGGACTCTCCAGTCCACGGGCCGATGCTCTAACTGCTGAGCCAAACGGGCCAGGGCTAGAATCCTTGCTTTTAACCATCATATCCATTGGCCTCCTTCAAAGATATGACAGGACTGAAAGATTCTCTCTGCATAGGGGCAGGGCCACTCTGTTCAGCCACCCTCTCTCCCTGGCAGTACCATCTGCTCCAGCCCTTCCGCCCAGAGCCCAGCCCTTTATTCATCCTCCTATTGGACAAACCTCTTTTCTGTTTCTGGTTGGGACCTTGATCACGTGTCCAGCAATTCTATGGATTCTGCCCCTACAAGTACCATTTCTCATGATCCCTTCTCCCAAGCTGCTCTGAGTCTCGACATCTTTGTCTTCTTTATTTTCTAAGTTAAGAAGTAATTCAAATACCATAAAATTCACCATTTTAGTGCAATTCAATGGTCTTTAGTATATTCACAGTTGTGCAACCACCACCACTAATTAATTTCAAAACATTTCCATCCCTCCAAGAAACTGTACCCCTGAGCTGTCACTCCCCAGTGTTCTAGCCCCAGCCTTGGCAACCACGAATCTGCATTCGTTTCTACGGACTTGCCTATTCCCCACATTTCTTATCAGTGAAATCACACAATCCATTCACTCTCCAACCCTCTCTAATCTGACTTCTGTTGCTATCTCTCCTTTTGTCCTTTTGTCTGGCTGCTAAATATAACAGACAGGGTCTCTGCACCTGTTGGCCCCCTGCCCAGAATGCTCCTCTTATACCTCCTCTTCAAATACAAGAGGCTCCTCGTCACTCAGTCTCTGTGGAAGGTCTATCTAAAGGAGCCTCTCCCAGGCACTCTATTCTGTTATGCCTTTTCTTTTTTAAAAATATGTTTTTATTGCCCTGGCCGGTTTGGCTCAGCGGTTAGAGCGTCGGCCTGCGGTCCGGAGAGACCCGGGTTCGGTTCCCGCCAAGGGCACGTACTTCGGTTGCAGTTTGTCCCCGGCCCTGGTTGGTCGTGCAGGTGGCAGCCACTCGATGTGTCCCTTCACGTCAATGTTTCTCTCTCTCTCCCTTCCTCTCTCTCCCTCCCACTCTATCTGTACAAAAAATGGAAAAATATCCTCGGGTGAGGATAAAAATAAAAAAATAAAAAAAATATGTTTTTATTGATTTTTTAGAGAGAGAGAGGAAGGGAGAGAGAGATAGAAACATTAATGCAAGAGAAACATCTAATTAGCCGCCTCCTGCATGCCCCCCCCCCAAGGGATTGAGCCTGAAACCCGGGCATGTGCCCTGACTGGAAATTGAACCGGGACCCCTCAGTCCATGGGACGATGCTCAATCCACCGAGCCACACCGGCCAGGTCACCTTTTATTTTCTTTGCAGCACTTATCAAAATCACAACCACTGCCCTGGCTGGTTTGGCTCCGCAGTTGTAGCGTCGGCCCACAGACCAAAGAGTCGAAGGTTCAATTCCGGTCAAGGGCACGAACCTCAGTTGTGGTTTATCCCCAGCCCTGGTCAGGGTCATGCGAGAGGCAACCAATCGGTGTGTCTCTCTCACATTGGTGTTTCCCTCTCTCTCCCCCCCCTCCCTCCCACCCTATCTGAAAATAAATAGAAAAATACCCTCAGGTGAGGATTAAAAAAAAAATCACGACCGTTTATTTGCTTATTTAGTGCCAGCTTTGTCGAGGCAGGGACCTTATCTGTCTAGTTCCAGCTACAGCTCCAACACCTCAGAGGGGCCTGGCACACAGCTAATGCTCAATATTTGTTGAACAAATGAACAAATGTAGAGGGACATCTCTAAGGTACCTTATTCATTGTGGCAAAGTGTGAAAGAGTATGTATGAAATGATTCCTCCCACTTGGGGAACCGAAGGATATAACTGTGCACGTGCACGTGTACAGGTAGTAAACACTGCCCCAGATCTCACAGGGAACAGCTAACGCTGTCTGACACGCGGAGAGGTTCTTTCCAATGACAAGCCCTTCTGTACCGCGTGAATATGTCTTTACCATGAGTATGTATTACTGTTGTCTATCCAGTGCTCTCTGACCCAAGGCAAGCACGTCGCAGCCATGACAAGCTGAGGAGTCCATCATCTGTGTCATGTTACAAACACAGGAGGAAGAGGGTCCGGAAAAGACATCTGGGGCTGGACTCACACCGACCTCACCCCACTTTGCAGTTTACTGCCGGGGTATCAGCACTCACCATGGATGAAGTGGGGTCCAGGAGGCTCACAACCTTCATTTCAACGTCGCCCTCGCCGAAGCTCTTCAGCAGCTTCATCACCTCGCTCACTGTCAGCCATTTACAATCCACGTTTTGAATGGAAACAATATAATCCCCTTCCTTGGCTCCTGCCAGCTACAAAAGCATGATACAAATAAAGGTCCACATTCTGTTCATTAGATTCCTAGAGTCAGTTTCCAAGTTCAGTAACAAAATACATATTTGCATAAGTTTGCTTTACGAATGCAAAAATTAATCTTTTCCTCTTTGGCCATGTAGCACCCATGAGAGGCCTTTCACATAAAGGACCCCTAAATTCATTCACCCAGATATATTTGTTTGGGCAGCTTTCTTTGCATTTTACCAGTTTGCCTGCCTGCAAAGATGCCTGTGAGTTTTGCCCCAGCCTAGAACGGCACACACTCACCGCAGCAGAGCAGTAAGGATCCAGGAAGTGGACTTGGACTGGAGAGTTTCCTCTCAGGGTGAACCCCAAGTCCCCTTCTTCCACCGTGAAACAAATGCTTCGAGGAGGCGTCCATCTCTTGTTAGCCGAAAACATGGACAGAGGGCCCTTTGGAACAGAGCATCATTAGCTGTAGGATCTGAGGGCTGAATCAGGCATTTGAAAGCTAAAGGAAATGTTATCTTGTGGTCCTTGCCACATGCCATTTGGCCTCGCTCAGAGACTAACGTAATGACACTGTCTGGGATGACACATGCTATAGCGGTCACACAAGAACAAGATTGCCATTTTCTCTAAAATAGCCAATACAGTTTAAATAAAATTATCTTTTAAAAAAATCTCAAAATGTTCTCATTTAAAAACCTAAAATATCTAAAAATAGCCTTGTATATACTTGCAACATGTACAAGCTGTCCCTTAGGCCATTGTGAAATAAGCACTCAACATACCAGTTTCTGGAAGAAGTCTGTCACTGTCACCTTGGAGAACTGTGGCACTATAATTTCAACTTCTTGCTCGGTTTTAGCTAGAAAATAAGATTAAAAGGGAAAGCTTAGATGTTTCTGTAGTTGAAAGTGATCCTTGGCCCTGGCCAGGTAGCTCGGTTGGTTGAGCATCGTCCTGATATAAAGATTGTGGGTTCCAGCTCCGGTCAGGGCACATACAAGAAGCAACCAATGAATACATAAATAAGTGGAACAGCAAATCAAATTGATGTGTCTTTCTCTCTCTCAAAATAAATTTTAAAAGAAAGAAAGAAAAACTCAGGTCTAAGTCTTCTCTCTGAAGGGAAGAAGCAAACCTTGCTCCTAGTCATGTGTCCTGCTGCAGAAAATGGACTGCTGGTCAACCCCTTGGTCCAGTGTGACCTGTATCTACTATAAGCCATACCCAGCTCTGGGCTGGGACACAGTAGTGACAAACAGACACATTCCCTGCCTTCCAATAGCTTATTTATATTCTAGTGGACTTCCTTTGGCACTCATACAGCCCCACTGGGAAGTAATCTATGTTTTAGGCAAGGCTGTGATGGAAGGAAGTACCGTGTCTAATAGCACAAGTCCTGGAGGAGATGTGCTTCTTTTCATCATCAGTGTGTGTAGTGGATTTCACAGTGAGCAGTGGGTTTGTCAAATTGTGTCCATCAATAGCTCAAATCTCCACATATCTGTGGCAGGCCCAACCCGCCCTTACCATGAGGCTAGCCGGCTTCTCACAAAGGATCCCAGAGCAGGCTAAGTACACGTGAACAACAGTATAAAAAGAAAACTTGAGGAAGCAGACTGGTACTGCCAAGGTAGATCACACCCCTCCATTCCCAGGATGACCCTGTGGCTTCTTACAAACTGCCGGATACGGCACTGGGCTTGGACAGGCTGCTCATCCACTAGGAGGGGTGCCACCACCCCTGGACCTCACCAGAAGCCATGTCTCTTCCTCTCAGGAGGTTATGTCTTTACCTCCTAGCCACAGAGCACGTGGTGTGGACAAGGGGGCCAAAGAGGTGGCCACAGTGTCCATGAAGGAGACTCCCTGAGCACCATTCCTCCTCTCACCAACCAGATGGTCACCTGGAGCAAGGACCTGGATCCCCCTAAGCCTCGTCTCGTCTTTAAGATAAGGGTAATACCAGTACTTCCCTCGTACAGTTGGAAGGAGAGTTAAATGAGATTCTGTATACAAATGGTGCTTAATGTGCCTGGCAGACTGCAAGTGCTCAGTAGGTATCTGTCAACATTACTACAGACAAGCCCAGAATTCTAGCCTGAGCTAGAATTTAATTCTAAGGAGCTGGTCCCTGAAAATTGGGGGAGGAACTCCAGAGACTGGTGACAGAGGTTTAGGAAGTAGGGTGGGAGGGGTACAGCCAAAGAGGGTTCCCTCGATTAGGCCACCCCCATCCCCATCCCCTAACTCCTGGCAAGATCCTACTCATTCTCACTGTAAAGTCACCTCTCAGGGAGGTCCCCCCAACTCCAGACCTCTAGGGCAGAACTGATTGCCACTTCTCCAAGGGCAGCAACTGCCCAGTCCACCTCCGTATGCCAGAACCCAGCACAGTGCTCAACACTTATGAGATCCTTCGAAAATGCTCGTGGTGCCCAATCTCACTTATATGTGGATCTAAAATAGTCCACTCATAGACGCAGAGAGCAGAATGCTGGATGCCAGGGGGTAGGGGAGAGGGAAATAAGATGTTGGTCAAAGGTACAAAGTTTCAGTTATACAAGATGAATAAGTTATAGAGATCTAACATACAGCATAGTGACTATAGTTAACAACACCATATTGTATACTTGAAATTTCCTAAGAGGGTAAAATCATTTTTTCTTTTTTTTATCCTTACCCAAGGACATTTTTGCATTTATCTTCAGATAGAGCAGGAGGGAGAGAGGGAGGAAGAAAGAGAAGGAAACATCGATGTGAGAAAGACACATCGAATGGTTGCCACCCATACGGCCCCAACTGGGGCCGGAGACAAACTGCAACCAAGGTACGTGCCCTTAGCGGGAACCGAACCCAGGACTCTCTGGTCCGTGGGCCTACACTCTAACCGCTGAGCCAAGCCAGCCAGGGCAGAAGGTAGATCTTAAGTGTTCTTCTCACATACATGTGCACATGTGCACGTACACACACGCAAGATGAACTAGGTTTTGAAGAATGTCCCTGCATCCCTGGTTCCACTATATCAGTGAAAGTTTTACTTCCCATTTCATAATAAAAATAACTTGTCTTAGAAGAAAAAACATGTTGGTGCTAATAAGAGATGAAATAAACAGGGGAACGAGCAAGCCTAGAAGAGGGAACAAGGATACACTGGCTTTCAAACCATGGAGCCCAAGTTGTAAAGACAAATGACAAAGTGCAGTTTCCCAGAAGGCAGATGGAACGTGGGTAGGTGTGAAGTGCAGCAAAAACGTCAAGGCAAAAGGTCTCCTGAGCAAAGGTGCTGGCTGGAAGCCCAAAGGAGGTTGGGAGGCTTTAAGGAAAGGAATCTAGAGGAATTGAACCAGGAAGAGTAGACCCTTCAGAATACCATGAAGGGTGGGTGGGATTGGGCAAGAGGAACAGTCAGCACAGGCATGAAGACGGAGGTGGGAATGAACAAGGTGGCAGCGCACCCCAACACCAAGGGAGGAGTATCAAGGGGCAGGAGGGGAGTCAGAAGTCACTAAGGGGTTGACAAGGACAAGATCATAAAGAAACCCCTGGAATCGGGCACTGGAGATGAGCAAGAACAGCATTTTGCCCCCTGCCAGTGCCCAGCGCATTGGAAGGGTTTGCCCAGCCTCTGCAGAATGAGCATACAAAGGCTTTTCACCCCAAGTGCCCCTGCCTCTTACACAGGGCGGACTCGGCACCTGGCACAGGCACCCAGATCACTCACAAAGAATGTCAGGAGCATCAATCAAGTTCAGCAGGTCGTCGTCCTCCTGGTGCTGAGTGTACTTGAGCCGGGATCGCTGGTGTGCCACGGTCAGCACCTCCTGCAGCAGCTCGATGTTGCGCAGCTTCTTGCATAGGCTCACCTCCCTCACCGACTCCTCGTGATGGGCAATGGCTCTGCGCAGATGGGACTTGCCTGCAAGCAGAAAAGCAACACCATGGGACATGTGTCCTACATTGCAACATGAGCACATCAAGGAGAACCAAAGTGCTCAAGGATCAGCCCAGAAAGGGGGATGTTCTCTTTTCTGAAGAATCTGTCCAGACAGCTAAGTCCCTCTGAAATGCCCATGCGATATGCTCACTGACGTCCACAGGATGTCCATTCAGCTAATGTTTACTGAATGTTCAAGGCAGTGGAGATAAAGCAATGAACAAAAACTTGCCTCTGCATTCATGGAGTTTACATGCTAGTGGCTGAAGACAGATAATTAACAAGCAAAGACGTATGAAATGGAATGTGTGGGAATCGGGTTATGGAGAAATGTGAAACGGTAGGTAGATGTGGCAAGAGAAGACTGGGAATGGAAAGTTGCTCTTCTGTGATGGGTGATCAGAAGGCCTTTCTGAATAGAGCCCTGAAGAAAGTAAGGAAGCAGCTATGATGATATCTGACAAGAGAGCATTCCTGAAAGAAGAAACTGCAAGTGCAAAGGCCCTGGGGCCGGACCATGACTGTGTTCAAGAACAACCAGCCCTGGCCGGTTTGGCTCAGCGGTTAGAGCGTCCGCCTGCGGTCCGGAGAGACCCGGGTTCAGTTCCCGCTAAGGGCATGTACCTCGGTTGCAGTTTGTCCCCGGCCCTGGTTGGTCGTGCAGGTGGCAGCCACTCGATGTGCCCCTTTCACATCAATGTTTCCCTCTCTCTCTCTTCCTCTCTCTCCCTCCCACTCTGCCTGTACAAAAAATGGAAAAATGTCCTCGGATGAGGATTAAAAAATAAATTAATTAATTAAAAAAAAAAAAAAAAAAAAGAACAACCAGGAGGCAGAGAAGGGTAGCGAATGAGGGCAGAGAAGACCAGGGGCCAGAGCATGTCCAACCATGCAGGGTGAGGACTTATGTTCCTACTGTGGGAGCCCATTAGGTGTGAGCAAAGGACTGATGTGATTTGACCCATGTGAGTGGACTATGCAGGAGCAAAGAGGAAAGCAGGAAGACCAGCTATGAGGGCACTGCAAAAAGTTGGGTAAATTGTGTGACTTCTCTGGGCCTATTTCCTCAACTGAAAAATGGGGGTCATGCCATTCCTATCTCACAGGATTGAGTGAGGTTTCAGCAAGTCAGCGTCAGTTGACTAAGCACTCTATGAGTGTGGCTTGGACCAGGGTGGTAAAGTAAGAAGCGGTCAGTTTTCTAGGTAGAGTCAATGGGTTTTGCTAATCAATTGTGGGGAGACAGGGCACAGAGAGGGTCTAAGGTTTCTGGCCTGTCTACCTGGAAGGGTGCAGTTGCCATCAATGAGATGGGGAAACTGTGTGTGTGTGTGGGGTGGGGGATACAGGGGTGTTTGCACATGGAAAGAGCTAGTCACTCTGAGACTTGGCAGAGACCAACCCAGGACAATTCATCACCAGTTCCCAGGTGTGGCCTGAGAAGATAAACCACCAAGTCCTTCCACATGGGGGTGGTGGTGACACTGTCAAAGCTCTGGCTCCCCTGGGGAGGCCTGGGTCCTTGCAGAACCCAGGAGAACACAACTCTGGAAGCCCATGTGGGTGAGAGGACGATGCCTCATGGTTTCCGAATCCAGAGTGGCCACAATGGCTCTGGACCCCTACTCTCCAAGCCCTGCCCTGGGGACATGTCTGGGGTTGTTTGTGAGCAGGACCAGCTGGGCATGAAATGGGGGACAAGGAGGGAGGGAGCAGGAGAGCCAGTACACACCCAGCTGTCGGCGCTGCTGAACGTTTTTCAGCGTGGCCAAGGGAGTCAGCCCCTCCGGCATGTGGTCGTAGAGGTGGGACAGGCACTTCTCCTGGTGGTCTTCGTCTGCACCAGGTTTCACTGCAACAAGAACCACAGGTAAGTCCTTGCTCGTGGATATGGCTGAGGACTCGAGATGGCGCCACAGATGCACTTAGAGATTTCTCTTCCAACCACATCTTTAGGTTCCTTTCTTCTCCAGTTTTACAAGGCACTTGGGACAACAGGTCTTTCTGTCCTTGGACAAACTCCCGGCAATCCAGCCCACAAGTCTTTGCATACTTGGGGCTCGTAATTTGGTTCTGAGGTCCCACTTTTAACTTCCTCCAAGCCACCTACTTCCTAGAACCTCCTCAGTACAGTCCCGCCTCAAACTTCTGGTGGCCCCTGTGCCTGCACCTCCCTGGCACGTGTTCCCCTCTGACATCACTAAAGCCACTCACCACCAGGCTCAACACTTCTGGCCTCCATCCCAGAGCTCAGGTACTGTTCTTGCTCTGGCTGTCCTATCCTTTCCTGATCAGCTGGAAAAGGTCTCCTCAGAGTTCAAAGTCCAACTCAAATGAAAAAGTGTCCAAGACTACACCAAACAGTTCAGCTGTGGCCTCACTGCTGTCTCTACTGCAATTAACGAAGCACTGTATTCGTGCCGGCTGCCACGCCTCGCCCTGCCTGCAGACCACACGGTAACACTAGCAGTAGCAGCTGACACTTTCAGAGAGCCCACCTAGGTAGAAGGCACTTTAGCTTTGCATGTAGGCACTGTTTTCACAACAGCCCTGTGAGATGGGTTCCCTTCATATCCCCATTTTAGAGATGAGAAAACTAAGGCACAGAGCAGCTAAGTAACTTGCCCAAGATCACACAGCTAATAAATGGCAAAGCTGAGATACAAAGCCAGGCAGTCTGGCTCCAGAGGTTATCCTTTTCATTAAGCTGGGGGCTGCCTTGATTAGTACTAATTACAACAAAAGCCCTACCCAATCTGAGATCAGAGCCAAGGCCAGGGTGAGGAAGTGATGCACTCACCTCTAGCTGAAAACTGAAGGGGGTGTGTGTGTGTGTGCCAAAAACTCAATAGTCGAGATGCATAATAATTTAATACAAGTTTCTAAATATCAAAATCAATGCAAAAAAATCTAAATTTCCTTTTGTTTCAAGCTCCAATGTGGCTCAGCACAGCAATCCCAGTATTTATTAATTTACTTTTTTTAGAGAGAGGAAGGGAGAGGGAGAGAAACATCGATGTGAGAGAGAAACACCAATCAGCTGCCTCCAGTATGCACCCCAACCAGGGCTCCCTGTCTTTATTTAAGATTCTGATCACCCCTGGCTGGTGTGGCTCCGTTGGTTGGAGCGTTGTTCAGTACACCAGTCAGGGCACGTGCCCAGGTTGGGGCATGTGTGGGAAGCAACCAGTTGATGTTTCACTCTCGCAATGATGTTTCTCTCCCCGACCCTTCCTTTCTAAAATCAATTTAAAATTTTTATCATCATGAAATTTTTTGCATTAATTTTGATTCATGTAAACTGTCACTGAAATTTCACCTTGGTCACTGGGCTTTGGAGCACTCCCTCAGATGATGTGCCTGAGGCCCACGCCTCCTGGTCCTCGCCCTGTTCTAATTTCCATCCCGCGCAAAACGCACACTTCCCCTTTTCCTTACAGCGGAAACACAGAACACCGAATCCCACTGGCTATGTGACAGCTGCTTGGGCCAACATGTATGTCCCACTCTCCATCCCCAGGCAGGCAGACAGTCCCCACGCAGCTCAGAATCTCCTGTTGGCAGGAAAACCACAGCCCTGACCAAAGCCCAGAGCCCCCAGACCCCCAAGCCTTACACTTACACTGATGGTCAATGAGGAGGGTGGCCACAAAGTAGTGGGCCAGGGCTCCATAGTGGTGGGCCTTCACGCAGGCCAAGCTGGCCCAGGAGTAGGGGATGTTCTCCTTCACTGGTGCCTGGCTCATGGCTGCGTGCAGCTGCTGATACACCTCTCCCACCTGCAACAGAAGGGAGAGCCTGGCACAGGAGTCCTCACGCACCGGGGCTGCAAAAAAGAGCCCTTTCTCCCACACGGCAGCCCCTGCCAGAGGCCGCTCCAGAATCTGGGAGCGACTCCAAGAGTGCTTCATGCTGTCAGTGTCAGAGCTAACAGGGAGATCAGGCCACTGTCATTATGTTGGCTTTTAGGCTAAACTGTGGATGAAATCAGTGATCCATATCTAAAACACTAGTACTTGCCAACAAAATACAAGCCAGCACTCTGGCCAGGGTGGTCATGCTGCCCAGGTCACAGGCAAGCTGCCGTGGGAAGCCCCCTCTGCTTCTAGTGGGCTCGTACCAACGCATCCTGCCCACTCTGAAAGTCACAAGGACCCGAAGGCTTACCTTGGCAGCCTCCTGAGCCACCTTCACCAGCATGAAGAACTCATTCTGGATCCCAGGAAGGCAGATTTTCTCAAACACATTTTCCTGGGCCTGTGCAAGCATCATTTTGACCAGCACACTGAGCATGGCCGGGCTCATGTCATAACTCGGTGTGTGAGTAAATGTCTCTTTCAGATAGTTTAAAACCCCTACAATTGGAAAATTTTTGCACATTAGTTGGAGGTCATATTTATTTCACCACACTGCTGAGAATATAGAGAATGACAGAAGTAAAAAAATAAAACTGGCATCCTGGAGCATCTTTAAAAATCTGATTCTCAATTACTGTAAGGTCCAGCAAGTCCACGCCTAGTGATACACGCCGAAGACGTGAAAGCAGGGATTTAAATGGGTAGTTGTGCAACAATGTCCATGGCAGCATTATTTACAATAGCCAAAGGGCAGAAACAACTTAAAGGTCCATTGGCGGATTAATGGATAAACAAAATGTGATAAACACGCAATGGAATCTTTTTCAGCCTTAGAAAGGAAGGAAATTCTGACTCATGCTACAATATGGAAGAAGACACTATGCTAAGAGAAATAAGGCAATCACAAGGACAAATATTGTATGATTCCACTGAGATGGATGATCTGGAATAGACTGGAATTCAGAGACCAAAAGTAGAATGGTGTTTGCCAGGGGGTGGAGAGTTACTATTTAATAGAAACACAGTTTCAGTTTTGATTGTACAACAATGTGAACGTACTTAATGCCAATGACCTGGACTCTCAAAAATGGTTAAAATGGTAATTTTGTTATGTATCTTTTACAACAGTTTTAAAAAAAGATGAGACTCTTTTCCAAAACATTTATGTCTGTATCAAGAAAGGGAACCAGCCCGCTCCCGTCCACTCCTGTCTCTCCCAGGCGATTGTGAGAAATTCCAAACATGACCAGTCAATTAAGGAAGGCAAAGCAGAAAGCAGGCGGGATGACTGAGGGGCTCTCAGGGGACACACTCACACTTAGCACCCAGGTCATTCAGAAATTCAGGGCTTTTATCCAGGACCCGAGAAAAGATCAGATCAGCCCATTCCAATGGACATTTTCATGCTGTGGCCCTCAGCTGACATTTTTTTTTATGCTTTAGAAAATTAACCGTCACAACATAAATAGACATCGACCTGGCGCTAAAACAAAATGTCCACCACGAATGCCATCTGACTGGTTTCTCTGGTTTTGCCACAAAGCACAGATGCTCTGTACAAGGATGGCAACTGCCACAGGCAGTCTGCTCCCCTCTGGGTTCCTCCACTCTGTTCTCAGGCTGCATTCTGTCCAAGTCTATAATCTCAGAGACAGGTCACAAAGTACACCTGCTCAAGAGTACCCAGAATCGGCCCTGGCCAGGTAGCTCTGTTGGTTAGAGCATCGTCCCAATATACTAAGGTTGCAGGTTCGATCCTCAGTCAGGGCACATACAAGAATCAACCAATGAGCCCTGGCCGGTTTGGCTCAGCAGTTAGAGCATCGGCCTGCGGTCCGGAGAGACCCGGGTTCGGTTCCCGCTAAGGGCACGTACTTCGGTTGCAGTTTGTCCCCGGCCCTGGTTGGTCGTGCGGGTGGCAGCCACTCGATGTGTCCCTTTCACGTCGATGTTTCTCTCTCTCTCTCTGTTCCTCTCTCTCCCTCCCACTCTATCTGAACAAAAAATGGAAAAATGTTTTCAGGTGAGGATAAAAAAAAAAAAAAAAGGATTTACCCTGAAAGAAATCAATTCCTACGTGGAATCTTAGCATATTGGTTCATCCTGAGTATACTAGACACAGGCCCTGCTAGAGGGGAGCAAGGCAAGACCCCTGGACACCCAGCTCAGGCCCACCCATTGCACCAGACCTCTGAGCCCTGGTTCTCCATAGGTTGGTGCTAAGTGTCGCTTGACATACGGCCAAGAGTAACCTTAGGTGGGCCGGCTTCCTAGAATCAGCATAATATAAAGGCATAAAAAGTAATAGGCACCAATGAGGCACACATGATTTCTCAAAAGCTACATTTTCACTCCTCAAAAAAACTTACTCTGTTTTTAATACAGCGTTCAAAGGAATACTTCACTCACTTCCATCCTTAGGGCCACTCATTTGGAAAAGATTAATCGTTAACCATAAAATTCACGGTGTACATGAGCCAAAACCCAGACCCAGACTGAGCCAACAGGGTTTAAACCATTTAGTCATTCTCCTGGTGAGAAATTACACCAGGGCTGGAACCTGGCCTGGCCCTTTCAGGCCCGTGAAGCCAAGCGTGGGCCTGGGAAGGACCCGCAGACCCACTTCAGCCGGGATGCCCAGTGCCAACTAGCAGGGCCAGCACTCGGTGCCAGCAGCCCTCTCGGGACACACCTGCGGCTCTCTGAAACGCATCCACCGCGCTCTCCAGCCCAGCCTGCGTCTGCCGATTGCACCGGGTCCCGATCTGCGTGTAGAGGGCTCCGATGTTAAACAGAATGCTGGCTTTCTCCAGTAACAAGTTCTGTTGGCTGACCGGGACCCCAGTGAGGGAATCATACCTATTTAAAAGAAATGTGTTGTGAGTTTACAGATTACTTGGCTAGTTAATGCCATTTCGGGGTGAAAAATGGACAAAATTTATTTCTTGAATAAAATTCAAAGATGCACATGCAGAGAGCCTTTCATTTCCAAACAGGATGACGGGCCTGATCACACTGAAGACACGCACAACAGCACACAAAAGTCAGGCTTCACAACCAAGATGTCCTGCAGCGGGTGAATGGATAAACAAGCCGTGGTGTAGCCATACAGTGGAATATTTATTGAGCACTAAATAGAAAAAAGCTATCCAGCCATGAAAAGACATGCAGGAACCTTAAATGCATATTGCTAAGTGAAAGAAGCCAATCTGAAAAGGCTACATACTGTATGATTCCAACTATATGAAATTCTAGAAAAGGCAAAACAACGGAGAAAGAAAAAAAAAAATCAGTAGTTGCCAAGGTTTTGGGGGGGGAGGACAGGTGAAGCACAAAAAATTTTTAGGGCAATGAAAATACTCTGCATACTGTCATAGTAGATACTTGTCATTATACATTATCCAAACCCATATAGAATGTACAGCACCATGAGTGAATCCTACTGTAAACTGTGGACTCTAGGTGAAAATGTACCAACTGTAGAAAATAAATGTACCTCTCAGGTGGGAGATGTTGATATTGGGGGAGGCTGTTGATGTGTGGGGGCAGGAGGTATATGGGAAACCTCTGTACTGTCCCTTCAATTTTGCTGTGAACCTAAAACTGCTTTAAAATATGTGTTTAAGAAAACATAAGGCTTCTTCTAAATGAAATATAGCAATTACAGACCCCTCATAATTCTTGCTCAAGTCTAAAAGATTCAAGATTTGTTTTAAAGCTCACACATCAACCAGCAGGTAGACATGGAGCTTTCTCCTCAATTCAAGACTGAGGTGAAACCACCCTCAGAACTTTCACCAGAGCAGGCAGCTAATACATCCTGACAAAAAGTCATCACAAGGGCCTGCTGTGCAACAATGTAACTCTGAATTCCATCCGTACTGTTGGCGCTCAGTCTCCTCTTACCCACGCTCCGAACAGGCGCAACATCTCTCAAATATTTCAGCAATACTCATCTTAAATATTCTGCTTCGTTTTTTAATTTGATCTATTTCTGTTTGCAGCTGTATCACTGGGCCAGAACTTGACCCCCAGGCCCGCCCCATCTGGGACAAGAATCTTGCTTCTTGTTCCTTCCACCCCAGAGCACCGCTGTTTCCATAACATGAGCATGAAAAAATGCCTCTTCTCCTCTGCTTACTTGTTCTGAGAAGCAAAAAGGCAAGGTCTGTTGAAGGGTCCCCTTCTCAAATAAACACCGGTTTCTACACATCCTGTATATGCGGGGCAATTAGAAAGAGGGGCCCGCAGTGCAGGGGGGTGCTCCAAGCTGTGACTGGGGTGAGGCATAGGCCCCAGGCACCTACCACGTAAACATGATCCCCATCTGCCGGGTAGGCGGGAAGAATCGGCTCTCAACAAAGCCCAGCTGGAGGAAATAACTCATCAGCAGTTCAACACCGGCCTCATCCCGGCTGGGTGTCCGGCAAGCCTGAGAGGAAAGGAACCAACACAGAGGGAGTGAGGGGGTGAGCACAGAGCAGACGGGCTGGAAGGTGCTTGCACAAGCTATTGTTGTGGAGCCTGGGCCCTGCTACTGCTAGCATGAACTCCAGGAGGGGTGGAAGGGACTGGGATGAACTCAGGAGTCCCAGAGTCGAGCCCCCGCCATGCCAGTGGCACGCCTCTTCCCTTCTGTGGTCTCATGTGACCAGTGGAACACCTGATTGCGACAGCCCCTACTGACCACATCTGCAAGTCTATAAAATTTCAAGTGCAACAGTAAGATGCTCTGGAGACTCAGCAAGCGCCAGGAGCCATCCTCCCCTGCCTGCTGCCTGCAGAAACGTACTTGTCTCAGATCCATAAGATCTGCTATTTCATCTTCATACAGGTAGCTGTCTTCACTGTAATGTTCCAGAATAAAATCCTGTAAGAAAAATGGAATAAGATAAAATGGAGATAAGGTGTGACTCAAAACCATAAAGAAGTCTAATGTGCTCACTTTTAAAATACATGTAGAATACAAAGAAACCTATGGGCAATTGTATACTATGCTGATTTCCACATGGTGGGATTTTCTTTTAATTGTGTTTATGTATATTTTAAAATTTTGCTTTTGTTGCTTCAATAAAAAGGAAAGCTGAAGTTATTATGTTTTTAAATGTCGTTGCAACACAGTTAAGTGACCTAAGTATTAAACGATTCTGGTAAACGTGACAGATATTCAGGGGCTCAGACCTGCATCCTTTGGGCTGCCCTCAGCCCCGGGCACAGGTTCTTCCTGGAAAAGGAAACTCGTGTCTGGGGACTGTTACAGGTGCTACCCTCAGGCCCTGCGATATGAATCTTTGTGACAGCAGCTCTGGCACTTCTACAAATGAAGCACCCCAATGAGACCCCTACCGGGCCCACAGCCCAGCACTCTAGGCGCTCTGGGAGCTCACTCAGCCATCCGGCACAGACCGATGAGCACGCACCTGCGCCGGCCATGCTCCCGGCGCCTGGGCTACACAGTGAACAAAACAGAGATCCTGCCCGGTGGAGCATGTGTTCTCGCAGGGGAGCAGACAACAAGCGGCAGGCACAACTTCATAAATTACATGGTATATTAGAAGATGGCAAGTATTAAAGGGAAAAACAAGGGCAGTGTAGGGAAATGGAGAACACGTTCTTGCGTAATATCCTCCAGGAGCGCTGGCTCTCCTGGGCTACAAAGAAGGATGAGGGGAGATTGTGCAGTTATGTTTCCCAAGTGTCTGTGAGAATTTTCTTTTTTTTTTATCCTCACCCGAGGACATTTTTCCATTTTTTGTTCAGATAGAGTGGGAGGGAGAGAGAGGAAGAGAGAGAGAGAGAGAAACATCGATGTGAAGGGACACATCAAGTGGCTGCCACCTGCACAACCAACCAGGGCCGGGGACAAACTGCAACCGAGGTACGTGCCCTTAGCGGGAACCGAACCTGGGTCTCTCTGTACCGCAGGCCGACGCTCTAACCGCTGAGCCAAACCGGCCAGGGCGTGAGGATTTTCTTTACAACTTTCTACATTAAAGCTCCTCCTGCTTTTTGTCCAGTCAGTGCGTATCTACACACACCCACAGACCGTCATCTTACAAAAATAGGATTGTACTACTGAATGAATATACAGCTTTGCTTTTTTAAAAAACTGGCAATGCATCAAACATTTTCATATACCATAAAACATTCTATAATATGACCTTTAATATAAAGGTCATATATAACAACCATCCAATGTAATGAATGTGCAATTCATTTATTCAACAAGTAAACTGAGCACCTACTATGTGCTAGTCAATATGTAGCATGATAGTCTTCACCCACTCTGTTGGACCTTAAAGTCATTTGTAAGTTTTGCAATTAAAGATAACACCATGAAATAAAAAACCTCCCTGGCCGGTTTGGTTCAGTTGGTTGAGTGTCATGCCATGCACCGAAAGGTCATGGTCTTGAGTCCCAGTCAGGGCACATGCCCAGGTTGCAGGCTTGATCGCCAGTAGGGGGCGTGTAGGAGGCAGCTGATGGTTGTTTCTCTCTCACATTGATGTTTCTATCTTTCTCTCTCAAAAATCAATTAAAGTGTGTGTGTATGTGTATATATATATATGTATATATATATATATATATGAAGAAGAAAAAAAGAAAAGGCCTATTACAGTGCTGTGGGTGGTATGGGACCTCCAGGGCCATTAGGATCCCAGAGCTGAAAGGTCAAGGGGGAAAAGGAGCTTCGGAAACCCAGAGAGGTGGCTATCTGAGGTGAGTACTGAACAGCCACCAAGACCTTCCTGGTGGGAATGCAAAAGGAAGCCAGTGGAGGGAGCTGGGAATAAATGCCCCACACTTCCCTCTCCTCCTACCCTCTCATCTCCTGCTAGTGCTCCTCAGCCTTGGCCACACCCAGTAGGAAACCACAGAGGCCTAGCTGCCTCCCTGGCACAGAGCAGGACGGGTGTGTGTGTGTGTGTGTGTGTGTGTGTGTGTGCAGACTCCACCCAGCACCACAGATGGATTCTTTATACACAGTGCAGGGGAAACTGGCTGCCTGTTTGGTGCAAATAAAAAATTAAAGCCTCACACCTCACGTTTTACCCCAAAACAAATTCCAGATAGATTAAAGATTTGATGTTAATAATTTTGAAACAAAGCACTAAGAGAAACAATAGCAAAATATTTATGACATCTTGGTGTAGAAAATGCCTTTCTGAAGATATCAGCAAGGCAGAATTGTGAAGGGAAGAACTGATAAGTTTAACAACATAAAATCTGTACGAAGAAAAAAATATAGATATATGCTTTTTAAACTGCTTCTGTAATGAAAGTTAAAGGAAAGAATATACTGAGAGAAACATTTGCAATATATAACACCAAAGGTTATCCTGCACGTGTTAAAAATACCTGTTTTATGTAAAAGAGCAACACTGTGGAAAGCAGGCTAAGGACAGAAATTGTCATTTTGAAAAGGAGACATGGCCCTGGCTGGTTTGGCTCAGCAGTTAGAGCATTGGCCTGCGGACCAGAGAGTCCCAGGTTTGGTTCCCACGAAGGGCACGTACCTCGGTTGCAGTTTGTCCCCGGCCACGGTTGGGGTCGATGTGTCTCTCTCACATCGATGTTTCTCTTTCTCTCTTCCCCCCTCTCTCCCTCCCACTCTATCTGAAGATAAATGCAAAAATGTCCTTGGGTGAGGATAAAAATTAAAAAAAGAAAAGGAGAAATATAAGGGGTATATAAACATACACGAGAATGTATTCAACTCTATTTCTGATTTTAAAAAATGCAAACTATAATAAGATCACTTTTGCCTGATTTCAGAAAAATAAAAAAGATCATTTTTTAAGAATCAAAATGATGAATGATACCATGTGTCACCAGAGGTGTAGGAAGATAAGCAGTCACACCCTGGGAGGAGTGTAGGCAGGACCATTTCTGGTGGGAAGTTACATAATGTAACATGTACCTTTGACCTACCAGATTCACATCTAGAAATGTATCCAAAGGGAGTATTCAGGGAAGTGTGCAAAGATGCTCAACAGAGAGCTGCTCACATTAGCCAGTATTTGGAATGCCTATAGAAGGACATTAATAGCTACCTTGTTTAGCACAAGGAGACACCACGCTAAGCTCCCATGGAAGGGAGGAGCCACATACCCTCGGGAGGCAGGCCCCCGATCAGAGGAAGATCATGGGCGTTCAGGGTAAATGCTGAGTGAGCTATGGGGCTCAGTGGGGAGAGGTGAGGGGTTGTGAGGGATCTCTGCACGTCTTGGTATTTTCTGAACATTTGGAATACTGTTCTTAACCAGAAAAATACATAAAGCTCTATGTAAGAGTAAAAACAACTTGAATTCTCTGGAAAGAGAATGTATTCTGATGGTGCATTTTAATGAGGCTATTTTAAAGATCATTTATTTAAAATAAAGCTAAATCACATCGTGAGGCTTCACTGACCATTAAATGTCACACAGACACACACATCTGATTTGAAAGACAATCTGAATTCCCTAATTAAGCCAGGCAAACGACTTCTGTGGCACCTGTCTGAAGCACAAATGTGGAAGGAGAAAACAGAATGTCCCCAAACGTTCTCATTTTTGTATAACTGACGTCTGTAGAGTCCCTTTTAGGCTAAAATGACATGGTTGGAAGCCTCAGCTGAATAGTAGTTGGCCATGCCCACAACACGTGATTTTTTCCACTGGCTTTAATGTGGAATTCAGCACGTGACACGTTTGGATCCTCACAGATGCCCATAAAATTCCCAACTTTCTCCAAGGCTCTCCCTTTAAAATGCCTGCACTCTTGCAGCTCTGGCTCCGAGCAACAAATTCAGTCTTAAGGATACTATTCTACAAAAGCAACTAAAGACCTTTCCACAGACAGACGATCTGAGTCTCACAGACCTGCAACAGTGTCACATCTCCAAGTTCAAGTAGCCTGTGAACAGCTGGCATAAAGCGATGGTTCCTGAATTGTGTTCTACTCAGAAAATCCCATCGTGGGCGATCCTGGGTCCCGAAAGACCATCAACATCCTTCTCAACTTCCCAAAGAAACCTCAAAGTCACAGGGACCGGCACCAAGATTTAAGCCAGGCAGCAGGCAAAAAGGCCCTGGGGGAAAGGGCTTATGTCAAGCGATGTGCAGTCTCTGCTCCACAAAGGAGTCAAGTGCAGAAGCTTTAGAAGCATTAACCGATTGCTTAAAATTTTTTCTTTCTTTCCCTTTTTCTACTGCCTTTGGCTCACCTTCACCACGGACGTCAAGGTCATCTATGCCTGTTTCATTCAATTATTGGTACCCACTGTCCTTTGTCCTCCTGCTTTCCTTGAACTTTTCAAGGCAGTGTTTCAGTTGTCCTTTATTCTTATATTCTCTCTCTCACATACACACCTATGGATTACCATTCTTAATTCCCTTGAAATACCAGAAATTGGTAAATCTGGTTGTCTCTGGATCCTTGCTCTCTGCTTCAGTTGTGCCTTACGCTCTGTGACACCAATTCTGCCTGAGGCCAGTGCCACTTGTGTGCCAATGTTACATAGAATGGATATGGAGAGAGTGTGTGTGTGCACGTGCAGGTACACACACACACCTCCTACATTACTAGGGGAACAGTGGTCTTCTGTCCCAGTGAAAGCCCTTAGCAGAGCGACATATTGAAATGACTGCAGACACACAGCTGGTGTCTACTCAGTCGTGTGCGGCCAGATTACTTCAATGTCAGAACAGTACTGAGCGTTTGGTAGAAATAAAAAAAAAATTTTTTTTTCTTTACTGATTTTAGAAAGAGAAAGAGAGAGGGAGAGAGAGACAGAAACATCAATGAGAGAGAACACTGACTGGCCACCTCCTAGTGTATGGCTCAATACTCAACCACTGAGCCACACCAGCCGGGCATTAACCAACTGCTTTTATTTTATTTTATTTATTGATTGATTTTATAAAGTTTTTTTTATTTTTTTTTTATCCTCACTCGAGGACATTTTTGCATTTATCTTCAGAGCAGGAAGAAGAGAGGGGGGAAGAGAGAAAGAGAAACATCGATGTGAGACAGACACATCAACTGATTGCCACCCACACGACCCTAACCAGGGCCGGGGGCAACCACAACTGAAGTACATGCCCTTAGCGGGAACCGAACCAGGACTCTCCGGTCCGCCGGCTGACTCGTTAACCACTGAGAAAAACCGGCCAGGGCTTATTTTATTTTTTTTAATGTTTTTTTTCTTTATTGATTTTAGAGAGAGGAAGGGAGAGGGAGAGAGAGATAGAAACATCGATGAGAGAGAACATCAACTGGCCGCCTCCTGCATGCCCCCCACTGGGGATCGGGCCCACAACCTGGGCATGTGCCCTGACAGGGAATCGAACCAGCGACCTCTTGGTGCACGGGTCGATGCTCAACCACTGAGCCATATCAGCCGGGCTAACCAACTGCTTTTAGAAGGACAAATTCTATACTGCCCAAAATGCCATATAATAATTTTTTCTTTTCTAAACTAAAAGTAGTCCAAAATGAGTCAACTGACAGGATTATTACAGAAAGAAACATAATTCTTTGAGGCATTTTTCATGATGCTGGGATTAATCCCTATATATCATGCCTGTGCCGGGAAGCTCAGAGACAGGCACGACCATCCACACCAGCTCCACTTTCTCCTCGTAAATGGAAGTTTGAGGTGATTCATTAAAACTCAGATGAAGCTGGGGAGAGGAGGAACAGGGGAGCATTCCAGGCTCTCCTGGTCCCCAGCCTGCAGGCCTGGCATTTCCTGTTGCCTCCAATCCTAGCGCTTCTCCCACTTCCCACCTGAACCCTGAGGGGCCTGCGATTTCACCAGCACCCAGCCCAGGGACAGCCGCAGGTGGGCTTACAAGTATCAGCTGCCTGCCAGGGATACACACCGTTAAGAGGAAACCAGACACTGCTCACTTGTAAGAGTGAATTATATGGTATAATTTATATAAATTACATATAATTTATATCTCAATAAAGCAATTACTTTTTAATAAATAAAGAAGGAAGGAAAGGAGAAAGGGAGAAAAGGAAGGAGGGAGAAAGGGAGAGAAGGAGGGAGAGGAGGCCCGATCGCCAGGAACTGGATGGGGTAAAAACAACCATAAACTCTAGTTATTCAAGGATCATAAACCAGCATCTTTGATTTACTTTGAAATGCATCAAAAAATAAGACACGGGGATGCAGAGATGGATATATCTATGATAAAGTAACTATAGTAAAATGTTCATGGTAGAATCTAGGTAGTGAATACATGGGAGTACGGTGTAAAATTCTTTCATTTTTTTCTGTAAATTTGGACATTTTCATAACAATGTTTAGACAAAATATTTAGCTATTCTTCCAAAAATATGGCCTGTATCAGTTGCAAAATTTAAGAGAAAAAAGATACTAAAACAGGACACAGTTTTTAAATTCCAAAGCATATCCACCACAGACCCTCTTTGACTTGGCCTCCTGGGTGGGCTGGTGGGGGTTTCCATGCCCCCTCCCCAGGCACATGAGTGACTAGAGAATGCAAGAGGACTGGACCAGGTTCTCTGTGTGGCCCTATAAAATCAACTGACATGTGGCCCATTGAGCCTAAGGCCACTTGGAAGGGATACCAAATTTCTAAATCTTTTTCTTAAGCAATGAGCCCGGCTCCCATTGCTTTGAAATTTACCTTGAGAACAACTGAAAAGTCCACATCCTTGGTTTCCTTCAGGCCCAGCGGAATCAGTGGGATTGTAAATGTCTCCCTGCAAGAAGCACAGTGAGGTTTATGAAATCTCTATACTGGCCACTCTGCACCTGCAGCCTCCCCCAGCTGCCCAGCTCAGGTCCCCACCCCTCCTCACACCAGTTCATTTTCCATAAAGGTGACTTTGGTCACATCCCTGTTTCTGTTCTAAAACTGGTCCCAGTCCCGGGATAACACAGAAGGGCCTACCATCACCTTAACCTTCCAGTCTCAACCCTTCCTTCAGTAACTGTGCTGAGAACCTACCCAGGGCCTGCACCTGGGTCCTGCCTCTCCTCCAGCGCTCAAACCCTGGGCTCTCAGTTGCCTCCTCCTTGGGGTGTATCTCTCTAGATATCTCATCACCTGCACAAGGAAGGCCTTGAGAACAGAGGCCCCATTTGACAACTAAGTGCTCCGAGCTCCAAGCTCCCAGCCCAGGGTCAGGCCCTGGCCAGCTGCTTCCCCTCTACCTCCTCTCCCTGAACTGACCACTTGATTACCCCACAGGTTGTCCTGGGAATGCACCCAGAGCCCAGCTCTTAGGGCAGGGCCAACAGGAAGTGAACCTTGCTCAGGCTGTTCTGCAAACAGGGATTTAGCTCCCTGACCTGTAACAGGAGACCTTCTGAGGCTGCTCAGCCCAGCCCTGGTGAAGGCCAGGAATGCTGAGCAGGGCGAGTGGACAATGCAGCTGTGAGCTGCAGCTGCCTCTGTGGTGGAGAGAAAACAGGGGCTGTGCTCAAAGCAGGCGAGATCCAGCGGGCGTGTATGGCTACTCCAGAGCTCACAGGGAGAGCTGGGCCCTGCTGGGAGGAGATGAGGACGGAACATGCCCCTCTCCTCTGTCCCCAGCGCCCTCCTGTCCTCACCCCACACAGGGCTGGAGGCGAGGTCTGCTCCTCCGTGACTACCCACGAGCAGCCAGTATCCAGAGGCCCCTGGCCAGGGCACCCCTACCTTACTCTTGGGCTAACCGACTTCCCTGTGTTTTCTCACCTGCACAGTGAGATGGTTTCTTCCCTGCCTACCTCACAGACGTGTTTAAAAATCAACTGTGCTAAGAAAGAAGCAATCTGCTTTGAAAACAGAAGGGGGCAGATACAAATGCAAGGAGGCATTATGTATGCACACCTCTCCCCTCTTGCCAATGGCCCAGGGGACGACTGGCCACTCTAGAGCCACACTGGGGCCTTCACCGCATGTCTCTGTGGGAGGCCTTCACAATGGACATCCCCGAGCGCCAGTACAGCACGTGGGAATAGGAAACAACCTCCATTTAGCACCAACGTTTGGCTCTGCCTCGCCTCTTCGAGGAACTTCGACCTTTTGGGCAAAACACTGGAATTTAATACCAGAGTGCAGGCTGGGAGAAACCTGTCACTGGTTCTGACTGGGTGTCCAAGACCGGTCCGAGAGCCCAGAGCTGGGCGAGCCAGGGCACACGACGCCACCAAGGGAAGAGCAGAGGCCCCACAGGTTCCACGAGCTACGCCCTCCCTCCGGCTCTGAAAGTAGCCCGCCTGTGCAGAGGATTGGGGACGATCAGGAAAAGCACATTCCAAAGATGACTCGAGGTTCTCAAATGTCATCCTTCTGTTAGTCCAGGGAAGGGCTTTCTGACCGAGTCTGCCCTGGGGCTTCCCGACCTTTTGAGAAGTCTCACTTCCCCACACAGGAAAGTAGGCAAACTCCTCTCTGGAGCGCCTCAAAGTGATTTCTCCTGAAAGAGGGACGTTTCCCACGTTGGGGAGACTCCCTGAGCTCTTCTGAAGGCTACACCTCAAGATCTTGCCTCCCACAAACACTCCCTATGGGACGCTTCTGAGAACAGGTACACTTCTGAAGTCTCTTCAGTGGCACCTTCTCCTCAGGGAACTCGCATGAGTCCCCTATTCTTTGATATAAAAAGCAGTTTAGTCATTTTTGCATTCTGTCAACAAAGTTATACAGAGTCAGGCCCTGTGCATGGTGGTGAGGGAGACAGGGCCCCTTGGCCCCACCTGGCAGGCTGGCTCTCAAGCACTTCCGGGGCATCCTGATGGCCGAGCCACAGCTCGTCTGAGAGAGGCCATCTCCTCGCCTGGACCCAAGCCATGCAGTTCTCCCATAAAACTATGTTCCAAGCGTCCCAGGACAAATAAATATCCTTTTGTCCAACTCTCCAGGTGTCCCCAACTCCAGAGGTTCATCCCTGGCACCTTGCTCAACCCCAAACCTAATTATTTCTTTGCTTCCCAAAGTGGGGATTGCCACCCCCTCAGGGCTATTCCCCGGTGCGGCAGTTCTGCGGCTCAGAAAGTACCTGGAAGAAGTGTTACCGCCACTTACTCTGTGCTCTGATAGACTCCCACCGAGATGTTGAGCCCCTCCAGCTCTTCCTTGAGCATCTGCAGGTCTGAGTTCACAAAGCTCAGTTCCAGGCGCACCTGCTCACGTACCTTGTGGTTTGTGGCTGCTCTGTTAAAAGAGGGGGGAGGGAGAGAAGCACCCTCAGCAGGTATCCCAGCTGCTGGGTGAGCAGACCCCCCAATCCTTGTAGGGAAGCTCCGAGAGTCCACCTGCAGATGTGAGTGCCAGATGTGATCAGAAAAGGTATCTCGACGATGCCTGGCACCTGCCCCATTTTGAGTCACACCTACCAGTAAATGGACCTGGACGTAGTCAATGACACTGAGCTTCCAGGCATAAATTCTAAGACATCTCTGCAAAGAATTAGCCAAGAGAAGAGAAGAGAAGAGAAGAGAAGAGAAGAGAAGAGAAGAGAAGAGAAGAGAAGAGAAGAGAAGAACTGTTCCTAGACACCCATAAAGGATAAGAAATTATTCCCCAAAAGGAAATGGATGAGAAAATAGAGAAGAAGGTAACACTCCCCAGCTCATTCTATGAGGTTAATATTACCCTGCCTAAACCAGAGAAAGACATCACCAAAAAAACAAAATGAGAGACCAATATCCTTCATAATTAAATATGCAAAAATCATCAACAAAATATTAGCAAGTTGAACCTAGCAACGTGTATAAAGGATGATATACCATGACCAAGAGGAATTCATTTCAAAAAATGCAAGGTTGGCTTAATAACTGAAAATCAATTAATGTAACATTAATAGAACAAGGACAAAAAAACATGGTCACCTTAATAAATGCAATAAAAAATACAGGCAGCCCTGGCTGGGAAGCTCAGTTGGTTAGAGAGTCATCCTGATACGCCAAGGTTGCAGGTTGGATCTCCAGTCAGGGCACATACAAGAATCAAACAATGAAGCATAAATAAGTGGAACAACAAATAGATGTTTCTATTTCTCTCTCTAAAAACCAATCAATCAATCAAAAAAATTTTTTAAAGTGTAGGCCTACCTCAAAGATATTGCTGATTCAGTTCCAGATTGAATTCCAGACTTCCAGAAAGAAAGCAAGTGTTCAGTATAAATCAGTATAAACATTATTTGTTCAAAGAGCCCCTCTTACCAGTTCTGGGAACAGTGGTAACTCTCCTAAAATCTTGACAGTGGCCAAAGGCCAACTTTCTAAGGACAGTCATCTCAGGTCTGCTATGATAACTCTTCTGCACAATGGGCAAAAGAGAAACCTCAATCTAAGTCTCTTATCACACACAACTACTAAGTCAAAATGAATAAGAGAAAGAGGGAAAACTCAACACAAGAGCGAAAGCTCTAAAACTTCTAGAAGAAAACATGAAGAAAATCTTTATGACCTGGGATTGGGCAAAGCATTCTTAACTACAAAGCAAAGCACAATCCATAAAAAAAAAAAAGTGGATAAATTGGACTGTTGAATTAAAAAACTTCTGTGCTTCAAAAGTCACCATAAAAAAGAAAAGATAAGCCACAGGATAGGAGAAATATTTACAAGTTACATATCTGATAAAGAATTTGTATCTAGAATAGAGTTCTGTTCATTAAATAACAAAAAGACAACTCAATTTTTTTAAGTTATGTTTTTATTTATTTTAGAGAGAGAGGAAGGTACAGGGTGGGGAGAGAGAGACAGACAGACATAGATGTGAGAGAGAAACATCAATTGGCTGACTCCTGCATGCCCCCTTCTGGGGATCAAACCACAACCAAGGCATGTGCTCTGACTGGGAATTGAACTGGTGACCTCTTGGTGCACGGGACAATGCTCAACCAGTTAGTTGAGCCTCACCTGGCCAGGACAACAACTCAGTTTTTTTTAATGGGCAAAAGATATAAATAGACATTTTACTAAAGAAGATATATGCGTGACTAATATGCACATGAAATGATGCTTAAGTTTATTAGTTAATAGGGAAATGCGCCCTGGCCGGTTTGGCTCAGCAGCAGAGCACTGGCCTGAGAACCAATGAGTCCCGGGTTCGATTCCAGCCAAGGGCACGTACCTAGGTTGCGGTTCATTCCCGGCCCTGGTTGGAGTCGTGTGGGAGGCAACCAGTTGATGTATCCCTCTCACGTCGATATTTCTCTCTCTCCCTCTCTCTCTACCTGAAGATAAATGAAAAAATATCCTCAGGTGAGGATAAAAAAAAAAAAAGAAATGCAAATTGAAAGCATAATGAGATACCAATACATACCCCGGGATTAGCTACAATAAAAAAGACAATAATGTTAATGAGGATGCAGAGAAACTGGAACCCTCATACACTGATGAGTGTAAATGGCAAAGCCACTTTGGAAAACAACTGGATAGTTTCTAGAAATGTTACACATAAACTTCCCATCTGACAGGAATCTATATGAGAGAAATGAAAACATATGTTCAAATGAAGACATGTATGTCAATGTTTATATTAGCATTATTCATAATAGCCCCAAAGTGGAAACAACCCAGATATCCATTAACTGGCGAACAGATACACAAAATGTGGTATGCCCACAGAATGGAATAGTGTTAAGCAATACAAAGGGAAGAACTTGCCCCAAGTTCTCTGGCAGAGGTTTTGTTACAGACGTGAAGACTTTACAGGTGCTTCCTCATTTTATACCGATTAGGAATCACTACAAAAATAAGTGTGAATGGAAACCGAGTACTGAGCCAGGTGCCTGACCATCACCCACTCCTCACTAATGAAAATCCAGCCAGCCACCTGTTGACAGCTTGCTTTGCTCAACACCTGTTCACCTTTCCTGCAGAGAGCAAGGTGCTGCCCTACGGGCTGCCCTCCCCCTGGGCGCTCCTCTGCCTCACTGCATATCCGAGCCCACCGGTTTCTCTCCATGATGTATGTATGTTTCTTCTCTCCCTTCTCCCTCTGTCCTCCTCCCTTCACCAAACTCCTCCTTGAGGAACCAACAAGGTTTGGCCCTGCCCCCTCAGAAAAGCCACCGGACCCTGGCTGCAGATATAATGTCACCTGCCCTCTCACTGCCCAGTAAAATGTTCACACGTGTCCATCTTGGCTCCCCAGCCAGGCAATGAGACCGTGAAAGCTCGGCCTGGTGACTACCACTGGTTTGGGGTTTTTTTTTTGACCAGGATCACAGGTAACAAATACATCTCAATGCAGTGCAGGTACACGCACCCCTACAACAAAATTCTCACAAAACCCTCCTTTGCCATACACATGATACATGCCAATAAAGTCTATTCTACTCTAATAGCTTGTTTTATTCAACACAATGGTGTCTGCAACTCTCCAATTCTGATTCTCTGACACCAAGTGGGTGCCCAACAATTCAATTCATTTCTGACACCAATTCCCGGGTTTAGCACAGACCCCACAATTACGGGCTTGGTGCCAAAGGATCACCCCACTGCAGGCATCAGTTGCAAGTACCGGACACCTATTCTTCTGATCAACCAGCTATAAATCAGGGGTTCCCACAACCCCTCCTCAGGTTAGATAATTCACTAAAACAACTCACAGAACTCAGGACAACATTTGACTTAGATTTACTGTGGTTTATTTCAAAGAACACAACTCAGGAACAGCCGGACGGAAGGGTTCCATAGGCCAAGGAAGGGCATGGAAGTTCCATATCCTCTCTGGGCACACCATCCTCCCAGCACCTCGATGTGTTCATCAACCTAGAGGTCCCCAAACCCCACTGTGCAGGGTTTTACAAAGGCTTCATAATTGGTTACATCACGGATCACTGGTGAGGGAACTCAATCTCCAGCTCCTCTCCCTTCCTGGGAGGTCCAGGGCTGAAAGTTCTAAACCTCTAATCTCGCCCCTAATCTCCATCCTGAGGGTCCCCCTCTCCCATCAGGAGTCACCTCGCCGGCCTACAAAACACTCCGCAGAGTCCAGGACTTTCAGGAGCTCTGTGGCAGGAACCAGGTACACAGAGACCAAATATTTATTTTTTATTATTCCATAGTAGCAACCTATTTCATTTCATTACATATCATGGGTTACAATCTGTTGCCTATAAAACCTGTCCTACACATATATTATTGGGAACATGACTGATTCACTAGCTGATAATGACCACAAGGAGGCTTGGAAAAACTTCTCCCAGACCTCAGTATTGGGAATGCCTTCCTCTTAGCAATTGGTTTGCTTTAGGCTACTGGGTATTGAATGTGTTCCAAATCACATTCCCTTCTTCATTCTGCCTTCCAGGAACCTCAGAGAGAAATTGTGGCCCATGTTTAATAAAGTACATAGGGCCTTGTGACGTGTACTAGCCTTACGTCTGGCTAAATCTCTCCTTTATTCTTATTCCTTCTGCCCCTACATCCTCATTCACTCCTGTTTTAATCTTACATGTACAAGTGTGTTAAGGTGCCTCAAATCCATTTTGGAATGTGATAAGGTAAGCAATTATCACTCTTGGAAGATGAGACCTATGCCTTTGATTTCTTTGTATTTCTCCTGGATCCTGGCATAGTCTTTTCCACATGGTAGGGGCTCAACAAATTTCAGTTGACAATAAAGACCACTCTCTAGAAGCAACAGTGGGGGCAGGGGAAGGGCAAAGGAGGTGCTGACTGGTTCTCTGCAGCAGAGTGGGTCCAATTTAAACATCACAATTTAGACCCTAAGAGCCCCTGTCCAAATATCTGGAGAACTTCAAAGTTGCCATCAATTTTCCCACCTCCACATATCGATCTGCCACATCTCCTCCCTTTCAACTTGGCAACAATTTGAGAATTAGGATTTGCAACAAATCAATGAACTGCTCTCTGGAGGTAGACTTCTCTGTGTGGGTCACTCTGGAAAAGGCTGGTGGCCAGGCAGGGTTTGGTTCCCACAATGCTGACCTTTGGGTACACCAGCAATTTTCAACCTTTTTCATCCCATGGCACACATAAACTAATTATTAAAATTCTGTGACACACCAAGAAATATATTTTTTGCTAATCTGACAAAAAAAAAAGGTATAATTTTGATTGATTTACAAAAAAAAATAATAATAGTAATTACCTACCCTTTTTGCTCCAAAGTGACTTTAAAAAAATCAGGTGCCTAGCCCTAACCACTTTGGGTCAGTAGTTAGAGCATCAGCCCAT